CAATAATTTATTAATTTTATAAAACGTGTCGTGCTAAAAATAAAGATTGTAAAGTGTAACAAGTGTCTTTCTCCACAAGTGAATTTCTGCTAGATACGTATACAAAGAATTACTACATTGAAGAATTATTACATTGTTGACCCTTCTCTTTCAATGTTTGATTAGATGCCATGGAGCTATATTTGAATTGTCTGGTAATTATAATGCGCAGCATTGCGTGTGTGGTTTCATCAAGCTTTTTACGTATCTTTTTGTAAGGATCTTTTTGTTCAGAATGATCTGATCAATCTTCACAATTTTCCGTTTCCAAAAGGACACCCGGACACCCCGGTATATAATAACATCAATGAAGAAGAGTTAATACAACCGACTTGCTCGTACATAATTTCTAACCTCTGCTCGTATTCTGCATTGCCAACGAATCATAAATTTATGATCTGCCGGATCGACGTAACAATACCATTTGTTCCCGTTAAAATAAAATTGTCGGTTAGAGCGACCAATCGTAAGTGACAAATCACTCGTTACCGCAACGGAGCCGCATTAATTTTGCCGTCCCACATTAGCAAACCATTTGTCGCGGTTACCGGTGTTCGGTAACCCTCTTCGAGGTTTCCTCTCGAGGGTTTCGTTAGCCCTCTTCGGGACCTCTTTTCTCGGTGCGAGCTTGAAAAATTGCGATCTCCTCGTCGGCAAACAGCGAAAACTCGAGAAACCCTGGGCGCGAGATTTCACTGGCATTGCCTGACTTTGGGGGAGATCCATTTTCTGCCGGCTTAAGCACTTTTGCGAAATTTAGCCTGCCAGTCGGGGGCTTAGCGGACATAATGTGTCCTGCGCGAGGCAGCTTGACGGAAATTCAGCCGATGCAGCGGAATCGACCGGCGGAATTTCACGCGGCGCGGCGAGCCACCTATGCTGCGCGATGCGTCGCGGCAGATCCTTCGCGACGTGGATGAAATTAGCGAGCAACCGAAATAATTTAGTGGATTCCAGAGGCGCCGCGTATCGCCTCGCTCACAGCTGTGACCCTGAATTCCATTATAGTCCACTGAAGAGGAGAAGGAGGAGGAGGAGGAGAAGAAGAAGAAGAAGAAGAAGAAGAAGAAGAAGAGGAAGGAGAAAAAGGTGGGCGGAGGGTGATGTACGTGCCTGAAGGAATTACGCGACAGCGTTGCGATTAAGAAAGACGATCTTGAAAAATAGCCGTCCGTTTGTCCGGGTTCCTTCCTGACGAAGAAAAGGAACCAGGCGAAGGAGGCCGCGTTCATCGCGCGTCTCGCTGCGCGGCGCACAACACTCGGCAAAGCGAAGAAACTGAGCAGGAGGAGGGAAGAGACATGGGTCGCTTGAAAACGGAAATGAACGCTTAAAAGTGCACAAAGACACTTGGGCGATTTCGCACTTCCCACGATGTTGAATTATTCAACGCAAAATCACGAGGGACATCTTGCTCGGAAAGCGACGAGGAGGAAGGAGGAGCGGGACTTGACACGCGCGCGCGCGCGCGCGCGCGAGTTCCCGACTTGCAGCCTGACTGCAATTGTAATTGCGTTATCCGTTATTCCAGCTACGGCGATACCAGGAGCCAGGACGCTTATCTCGCGGACGCGTAATGGAATGGCGAAGTCGACGAGATCGCGCGCGCAGGACGTAAAGATGATCCTGCGCTCATCACGGCAGGATCGCGGTCGGATCGCGCGCACGTGGCGGCGCAAATGCGATTCGCCGCGCGCGCGTAATCGAGTTCGTAGCTTTACACATGGCGCCGCTTAATCAGGCAAATCGGCAATCGATTTCGTAATCGAGTTGGCGTATTCGCCCGGCGTAATCCGACGTTACAGAAATTGCCTGCGACATCGCCACCGTCACGTGGAGCCGTCGCCCCGGGGAAATTCGTTTCCCGATTGGCCTTCCTAAATAGCGCTACTACCCGGCTACCTGGAAGTCGGACACGGCGCGCGTCCGACGCGGCCGAATGAAACGCAGTTCTCCTCTTTTCCCGCTCTCGAGCTTCCCGCGATTGACGTCCGCGATTCTCTCCGACCGGTGAGTCTCTCCGCTTTCCACGTAAATTGCACGATTTCAGACGCCGCCCGGCGGCTGAGTCATTTCTTGTTTGCGTGTGCGAGCGAGCGCTCGGTCTCGTGAGAGAACCCGACGAGAGAGAGAGAGAGAGAGAGAGAGAGAGAGAGAGGGAGAGAGAGAAAATATCGCTGTATCAGCGCGAGTCCTTCTTGCCGCGCGCACACACACACACACACCCACCCACCAGTCTCTTCCCCCGAAGATTTCGACGAAAACTTTTCTCGCCTCGCCGCGCCCCACGCGAGGAGAGCGACCCTCGTCTCGCGGGCGAGAAAATTCAATTTCCTTCCACGATCGCCGCTGCGAGAGAATAATAAAAGCGATGGAACTGTATGGCATATTTGATCGAGAGCGAGGCAGCAGGAGAGAGAGAGAGAGAGAGAGAGAGAGAAAGAGAGAGAGAGAGAGAGAGACTAATAGACGGAGCAAGGGAGAAAGTGACAGAGGGAGGGACCGCGCGCGCGAGAGAGAAAGAGAGGGGGTGGGGGAGACCCGTCGGTTTATCGTCGGCTATCGATTTTCCGCGAGTCGAAGCGGCTGCTCTCTCGGCGGTGTTAACAAATTAACGACACGTGTGCGCAAGTAGGCCCTCGGAAGAAGGAGCCCCGAAAGACTCGAGGAAGAAGCGTCAGACGGTGCGGCGTGCGCGCGCGCGCAATATTCCTGGTCTGGTCGGCGGACGTGCGGAATCGCGTATCGGGAATTGGAGCTCGATATTCAAACCAAGTGTGTCAGGGTTTATCACGCGCGAGGTCGTCTCACGGCGCGCGGCCGTGTCACCTTCGACGCCGCGGCGTCCGACTAGAATTCGAATCGGGCCGATTAATGGGAAACACGCGGCGGAGCGTTCGATGAGCCGCGCGCGTCCAGCCCGGCCCGGCCTGTGAGATTCAAAGTTAGCCGCTTTGGATCGCTCGACGTCGGCTCGACTTCGGCTGACAACGTCGAATCGTCGCGAATCGAGGCCGAACCCGCAGGAACGATCGCGCAGGTGGAGGCGAATCCTCCGCCGTCCGCCGCCATGAATATTACAGCGCGGTCGATTTTGATCGGGCGAGCAGCTCGCGACAGGACACGTGCCGTGGAAGCGGACTGTTTTTTGGCAGGACGCGGCACGGGCGACCGTCCGCAGGAAGCTCGAGGGTGTTTGAAAAAGCGAACCCGTCCCGACGACGACGAGCCGCGCTTCTTCGTGAGGGAGGAGGAGGCTCGGCGGGAGGAACGGGAGGATCTCTTGGTCCTCTTCGAACGCGTCTCGGCCGGAGGATACGGATTTGCCGAGTTCGGGATGAGCTTCTGGAAATTAGCCATGCTTGATCGCCGTAAATTTCACGCCAGAGCTGTTCGAATAACGTTGTGCGTTGCGCGCTTGATATGATACCATTCTCTGCCGGATTAATCTAATTATGTCTATTAACCCTTTGCACTCCCTTCTGTCCCTTCTGACGGGGCATCGTAAGTCTAACAAACCACTCGGATGCCCTCTTTTCTCGCAGATTCACAGTGGTATCAGCCCTTCTCTAATGCCGACACTTAAAAATAGCGATACTTGGTTTCGAAGCTACACTATTTAACCTTTGGAAGAACGGAAATCAATTTGTCGGCTTTTAACCCGAAAACCAATTTATCAGGTTTTAACTTACCATTGTAGGGATATTTTAATTTATTAATATTCTACTTTTATATCTCATATTCGCTTACACTTTGTTATACTTTGTATTGTACCAGTTTCGATCCTGTAAACAGGATCGGGTAAACGCTCTCTGTGTGTGATATGACTGTCGAGCCGATAATACTTATTGTTCGAGCGTTCGTGTTTGTGTTTGTCATAAATTGCGGTATAAAAATTTTATAAATTTATGTTATTTGTCAAACTTTTTCTCCAAAATGATGTCAAACAATTATTCCTATAATATCTAATAACATTAAATTGAAAAACTAAAAAAAAAGGATCCTGATTCTTTACCGGACCGGAAGCCAATATATTGGCGCGAAAGTGGCGCCATATTTTTTGTAATTCAACCCAATGATGTTAATAATAAAGTGGTAATATTTAAAATAAAAAAGTCGAAGAAAACAACTGCGATCCTCTAAAGGTTAATATGACGCGATTCCTGTTTGCACATTTTCCTAAAAAAGTGCCGCCAAGCTGCTGGTAGATAACCCGCGAGATGGCTCCGAGTGCAAAGGGTTAATCTATGAAGATCTCTCCTTGATTATGTCTGTGAAATAATTTAATGGACCTGTGTGATGAGTTGTTTTTACGATAACACGTGAATTTCTGTTCTAGCCTGACCCAACCTAAGTCTAATGCTTCGTTCTTCAATTCAGAGGCCAGTCAAAACCAGTAAAAACGTCATTAAACAAACAAATATACTTAGACTCTCGCGTCTGCGAGAGTGGTATAATATTACGTAATTTCACATTAGTAGCCTGAAATCTGACATTATCGAAATTTTTAATAATTAAGCGTCGCATATTAAACTCTTTCGCCGTCGAAGATGCAACCAAGAGTCTCTCCATCGGAGGTTATTCGGAATATTTCAGCGGAAATTCGTGCCTTTGAAAAATCCACCCCGAATTCAGCCCCGACTTCGTTCACTTCGTTCATCTTCACTCGCGACATGCTCAATCAACAAATCGACATCGAGAGGATGCTGAAGAGCCCTTCTCTCTGGCTGTCGGAAATCCGGACGGACGGAAAGACGACGAAAGTCGTGAGTCCCGCCTTGGTCGTCGGGGCGACATCGCCTGGAGACGTCCTCAGGCCTCGCGTTAATTAATTAGCCGAAGGCTCGCCGATGCACAGGCCGACATTTCACGTGCAGGCGAGCGAACCCGATGAAATTCACCGGCTGCAACCCCTTCCATACGACCACGCAGCGCGAGGCAGTTGCTGCGGCCGACGTCGGAGCTCGCGGCGATCAGTTCGCGCGGAACGCTCGAGAAGTGAGGATCGTGTCTGCGCTCGCCTCTTTCTCTCTCTCTCTCTCTCTCTCTCTCTCTCTTGCGCGCTGCTTAGACACAGTTGACGAGGAGAGCGAGGGAGAGGCAAGGAGGAGAAGAAAGGAGCACATTTTCGCGCGCACACCACCGCGCCGTGTCGCGCCGCGCCGCGCCGCGCCGCGCCGCGCGTATCCACGTCGGGGCGCGCGGGGGTCGCTACGGACGACGACGCTGTCAGGATCGACAGGGGGAAAGACGGCGGCGGTCGTAGAAGAGCAACACTTTTCGGCCGAGGATCGGGATCCCGGGACCTTCGGAGCACAGATGGTGAGAGGTGAGCGACAACATGTCCTCTGCGTGCGCGCCCCTTCGCGCCAAGCGCGAGCGAGCGAGCGAGCGAGCGAGCGATCGATCGACCGACCTGGAGGAACTCCCTCAGTTACCCTTACCCAGCCGTGCGCCCTTAATAGAGTCGACTCGACGTGACGATGATACGGCGGCCGAGATCGTTCCGTCATGCGGCCCGACGCGCGGGTTAACGTCCGTCGCCGCTCGCGGCTCGGCCTCTCTTGTGCCGATCGAATTCGAATGAGATGACAGTTGCTCGCCCGCTCTCTCTCTCTCTCCCTCCCTCTCTCTCTCTCTCGCTCTCTCTCTCTCTCTCTCTCTCTCTCTCTCTCTCTCTGTCTCTCTCTGTCTCTCTCTCTCTCTCTCTCCCGGCTTCAATTGCCCGCGCGAGGAGGCGGCGCGGAGGAGCGACGGCGGGAGATGATCGCGCCGACGAGGAGGCGAGCGGACGCTCGTTTATTAATCGGCATGATCGGCTGACGAGCGGTCTTCCCTCGTGACGTGCGGGACGACGTTTCTACGTCCGATCTCTGCGTTCTTGGATATCTCTGCGAGCGATCGATTCACCTCCCTCCTCTCTCCCTCCCCTGCGCTTCGCGCGGACTCAATCAATTACGAGCGAGAAAATGGGACCGCGAGATTCAATCGGCCCGATGATCGTTTTTCATCAGGGGCGAGGCTAATTCATTCGTCGCGCTCGGATCGGCGAGAGAAAGAGAGAGAGAGAGAGAGAGAGAGAGAGAGAGAGATCGGCCGCTTGCACGTCCTCGAGATCTGGTGGACGAGTATAGTTGAACTGCTTAGTCAGCTCCGGGTGTGAAACTAATCGCGATGTCGGCTGAAACAATCGGGAGACGATTGGACGCGTAAAAGCTTCGCCTCGAGTCGCTCCCGTCGATCATTTCGTCGCGCACCGCATCTCTCTCTCTCTCTCTCTCTCTCTCTCTTTCGCGCGCGTGACTTTTTGCTCGTGCAAATTTCGAATCACCGGCGGTAACACCTTACGGCTCGTTGCGGCCCGAGCAAAGCGGCTTCGAAGCGGCGTCCGCAACGAAGCGGGAAACGCAATTGTTGCTCTTCGATGAACGCCGAAAAAACGGCGGCCTCGAGCGTATATTTCGGGCGTCCGTCCGTCGAATGAAACGAACTTCCAGCCCGGCCGTGTACGGGCCGAGATCGATCCCATTGAAATTTAAGTTCCACCTTAAATTTAATCACCTCCTCCCGCCCCACCCACTCCCCCCCCATCCTCAGACTGACTTATTAGTCGCTTGACGTAAGGCGGTCGTGGAGTCGGGGCGAAATTTGCTGAATTGAGCGCGATGAATAATTGATTTCCAGCTTAAGTCGGACGGGCTGAATCGGAGATTTTCCGCCGGTCGGTGTATTTCCACTCGCCGTCTCCCAGAATACCCGATCGATCGGCGCTCGGTATACGGGAGACAAAAGTATCCCGTTGCGGGAGAAAAGATCGGTCATCATTCGATCGCGCCGAGCGGCGCCGCGACGTTCAAGCCGCGCCGGCCGCGCTTGGATTTCCCTCGGGAAGATCAGCCGCGGCGGCGGCTTCGCAAATATTTCCGCCGGACGAACATCGTCCCGCCACTTGGACGTATAACCGACGCCATATAGCCGACCGATGCGGAATTCCACCTTACTAAGCGCGATGATGCGAATCAACACGGCCGGCCGGCGCAGCGATAAGAATCCGCGACGACGCGAATTCGGCGCGCCTGACGAACGCTCGTTGTCGGGCAACCTCCATGCGACTTTCAGGAAATCGGTCTTTCCCTCTAAGAGCCGATTTTCCAAGTCGACCCTTTCAAGCCCGTTGATCCCCCCGTCGGACGAAACAACGTCGACGGGTGATTTCCGCCCTACTGAAAAACTTCTATCGAGATCTAAAATCAGATTTTTCGGATAATTTCTCATATGAGATCTCAATGTTTTCATATGATATCTCATTTGAGAGATATCATATCAAAAAGTAAGTAATGGTGTCTCAAGAAAAATAGAGAAGCTTCTCATACAATTCTTCATACAATATATTATATCGATCGAACTACTGAAAATCTCCCGAGTGCGTCAAGGGAGAATCGAAACTCGACGATTTTCTCGGCGGAAAGAACCGATCGGTGGACAAAATCTAGCGGAGAAGAATCCACAGGAGGAGGGTGGATTTTTCGAGAGAGAGAGAGAGAGAGAGAGAGAGAGAGAGAGAGAGAGAGAGAGAGAGAGAGAGAGAGATCGCCCCTTCGCTCGTCTCTCCACCTGCAGACCTCACTCGATCGCTGCGCAAGCGTGATGCAGGTAGACGCGTAAAAAAAGTACGAGGCGAGCCGCATCGATGTCTCGTTGAATTATCCTCTCGCTGCTACGTACCGATCAACTTGTCGCGGCTGTATCGTATCGACATAATTCCCGGCTAGAGAAGAGAAGCTGAGCTTCGCCCTAAAATAATAACAAATTGATTTCTCCCTCCCTCCCCTCCCCTCCGTTCCCCCTTCTTTCCACGTTCTTCCCGTCCTACTCTAGAAACAACACCTGCTCGCCTATAAATGCAGATTACACTTTCCGCGTCTCGGACGAGCGTGTCAGCGGCGAAATGAGCCTGTCGCTCTCTCGCCGCGCGAGATCGGCGTGTGAACGACGTTAATTTACATTGGCGTCGCGAGAGGCCGAAATCGCGCGCGGCCGACTGTCGAGTGCGCTTAAATTTAAATTCCGCTCGGATCTGCTCGAGGCGCGCCGGATTGCAGCGGGCCGCGCAACAACGTATATTTAACACCCATTAAGAATTTCGGACGGAAACGTTGCAACTGGAGAGCCCCTAAAAGCTTCGCTCAGCGATTGCGTGGACAATATAACCGGGCCGCCAATATTGCCGATCGCACGCGTTTCTGCTGCCTTGGGGCTGGAGGGGGAGGAAGGGGGAGAATTTGTACTCGCGATATGAAAGTTTCCCACATTGATGCAAATGCAGGCAAAAATCGGCCGGCGGCGGTTTCACCGACTCGAGGAAATTTCTCTCGGCTCGCTCGCGACGAAAGCTCGCCGGCGCGCGGCGGCGCACGTGGCGACGAGTTTAATTAACCATCGTCATTAATGAAGCGACGTAAGCGGCGAGCTGCAAGGCCAAGGCCCCGAATGAGCACGAAGAAGCCCAATTAAAGGCACAGGGTAGACGCGGCACGCTCTCGTCCGAAGGTTCTCGACGGCACGGCGAATGTTTCACACGCCGTCTCTTCCTCGTCACGGAGAGGAAGACAACCCCTGCCTCCCGGGTGTAAGTGAATTTTCCTGGTCGCCTCGGGGGAACCAAGAATCGGATGGGAAAGTTCGCGAGAAAGCAGCCGAGAGAGCCTCTTCTTACTTTTCGATCGAAGACCGATGGTCTTCCGCCCTACTGAAAAATTTCTATTGAGATCTGAAATGAGATTTCCAAAAAAATTCTTGTATGAGATCTCAATGATTGTGTCTCATTTTATCTCATTTGAGATGTCGTATCAAAAAGTAAGTAACGGTGTCTCAAGAAAAATAGAGAAGCTTCTCTACTCTTCATACGATATATTATATCGATTGAACTACTGAAAATCTTCCAAGTGCGTCAAGGGAGAATCGAAACTCGACGATTCTCTCAGCGGAAAGAACCGATCGGTGGACAAAACCTAGCGGAGAAGAATCCACTGAGGAGGATGGATTTTTCGAGAGATTATTTTCGGAGATTTCCGAAAAATTTCTTACACGAGATCTCAATGATTTTACATGACATCTCATTTGAGAGACGTCATATGAAAAAGTAAGTAACGATAGTTCAATTGACACATGAAGAATAGAGAAGCTTCTCTATTTTTCTCAATTGAAATATCATTACTCATTTTTTCATATGACACCTCAAACGAGATATATGAAATTATTGAGATCTCACATAGGGAAATCTCTTTTCAGAAATCTCAATTTAGATCCCAATAGAAAAATGTTTCAGTAGGACGTCGTTCGGCCGAATTCCCGGGGACGAGTTCTCCCTCTCGAGGTCCTTTCTTGTCGATCGTCGAATTTTCGTCCGCTCCTTCACGGGAGATGCTCCGACAGCCCTATTTAAAATACGAGCAATCCCGCTGCTTGTGCGTCATTTCGCATTCGCGGGGGCACACCATGTAACGTAGATTTACATTCCTGATTACCGGGTCGCGCAACGAAAGTGCGCGTGTCGCACGAGGATTACTCGCGCGGCAGCTCACGAGAGGCCGGCGCGGCGTGTGCATCTGTACGACGCGTAATGCAGAAATCGATAGTAATTACAGTATTTGTATGCACATTATATAGTTGGCGTATAATACCGTACGTAGACCGTACAGGATGTTTCACAAGTCACGCGACGAATCTTATAAAGAACGAGCGGCTGAGGAAACGGCGAGCTTTCCCCCGAGTTTCCCCGCCGGAGAATCGCTACTGTCGCGATCGAAGATACTGCGTCAATCGCGACGATGAGGTACAATTAAAACTGCTACCGCGTGTGATTCCTGAAACAATCTCTACGCTTCTGACCTCTCACACCGAGCCGCGATCCTGCAGCATCATGTAATCCGACGAGTATATTTCCGTTGTATCAATTAACGCGTGTAATTGCCGCCTGACGATGAGAGAGAGGACAGGATTATTTCAGTTTATTTTTATTTTACCCGCCTATTTATTATATCGTCCAATATCCGGTGGCCTTCGAGTCGATAGATGCACTTGTATTAAAAGTGTGATTTAGTTTATGCGAGAGATACGACAATAATGTCAGTTTTGTCGAAGACATTCCAATCACAGCTATCGTTTCTTAATGCTTTAATATGGCAAAGATTTCACAAAGAAGGAAAATCGGTTTCACATGAATTATCGAAAAATTCGCCACTGCGAACCGGTTCGACATTTGCATTTCGTTGATCGACCAGACAAAAAATAGAGAGTTTTTTTCTATCGAATTGTTAGCGCGGATGAAAATGGATCTATTTCGATAATCCCAAACGAAAAGAATCATGGGTCGATCCAGGCCAACTAGCGATATTCATTTCAAGGCGCAATATTCACGGTTCAGAGGTGTTGCTGTGTAAGAAGTTGCAGGAAACGAAGGAAAAGATTTCGATTAAGGTATTTGTTCATTATCTTGTTCGAGTGAATCAGATTGTTGAGAAAAAAAGCCGTCAGAATTAAATCCTCCTCCTCCTCCTCCTAATAATTCCCAAACCCCCCAACCTCCCAACCTGCCAAACGATCTACGTGCGTGCGTGTCTGATTTGAAATTCGCCGACGTTATCCGCGTGGCGTTATAATCGCAGCTCGTTTCAAGGCCCGTGTCTCTCCCCTTTAAGCGCGCGGGACTTCGGGAACGACACGACGACTCGAGACGTCGCGAATAAAAACTCCGAAGGGCAGCCCTCTGCCCTTCGGAGGAGACGACCGGAGAGGTGCAGCCTCCTCTCGCGGGAATCTCCTCACGAGCCGGCTCGATATTACGCGCGACGGCCGATCGATCTTCATTAAATAGAGACAAGCGCTGCAATTTGCATAGAAAAATCGACGAGACGTGCGCGTCTCATAAAAATTGAAAGAAGACCGGTATATGTCAGTGTCAGTCGCACCGCCGCGCCGCGCCGCGGGAAATCGATCTATCATACGATCGAGACGTCACTCCCGTCTCTCATCCGGCCGGAGCGATCAACAATTTATGAACTCGCCGATCGCGTTTGGTGGACAGCACCCTTCCCGAAGACCCGAAAAGTCCACGTCTCTCTGTGCTTCGATAAAATATCGATGACTCGTCCGCTTTCATTCCGCTCGATATCGGTCTCTCGCGCGAGGCGTCACGCGGTCTTCGTCGAAAAAACGCCTCCCTTAAGCCAGTCCTTGCCGGTCGGCAAGGCGTCTGTTTTGGCCAACTGGCGGACACCGACACGGAGAAAAATATCCGGTTGAATGAAGGAAGAATTCCCCGGAGAAATACAACGCAGAGAGAGAGAGAGAGAGAGAGAGGGAGAGAGGAGAGACTGAACTCGGCCGAAATTACATCAAGCTTCCTCGCGTTGCCAATCGGAATTTCTCGATCATTCATATTTCATCGGGAAATTCGTTCACTCGGCCGAACTCGTTTCCCTTCGCGTGTGCGAATCTACTCGAGTCCACATTCGGTGCGGACGAAAATATACAATATTCCGAGGTGCGATTTTGTATTTGGAGAAAGGACTATTATCGCGAAACGCGAAAATACACACGTGTATTAATACTAGTACTCGCTCCACTCTCGCGTGATATTTAAACGAGCGAGCGCAGCCGGCTGTTACAACGAGACGAGAAGTCCCGACATTTCGGCGAAATCGCCACGCCGAGAAAGAGAGAGAGAGAGAGAGAGAGACCTCCACGACATCGCGACCTTTTCCTGAAATCCTGCTCACACTTCCGCGCGATTCTCTTTTTCCGCGGGACAATACGCGGGTCCATCGACCTGCTTTTACACAATCTCTCTCTCTCTCTCTCTCGCGGGCTATTTCGAAGAGTCTCGTCGTTACGAAATGATAAGATCGAGCCGGGTCTGTGATTAACAGCTTGCGCATTTGGCTCGCGAGAGCACGAAACGTCCGGGAGACGCGGTTCCAACGCAGGCCTCGCAGGTCTTTACGACGCCCGATGCCGCGATTGCACGGCGGTAACAATCGGCGGCGGAGTTTCGGGACAAGGCGCCGTTGATGCGCCTGCGATCGGATCGCCCGTCGACGAGGCTTCGAGCGGAACATCCTCGCGGACACGCGGTCGTTGTCTCGGGATAAATGGCCTACGTCCCGTGGACGATGATCTTCTCGGAGACGCGTGACGTCGAGCCGGTCGAGCAGCACAGCGCGCTGGTGTCTCCCGAGGAAAGAGCCTCGTTGTCCGCGGCCGAATCGCGACAGCGTTGCCTCTGACGGGTGAGTTTCGCGCGTCGTTAAACCTTAAGCACCCACGTGTCGTCTCCACGGCTGGAAATGTGTAATGATACCTCGGGCTCGTCAAATGCGCGCGCGTAATTTTGGGGGATGAAACATGGCCGCACTTTGCGCCTTAATCGCCGAGCACTAATCTCTAGGACTGGGCGAAAATTTGTTGGGAAATATCCGCCGAGATTCGGACGAGCTACAAGTTATTTGCTGAGAAATGAGTGAGAGAGAGGGGCCACATTTTCCTCTTCCTTCGGAGACTCTCCCTTTTCGTCTGTCTACGACATTTCCGGAGTTTTCTCGTTAAGAAAGATTATTATTATTATTATTATTATTCGCTCGATTCGCAGTCGTCGAGGAGAAGTCCCGTCGAGACAGCTGCCGTCGCTACTCGCGTCGCTCCGCTCGCGATAACGCGTAATTTCAAGTTCGCGTCCCTTCGGCCCCGTCACGTTTGCAATTAAAGGACCGCCGCGCCGTCGTGGATTCCACTCGCGTTCGGGAATAATGAACGGTATTGTTTTACGTGACAAAGAGAGTGGCTTCGCCTCGTGCGAGGAGCCGCGCAAGATGAAGAGCGCCGTCCTCGTTTGCGCCGAGGCGACTCGCAAAGGGAGGTCGATTCGCTTAAGGTGTAACAAATCGAATGTGGACGAGCGACGCGCGACGAGGGCTCGACGAGAGCGGCGAACGAACTCGTTTTCCTTTCCTCGACTTCGCGTCTCCATCCTCGCTTCCTTTGCGAACGGTTATAAGCCGCGACTAACGTGACCTCGTTTGTTTGCAGGATCGTTACCTGATATCGCAGTGACGATGGCATCGGGCAGAGAGATCCATGGCGCTTTCAGGTGAGTCCTGGACTCCACGCGGACGTTGACGCGCAGGATCCGACATCTGAGACGACGAGAAAGTCTGCTCTCTTTCTGAAAAAATAATAAATCCCTTCATCGTCGTCATTTTTCGTTCTCCTTTCTTGGTTTCTTATTCTTTTATTTTATTTTCTTTTTTTTTTTATTTTCTCAGCACGGGCCGCGGCACGACTTCGTGAAACGGACAAAACATTCTTCCCTCTCGTCTGTCTTTTTAATTAACGTTAATACGGAGCTTCGCGCGAGTGGAGAGGAAAGACGGAAAAGAGAGGGGGCAACCGTCCAGTCATTTCGTTTCGGTGATTCTCACGACGACGCACTCCTCGGAGTGCTCGCTGTTAACAATTGCAATTGCTCAAACGTACCGCTCGGGATGCGAGCGTGTAATTTCTCGCGCTCGCACTCGCACTCGCACGAGAGTGCGTGCGAGCGTCACGTGCGCAGAGACACGCCGGAAAGAAATGCCGCTTGGCCGTTATTTCGAGGCTTTTCGTGGGTGGCACACGCGTTCTCACGCGACCTTTGCAGATTCGGCGTGGGTGCATGCCGGGTCTGACAGGCTGAGGGCGGCGCGGGGGGGAGGGGGCCGCTTGAACGAGCCGCTGCACAAATAAGAACGCTGAAAAATTTATTAGGATATCGTTACATGTATTCACCTCGATATCGAATATCGCGAGAGGGAGAGCTCGATATTACGCGATATTATCGTCACGCAAAGACACCGATATACCCGCGGCGAATGTGAATTCAGATAACATCGGCCTGTCCGTGTCTGTGTGTGAAGTTAGCACGACGTTTTAAAAATTATTAAAAAACAAATGTTGGTTCCAGTAGCATTTCTCATGGTTCTACAGTTCCTGATAAAAATAGAAAAAAGTTCCGTATTCTTGATACCAAGGAAAGAATTTTGGTATTGACAATACGGAACTTTTTTTGTTATTTTCATCAGGAACTATGTAGAACTATGAGGAATACTACTGGAGCTAACAGTGTTTGTTGATAATTTTTAAAACGTCGTGCTAACTTCGCGCAGACGCGGCCTGGACGCGTTAAGGATATCCTTAAGGCATTCCGTCGGCAATGTTGATCCAGCAGCAGGAGAAGTCTTTGCGCGAGACGCGATCGCCGCGCTTCGTTTCGCACGATAATTATTAGCTCTGGCAGCTAATTCTTTCCGATAAAATTTACATAGTTCAGAGCAGAATTTAAAATTGAGATACTCTCCCGGCCTTTTGCAGTTTTGCGGTCTGTTGACATTGTGTTGACATTTAACTTTTCGAAATGGTTTGGCATTTGATGCACATAATCTCAAATAATCACTGGTGTTCACGATGACTAGCAACAAAGAGCATATCCGACGATGCATTTTGCATTTCGTTTGAACAAAATCGCAGCCAAAATGATTTGTGCTGCTTATGATGAAGATGCTGTGACCGATCGCACGTGTCGAAATTGGTTTGAACGTCTTCCAACTCGTGATTTTGATCTTCACGAGCAACCGCCCCGGTGAGCCAAAAAAATTTGAAGACGAGGAGTTGCAAAATCTACTGAATGAAGATACGGCACAAGCACAACAGGTACTTGCGGAAAAGCTGGGAGTAAGCCAGAAAACTATTTACAATCGTTTGGAAAAGATAGACCGAAAAGAAGGGAAGTGAGTTCCACACGAGCTGACCATTGACAACAAAAGTCGCCGATTGACCAAGTTGCCGTTACCTGCTCGCCAGACAACAAAAGAAGATTTTTTGCGCAAAATCGTAACCGGAGGCGAAAAATGGATTATGTATAAAGATCCCACACGCAAAAAATCATGGGTAGCGCGGGAATTAAAGCGCAAAGACCTCCTGGGAAAAAAATGTTGAGAGTTGACAGTGAGCGAATTTCCTGGCGAAATATCAACGGGTCAAAAGTTCCGCTCGAAGCTGTCAGGATTCAGTCTGAATGATCCAGATTTCCAGGACCCCCCAAGTCCGATGCCTGTCCTGCTGCCTTCAAAGCCGTTTGGCGCAGCTGGACGGAACTTGGCATTTCCTTGGCAAGCGTCTCCCGCGACTCGGATTTCGTCGTCGAGACGACAAGAAGAGGACGCCTTGCCGGGGACAAGAAGAAACCGAAGCGCGTTCGGCATCACCGGCGGCTTGCGATTAGCGCGATTACTCGGAATAAAGCCTGCGCCGCGGCGGCTTTATTCTCAGCGACGTCCGTTTATTTTTATTGCGCTCACGGCGATATTGATCTCGCAAGCGCGCCGCCATCCAGTTGACGTCGCTCGATTTGATAGTCCTTCATGAGTAATGCAACGTATAGTAGTAGTACGGCGTCACAGACAGAGGCTGAATGAAAAAAGAAACAGCACGCGAGGGCAGGAAGGGTATCAAGCGGACGAGTATCGGGTCTGTCTTTAGTCGCGGTGAAGTTACGCTCTTCTTGTTTCTCTCTTACGCGCCTTCGCCTCGAGCCCTTGCGGAGCAAGCCCTACGGCCGAGTATCGTTATCCGCGAGTGTACTTCGCGTGAATAAATGATTCCTCCGAGCGTGTCGACCCAGCTGACTTCCGCTTCCGAATGAAATATCGCGAGTATCTTCGCCGTTCGCGAGCGCCTTTCGCGCGTGTCCGGCAATCGATACGTTCACGGTGTGCACGCGCTCTCTCTCTCTCTCTCTCTCTCTCTCTCTCTCTCTCTCTCTCTCTCTTTCTCTCTCCCTCTCTCTCTCCCTGCAGCCCGAGCGGCCGGAGATTGGAAAGTTCCGCACTAAATTTCGCCCACGAATGCGAGATCCGTTTTCGCTCCCCGGCGGAATACCGCCGCGCGTTCATTCATGCCTGGCGATTTTCGCTAAGTCGCGCCGAGGCCCTGACGTCACGTTTAAGACGCCGACCTCGGGAGGAGGGAGGTTACGGTCCGTGCGAGAGCGAGGGCGCTTTTCTTCCAAAGATTGCAAGGGAGAGAGAGAGAGAGAGAGAGAGAGAGAGAGAGAGAGAGAGAGAGAGAGAGAGAAAGAGAGAGAGAGAGAGAGTGTTGAGGGGAAAGAGGGAAGCAACATTTACTCAGCGCTCTAAGCACCGTGCGTGAATTGATTATTTGTGAATCCGACGGAGTTATAACTCGGTATGACCGCGCACAGAGCCACGCAACAGTAGAGTGCGAAGGTATTCGGAAGAGAGAGCCAGAGAGAGAGAGAGAGAGAGAGAGAGAGAGAGAGAGAATAAGAGGGAAAATCCAAAGCATTCTCCCGAGAGGCGCGTATCAGCGCGCCCTTCGTCGGGCAAAAAGCCGCTCGTGAAAAGACGCGAGGCCATTATCGAATATAGCGCGAAAATAAATCGGATCTCGCTCTCTCGTGATCGAGGTCGATTTCCGCATGTACCGATCGCGCTCGTCGCGTTTCCTCGGCCAAATAACACGCCCGGGAGAGTCGTGATATCGAGAGCTCGAGAGAGAGAGAGAGAGGAGCGCGAGTGGAAGCGTCCAACGGCGATTCCAGCTGGGCGCTATTTCGAATTCGAGTTGCGTCGCCGTGTTGCGTTATCAACGGAGTGGCGAGGATGAGTCGCGCTGCGAGCGTACGCGAAGCAAGCTGCGGAGAGCTCTCGCGATTTCCGAAAAATCAATACTTTTCCGCGTTAACGCGCGCACGGCCGCCGGCTCGCCGAGATGACGTAACGCTTGACGCAAGCAACAATCGTTGCGGCCGCGATGCCGCAGAGAGAGAGAGAGAGCGAGCGAGCGAGAGAGAGAGAGAGAGAGAGAGAATGCCGGGGGGAGGGGGAGAGAGGAGAACGTCGATAGGAACATCGGACGTCACGAATGCCTTCGCTTCGCTTAGATCGGCGTTTTCGGGGCGGGACGGACAGACGGACGGACGGCCGGCTTCTCGGGGCCAATTCGAGGGCATTCTCGTCGGGGCATTTTTACGCGAGCGCGACGCACTTTTATGTGTTCGATGACCCACATTTCGACTATGACGACGCAGTTTCCCGACAGAGCAAAAGAGAAAGAGAAAGAGAGAGACAGAGAGAGAGAGAGACATCACTGTCGACGTGCGCCCCGCACTCGCGGGAAATTTGCAAATTTTCTCGCTTCGCCCCCCGCCGCCCTCCGGCCTATTAATCTTTCCGCTTCGATCGTCGCCCTCTTCCCTTCGACCCCGTTCCACCGCAGCTACATACCGCGAAAATGATCCGCGATTATCCAAGGCAGGCGCGCTGACAGCGCGAATGTATATCCCTCCGTCTGCCGTCTACATCGGCAACCCGCGCGAAATTGATTTCGCGCCACTTCGCCCGGCCTGACCGAACTCTCCTCCCGCTCGTCGGAAAAATGGAGTCTCCGGAAGAGACGCGGACGTCACAACGTGCTCGTGCGGCTGGTCTTGCGCGTTCTACCGCCGGCGGAGCGGCGCGTTCTTCCCGCGCTCTATTGAGTTGCGCTCTTGAGTTGAATCTCGCGCTGATCTCGCGGCAATCTCGTCTTCGACGAGCCGCGGATATGCTTCGACTCTCTTACTCTCTCTCTCTCTCTCTCTCTCTCTCTCTCTCTCGCGCGCGCAGATAATAATCGAGTCGTCGATAGGTATCGCCGCCAAGGCGATCGCCAAGTCTTCGAGTCCGACGCGCCGCGGCGGCCCGCGACCGAGAGGCGGAACGCGCTTTTCTATTTACGCCTCGCGCTAACAGCGATAACGCAGCTGTCTTTTTCCGCCGGTGATATCAGCCCGGGCGAAAAGAAGCTCGTAAATCCGTGCGTAAACAAGCCCTAGAACGCGCGAGGCGCGAGGCTCGCTGGAGAGGGATAATTCTACATTCGATTGTGCACGGCTCGTGTGCAACGAGATACCGAAGGCCCCTGATACTGAAATGAGAGAGAGAGAGAGAGGGGGCAGGAAGAGAGAGAGAGAGAGACTCGGATAGCCGCTCTCGGATCGATACTCGCCACGGTTTCCGTACGAGCTCGACGAGGCACGCGATCAAAGTAGAAATCATCCTGCCCCGCGCCGCGAATGCAACGACCTTTATCGATTCGTCATATTCGCGAATGACTCCCGGCTGACTCGTCACGTCGCGCCGGTGACGCCATCAGAACGATGTCGCGACGCTCGTGACGCGATGACCGACGTCGTAAATTGTTGTTGCCTGATGAAAGGGCAGGACGGGGGCGCGGACTCGCCGCGGTCGTTCCATTCTGTGTCGTTTATATTATTCATTATCTTCCTTTCTCCCTCTATCTTTTTCTCTGATTTCATCTACTCGTCGGTAAACTCGGGCGTAATAATTATCAGCGCGTCAAATCGGCTTGAAGAATAAAGGAAGTTGGTGTAAAAACGCAGTAAAGGGGATATACTCGTAAATTGTGTGCTATGGAGAACTGAGCGTTCTTCAACTTGTAAATACCCCGATTGTTTCATCATCTCTCATTATCGCACTGCGATTCTTCTAGTGACGTTTGTCGAACAAGAGATCGCGCAGATTAATTAACATATCGCGTGCGTGAGCACGACCATGTCGAGGTACCAACGTCTAACGAGGGGAGGACTGGAAGAGTGCGAACGCGCTTTTGGAATGCGGCTTTTGTCCATTTGCAATAGATGGTTCTTCATATCATATGGGATATTAAGGGTCCTAAACATTAGCTTCAGGCACCTCTTATTTTTTATCCCGCGTAGAATCTCCCTTTTCCAACCTGAACTCGAGTTCATGAGTCCCAATGAGATCGGTTGCGAAAGGCTTGTCGGCTAGGAAACAGAATTGTCCACTTCCGAAGGATTAATCATTCTCACGAGGAAGATCGGCGAAAAATTAACATGTCCAACTTCCCATTTTGCCTTCAACGCCCAAACTGCCGGCCTGCGAAAAATGGCGGAGCCTTCATCGGGAGATGGAGTGATTTTCTAGCACAAACGGAAATAATTGAAATTAATTCTAAAATATCTCTCTCGCTTTAATTCAGTTTATTTATTTGCTAAATAAAATAATAACTAATAATAACAATTAGTATATATGTATATAGTATAACTGTCAGGCTATTTATACCGTTATATTCGTCACATTCGAGCTTGAATAAAAGAGCCTCAGCAGCTCTTCCAGCCGGATGAAGGTTAATGCAGCCAATATACACCTACGCTCCTTCGACCACTCGACGAGCTCCGCTCGAAACGCCCCCGTTATCGGAGAACGAGGAATGCTCCCCGGCGACGGAGAAATTGCCGCCCCGTCAGCGCTAAACGTAGAAAAATGTTTGACCGAATGAACGAATCTCTCCCGCCGAGGTATGGACGATTCGGGAATTCCGCTGGAAGAATAGCGGAAGTCTGCTGGCTGAGGAACGATCTTTCGATCGTGTTCCAACAGAATCCCGGCAGCTTGAAGCGGAACTCCTGTATCGTCCATACTCGAGCGGGGAGACGAACCCGCCTGTCGAAGCGCGTCTCTACCGCCATTCTGCCTCTCTTGCAGCCTCATCGTGGACGACGTGGATTCGCACTCGATCCTCAGCGACGGCTCCGACCTGGACGGGCTGTCGCGCGAGAGCAGCTCGCAGAACTCGGCGTCGCAGACCCCGCTGGACAGCCCGGGCGGGCCGAGGGAGAGGATCAAGCAGATGCAGGTGGAGGCCGAGACCAGGCGCGGCGAGTTCGCCAGGCTGTTGGAGGAGCACGCGCAGGTGGTGCGCAAGCTGAAGATGATGGAGGCGGAGGAGCAGCTGTCGACGACGACCGGCAACGTCATCGGCGGCACGCACGCGTGATTTTACGTGGTCGAGGGGCAAACGGCGCTGAGAGCCGGGACCATCGCGTCGATGCGACCACCATCGTCGTCGTCGTCGTCGTCGTCGCCGCCGCCGCCGCCGCCGCCGCCGCTGCCGCCACCGCCGCCGCCGCCATCATCGTCGTCTCCGTCTGGCCGCGTCTCTCCTGTCCCGCCGGCGACCGTGACTCGCGCTCGAGAAGCCGACGACACCGACGTCGCCGGACCTGTGGATCTTTAACCCTCTCGGATGTGACTGCTGCAGTTGGCGGCCGCGGTCCGCGTCCGAGGGTGGCGGTCGGGTTGCCAAGGCTGAAGAGGGTCCTGTGGAGACTCGAGAGACGGCGACTTCTCTCGCTCTTCTGTTTCCCTTCGACGCGTTTTCTCCTCGCTTTGCCAGCCGAAGGCAAAGCCGAGCCCGAGGCTGGCTCTCGTCCGGCGAGGACGAAGCTCGCAAACGACGGCTTGCAAACGGAAGGCGGGCGATCAGCCGGAGGATCCAAGCGGAGGATCGCTCTTTCTCGTGGACGCGACGCGGTTACGGCGACTGCGAGCGAAGCGAGAGATTGCCTCTTGCAGATACTCGCGGACGAATTCGAATAAAGAGGGGGGTGAGAGAGTGAGGAGGAGAAGAGAATGAAGCTTGCTTCCAGATACACCGCGATCGATCTGTATCGTTCAGGACTCGGGATCGGCGGGATTGAGCGACAAGTCGATCGGTTAGCAGCGCTCTCGCCAATTTCCAATTCGACTTCGGCGACTTTTCCGGCGACATCTCGAACGAAAAACGGCGCGACCGCAAAGTCAGTCGATCGCGAAGTCGACCGACGGGGGAGGTTCAAGGGAGAAGTCCGCGTCGAGGAGAAACGCGGATAATCAGCCTTCCGCGGTGAAGGGTGCAGGAGGGTTGCGGCGGGGGCGGGGGAGGGGAGGATCGTTCTTACTAGGCTCTCGTTTGCCACAAAGTCTGAAAAACCCACTAGACACGACAATAATGAGGAACACTTATGGGGAAAAAAAGTAAATAAATAAAACGCGCACGACGCGCGACGCGCCGGACGCGTGCCGGACGGACGTTTTTCTCTTTTTTTTTCCTTTTTTTTTTCTAGCGCGAAACAAGCGCGGAACACTCCCGCCCGTTCGAACTAGCTCAGCAGCAACGGCTGGCCTAAGCGTAGTACAAATTTTGCAGTCAAGTCTTAATAGAAAAAGAAAAGAAAAAAACAGGCGCGAGCCGAGCGTGGGCCGAGAGAGTTTCCGCGGTGCTGCAATCTCAGCGGAGACGAGAAGCTGAGGAGAGACGACGAGGCGCGCGCGACGTCGCGTCGCTCGCGTCGTCGGCTGATGGGGGGGGGGGCGGCAGGAAGAGGAGGGGCAGGGGGGACGGTGTCGACGAACACGTTAGCCTACTCTCGAGAGACGGGGTACAAGCTTCTACGTTTTATAGTAACCGTAGAGTTGAGTGTTCCATAACAGTGTGTAAGCTAGTTTTATATATCGTAAATACACGTGTACGACAAAGCGGTGTCTGTGTGTGTGTCGGATCTGACGGAGGAGGAGGAGGAGGAGACGAGGAGGAGACACGCGCTTTTGACGAACGAGCGAGCGCAAGCCTGGCTTTCTTTCCACGCGCGTCGATGACGTCAGTCGAGCGTCGTTGATTAAGCTCGATCGGCGATGCCGCGAGATCCGGTTCTTCCGCAAATCTCGACGACGCTGGCTGAGGAATCCAGCGCGATCGTCGTGGTGTCGTGGAGAGGAAACGGACATCGCGCCTCGACGTGAGTGTCGAGTTTAATCGACAACGGTGACATCGATTGGCATCGAATCTCTTCTGTGCGAAAGCACAGGGGGAGGAAAAAAGGCGACACCCGAGAGCGTCAACTTTGAGAGTGTCAACTTGAAATCCATAGCGTCAGCGTGCGATCGGCTCCGGGAGTATTCCGCGAAGCCAAGAAGAAACGGTCGCTAAATTTACTGAAAAGTTTCTATTGAGATCTAAAATGTTGAGAAAAATTTCCTACATGAGATCTCAATGATTTCATTTGATATCTCATTTGAGATATCAAATGAAAAAGTAAGAAATGACATTTCAATCGACATATTACACGAAGAATAAAAAAGCTTCTCTATTTTTCTCAATTGATGAATATCATTACTTATACTTTCCAGGTAAATATTCACCTTTAGAAGAAGCACCTCAGAACGACTCTGACTTTGACATATATTGCAAAAATCACACTTTTAAACCTTCACCTCCGCCATACAAAAGTCGGCGGTCAGTCAAAAAGCAACATTCTAGAGAAAAAATATGAATCTTATATATGTAATATATCTATTAAATCTTCGTCTTGCTTGAAATTGATGAATCTACAGTATATTAATCGAGATCTCATACGGGAAGTTCTTCGGAAATCTCGTTTTAGATCTCAATAGGAACTTCTCGGCACGGAAGATCGTCGGAAGACGGGACGCGAGGACCCGTTCGCAGCAACGACACTTCATCTCGCATCTCGTTCGGTCTCACTCCGGGCAATCAGGGAGTCTGCGTAAAGGAAGGTCGCTCTCGCGACGAGACGCAGCGCTGACCCAAGTAGAACAGAAAATCATGATGACATCAAAATGACAAGAAAATGACCGAATCATGATTAAACAAAGAGTTTTCCTCTCATCATTTTGATATCATCATGATTTTCTGTTCTGCCCGGGGATGTTCTACGCGTGTCACGTCAGATCCGCGTCTAGGTATTAGGGCATTAGGTATCCTCATAGGCATTTATAGACTTGTAAGCATACACGAATATAAAGAGACACAGTCAAGTAGACCGCCGCGTTAAATAATACAGCCCTAGCGTAGAGAGAGAGAGAGAGAGAGAGAGAGAGAGAGAGAGAGAGAGAGAGAGAGAGAGAGAGAGAGAGAGAGAGAGGTGTCTATTGTTACACACAACGCGCCAGTCCACGTCCAGGACCGCCAATTGCGCGGGACTCGCGCCAATTGGATATCTTCGCCGCTTTGATTAATTCGTAAAACGTCACAGACGTCAAACGACAAAGGTGACGCGCGATGACGCTCGTGCGCGGCAATCGAGCGCCGAGAGAGAGGGAGAGAGAGGGGGAGAGAGAGAGAGAGAGAGAGATGACGACTGTTGCTCGCGCTCCTGGCTCCTCTTGGTGAACCTGGCGCGCGCTCTCGTCGGATCGATGCGCGGGCGAAAGCTCCCAATTGTCGGGAGACGCGGGTCCAAGAGGAACGGCGCCGAGAGCGAAGGGAGCGCGTTGTGTGAGCAAGGAGGCTGGAAAATACGTAAAATAAGGAATAGCGACCGAATAAAACTTTAGCTGCTCAGAGAAACGTAAAGTGCTCTGACGGAAATTTCGCGGGGGAGGGGCGACAGGTAATAATCTTCCCGATGCATTCGCGGCTAGACCGCGGACGAACGACCAGGACGACGGGAGGACGGGGGGGAGGGGAAGATAAGAAAATATGCGCATTGTTTGCAGGCGCGAGGCCGCGAGATTTCTACGGGCATTATTGTAACGTTAAGAAAGCTACCTTATACGTACGTGTCACCGTATTGTAGTTTTTACTATTATCATCATTCGTACGGATTAGAAGTGTGTTAGAAGACGGCTGTACATGATATACACATTTACCACGTTTGTAATGAAATGTTGAGAAAATACGCGGACTTTTTATTTCGCTCGCGGACCCAGGAACGTCGCGAGCGGCACGGCGAGTTCCGTCATTATCGGTTCCGCTTTCTACCGTCGCAACGGCGAATGTGACCACACTTAAAAACTCGACAAGGTGCGGTGTAATATTATATATATATATATATATATATATATATATATATATATCACGCCGAGTTGGCGCAATTGAGAGAGAAGCGATTGAGAGCGAGAGCGAGCGAATGAGCGAAAGAGAGAGAGAGAGAGAGAGAGAGATTTATATGTAAATTTTGGACGTATTATCGTACATACTGTGAGACACTAAACACGCTGTTGAGTTTTGAAAAGAACCGCTGCTTGACTAATTATTTATATAGGCTCGTGGATAAGCGAGATAATAATGTATGTAAAACGACGGTTGCTACTGGAAAAAAATATACATATATTTTATTGAGTTGACAATGAGCATACAATTACATTCTCTATCACAGTAACCACTTTTGATTTTCCCCTCAAGCACGCACGATTATCCGACGCAGCAGTGTCAACAAACGCACGGCTTTGCCCGCGCTCTTAAGAGAATATTATTATATTTGGCATATGTCATGATCGATCGTGCGCAATTGCGCGAGAACGGCAGCCGTGCTTATTAATGCGGTGACTGTCGCGCAACGCCAATTGCATCGGTAACTCGTCGAATCTAGCATTTACGAGATTACACCTACAGACTGATAAATTATTCTCAAAGAACGAAGCGACACCTCTCGCGTGACGAGAAAGCAGATGACCCGTTTAAGATACGACGCAAAAGATACGCAAGTACAAGCACGATATTTCAATTGCGCGGAAACAACATAGACAGAAAGTTCATCGCTGAGATACACAAGGAGAAAATTAAGAAAACATCTCGAGAGCTCCGACCGAAACTGTAGCCGGGCCCGCCCGTTCAAGTCGCGACAGTTAGGCGACAGTTAATGCGACGCGTCTCAAATGAAGTTATTCGATATGAAACGACTATATATTAATAATCTTATTACCAATAAGTGGACAATTGTATTATTAATTATATGTGACTTGCAGGAAATTATATCAAGTAGAATTTCATTCGAGCTCTCCAAATGTGTCGCGCGTGTGACGACGGGAGGGTGAAATTCTTGGCACAGCTTCGATCAAAATTACGATGACGGTAGATAACGTTTCGTTCAAGAGTCTGTCACTTCTCGCTGAAGAAGGATATGTAGATCATCGATATTTACTATTTCACGGCCCAGCCTCTCTGCGCTGACCCACCAGTAGCATTAATCTGTGACTTAACTGTACATTATGATCCCTCAGGTATCTTATCAAATCCGCCTGCTTTTCCAGCAGTTCTTCCAGGTTCGATCCCCTCGGGTGATAACCGATCTCACCGCTTCCAGCGTAGGAGTCCCGGGTAAAGGATGACAGCCATTCCTCGCGAGTGACGTCGGCCGGTGGACGTAATCGATTAAATTTCATAACCCTCTCTATTCGAGAAACAAATATATGCGGATATCAGCAGGGCGTAGTGGCATGTAAACAATTAACGTTAACAAGCGGTTAACGAAGCGAAGGAGATGGCAGGGATCAAGATGTCTAGCTCGTTAATAAGTAGATGGATCATCAGTTAAAATCTATGCACTCGAGACGTCTGTCCTCTCACAACGTGAAAACATCGAGAAAGTACTTTAGCAAAGCGCGACTAGTTATTTCCCAAGTTTTCTCAATGCTTCCAAAGGGTTTCTTCTCGTGAAGTCACAAGCTTCCTCAATTCAAAGCCATTTACAGCGATAGGAGATTAAGGTTGTTTTCTTATCTCAAGAAATGTTCCGTCTCTTGAGCAGCCAAATTGTATGTATTCTCTTCTCACAAGGTACTTACTGATGTAATTAATGTAAACTGGCACGATTATCACGAGCTCCACAGTGGTTAGCAGAAAAATGTAGTTGAGCGGTGTGAGCCATTCCGATGTTCTGCAATACCGCTCGTAGTCAACTTTGTGCGTATGGTGCAGAATGACGGCTAGAAGCAGGTAGCACGTATTCCACAATGACGTGATAAACAGGGGCGTTCTTACTTGCTGATATGTCGTTTGATAAAAATCTAAGTAACCGTTGATACGCAGTTTATGATGTTTCGTCTTGATAATATGATCCGCCACCATCACTATCAGCCAATAAATACAGTGAAGGTACAGATATATGAAATACGTGTCGCATTTATTCCGCTCCTCTGGCCAGAGGGACACAAACACGATCCCGGTGATCCCCAGTGAGATCTACGGCACAAAAGTTCCACCACAGTTGCAGCGTGTCCAATCTGGACTTTTAAACGTGACAGCAGAAACATGAGGTATACCTTACCCCGAGAACAAATGGAATCGACGCGATCGCCACGGTGTTCAGCGGCTGAAAACTGTCCTCCTCTTGGGAGCTCAAGATTGGCTGAAAACACTCCTCGTCGTCCATGTTAAGGGGTGCGTCAAAAAACACGGCTCCCTGATATAGAGACGCCTAGTTTAAACCTGACCTAACACTTTGGAACACAGGTAAGAATGGCACATCAGCTACAGAATGACAGGGTGGAGGGAACGTCCCAAGAAATGTTCAAGGCAAAGCAAATCATACGTATCGCGAAAAGAAACTTGGCTCTTCTCTACCCAGATAAAGCCCGACAGGGGAGTTCTGCCCCTCACCGATGCTCTCTACGACGCAACTCAAAGACGTTCGACCGAGAAGGCAATTTGCGCATTTACGACGTATGCAACTACGACGTAGTTGCACGCAATCAGCGTATGTGTATATCGACGAGACGATAGAAGCGTGTTTACAATCGGAATGCGATTCGCTGCTAACATTGATGATCCTCTCGAACTCCACACGCGCGTCGCGGCTACAACATCGAATCTCGCGCTGAGGGAATTCACCCCCGTGAATTAAGCAGTCAACCCGCGAAAGCACTCGGGACGCTCGGGAACGACGCGCAGAGAAGCGCAGGAGGCGAGGTTAGGATCGTGTTAGGTTATGTTGTGTTTACGTTGGCGACGTCTGACGACTGACGACCGACGAGGTACACGGGGTGCTGCATCGTATCGATCGCGATGCACGACATGTGTACATACTCACGCTCCCAGAAGTGCTCGAATTCCGTAAGAGGCTGACCATACCACACGACTTCGCGTCAGCAGCATCAGAAGCGCATCGGATGAAACCTGCCGCCGGCCGCCGCCCGTCGCCACTCGTCAGCCCGCTCGAATTCGCTCGAGTGAGGAGCACTGGCGCGCGCTTACGCAACGCCCGACGCTACGTCGGCGTCATTCATCGAAGCAGCGGTTCTCAGCCGGCTGCTTGCTTGAAGACGCAAACTTTGGTTAATCTGATCGGCGATTAACCAGCGGAATCGCCAACGGCGATCTCCCTCACTGCGTAACTTGTCGTCCGACAGCGACCGAAAGATTAAGATAAGAGCTAGCTGTGTGTGTGTGTGTGTGTGTGTGTGTGTGTGTGTGTGTGTGTTGGCGCACCGTCCTATTAAAAAAGTTCTATTGAGATCTAAAATCCGAGATTGCCGGAAAAATTTTTCATATGAGAATTTAATTATTTCATATGATATCTCAATTGAGAGATGTATGATGAAAAAATAACTAATGATATTTCAATTGAGATATGAAAAACAGAAAAACTTTTCTATTTTTATCAATTAAAGTGTAAATATTTATTTTTTCTATTGAGATCTAAAATGAAATTTCTGAAAGATTTCTCACATGAGATCTCAATTATGTCTGATATATAATGTCTCAATTGAGATATATGAAAAGATAAGGAATGATATTTCGATCGAGAAGAATAGAGGAGCTTTTCTATCTTCAACATGATATCTCAATTGAAATATCGTTATTTTACTTTTTCATACATCTTAATTGAGATTTCTAATCGAGATATCATATAGGAAATATTTCGAAAATCTCATTTTAGATCTCAATGGAAATTTTTCAGTAGGACGGAGTAATTTGATTAACGCTGATTAATAATTTTCCAGCAAACACCACGTGACAACACTAACATAACCGTTAGGGAAATTGTAACTAATACTTATATAACTTCCACTTGGCTCCGTTTGCTGGCTTTAAATTGTAAAGAGTTGTAAAGAGACGCGATATTAGACTTTCAGTTTCACTTGAGCTGCAGATCGTCTTTTGTCGCGTCCATGTTGGTGATTCCGTTGACTAAGGATAATCGTCCTTAATCGAAATTCGGCGAAAGTCCGCGGCAAACGCCGCTGTAGCACTCGGCGGTGAGACAACGGAGCGAGATGCAATTACCGGGATTCAGGCGGAAGAAATTTCGAGGGGCGGGGGAGATGCAGTTTTATAATCCGCTCACACACACACACACACAGCGAATACGTTTCACGTGTGTGCAGGGGCATTAATCAGAGCGCCGTTGCGAAAATATACACCGGAAGCAAGAAGCGATGTTCCGAACGCGCTCGCGACATGAATCCTGATCGCGTGTTTTCGCTTTCGAATCCGAGTCGTAAAAAATCCGTCGTAAAATCACCGAGCGTTTATTGACATTCCGACGTAATGAGCATCTTATCGCACGCCTCGTCTTGCTTTTGTTTCGTCGGTGTGCGGTTCGCGCTCCGCGCGAAGGAACCGCGGCGGGAAAAATTACCAGCCTTGAGCTGTCTTCCTCGTCATCGAAACGCGGATTTGCGCGAGGGCTCATCACAGGCGCTCAAAGGATCACAGAGGAGAGATCCCAGTCAGCGGAAAGCCCGAAGAAACTTGAACTTTATCTTTATTACTCGCTCAGTGTGAAACAGAACGATTTCTGCTGAGCGATCGCTGCTACTACGTACATTGAAAGCTCCTTTCAAGAAAGAAGATAAAAGGATCAAGATTGCGTACTTTTTATTCATTCGAGCGACGATATTCGCTGTCGCGCAGAACCATGATGTAAATCGCGTAAACTCATTAGAACCTCAAGTAAAAGGCATCGGCCGTTTATGGCTTCCTTTGTCGCCGGACGATAACGAGAATAGCAGGCAGCGAGCTCGTAAGAGACGTCTTAAAGACGCCTCGAGGAAATAGGATGTGTCTTTTGCACACCTTTAAAACGCATCTTCAAAGTTTGCGCCGTCTGAGGATATTTCTCTGCTGCCAAGAGTATTTCCCCGAGAGAGCGAAAATGTCCCGAGTTGAAGGCGCACACGGGAGCTTCGCTCCCCCCGCGAGTTCACGCTGGAAAAAGGCCAAAGTCGGGGCGAATCTTCCTCGAGATCGGCCGAAGAGAAGAGCCCGAAAGCCCGAGCCTCCGACTGACGAATCAAACTTGACAGTCTGTCATTGGAACACCGTGCAAGCTCGAGCCATGTGGCCGCCGGCTTGCGAGGACGCTTGCGCGCGAATAAACACGTGGTGAAGCGCCGAGCTTGTCCGCGGCGCGCCAGCAAGGAGCTTGCAGTCTCGCGTGTTATCGCTACGGGAACGTTTCCCCTCGACCTCAACCGCCTCTCTCGTCACAGCCACGCACCCCTGGAGACTTGCGACGACAGGACGAGAGCCGGCCGCGAGGGGAACGAAAAGCGACCAGACAAATCGCGCGCGACGAATCCCTGCGGATATAAATTCCGCTCTCTCTCTCTCTCTCTCTCTCTCTCTCTCTCTCTCTCTCTCTCTCTCTCTCTCTCGTCTCCCTACGCATAAACACCAACGCCAATGGCAGTCGCCGAGAACTGTCGAGAATTCCGTTGACTCACCATCGAGAGATCGCCGGCCAAATCCGCAGCCCGGGGAAGCCCGACGAGCGCGCAGAGAAACGCGGGCGTCCTTTGGTGATGCGGGAGAACGCGAAACCGGGAACGCCGATCGAGGAATGCCCGCGGTCCTCGCGCTGACAAGCCGTCGAAGAGGTCGAGCTTGCGTCGCGAAGCGACGATGAGCAAAGAAGAGAGCAGCGGCGAGCCGCAGCAGGACGCCGCCGCCGCCGCGTCGGACGCGCCGTCGAAAGACCCGAACGCGGAGATCTATGAGAACCGTGGCACCAAGAAGATCGTCCGCGTGGTCACCGTGATGGCCTATCTGTTCTCCGTGAGCTTCGTGGGTATCCTGTTGAGCGCCTACTACATATTCCTGTGGGAGCCGCCGAACCCGAGGCTCATCGAGAGAGAACGCCTGCGAGCCGAGCCGCAGATGCAGTTCCTCATCGCCCAGCCGTACCTGGAGGAAGCGGAACACCCGAGGGAGAAGGAGAGCTTCCTCCTCGAAAACGTGCCGAATCGCACATTCAAGAGCAGGCCTCTTCAGGGTCGCATTGCGCACGAACCCGGCGTTCTCGCCGGCCCCGTCTCCCCAGGAGATCTCATGGCCTCCCGCCAAGAAAGGTTGGACGCGATGCTGCTGAAGCTCAAGTATTCGCTCATGGAGACCCTGCGAGAGGCCCGGAGGAACCGGACGAGTCGCTTGCCGCAAGAGGCGACTACCAGCGAGCCGGACGGCTTGTTCTTCGGGGCGAAAGCGGCAGAGAAATCGACGGAGGATGCGACCTCGGGCTACGCTGAAGAAAGGGTTTCCCCACAGGGAAACGCGCCCGTGGAGAAGACTCGGGTCGACGGCGACGGTGCTGGTCTGTCCCAGGAGTCGCCGGACTCCTCAAGCGTGGATCCACTACTTTCAAGAACCGCGATTTCCGACGACGAGCCGAAGCAGACTCGACGTTCCGAGGAAGCCGTTGGTGGCGTAAACCCGCCGGTTGTCGGAGGTGAGACTCGAGATCCTGCAGAGGAGAGACCCACGTCGTCGTGGCGATGAATCAGCGGGAAATCCCGCCGCTGGTCGGAAGATCGAACGCGATCGGAAGGAGCGTCCGCAAATGATAGCGCGTTGACTCTTTGAGGCGTAGTGGGATAAAAAGCGTCTCGCATTTTGTTACTTGTGTACGCACAGTGGGATATTTTGCATCCCACCTTGAGATATTAAAATAACTCGAAGCAGTTTATAATTGGTTTATAATTGGTCGCTTATAAATGAAACAAGCCTGCTTTGTGTTATATCATTTTAAATAAAATTTCTACTAAAATTGCTAGTGAAATTTTTACTAAAAAATTTCTATTAAAAATTTCGACTAAAATTTTTAATAAAATTGCTACTAGTCTTCTTTGCTCTGAAAATCCCGTGCCCCAAAGAGTTCACGCCCCGGCGACGACGAATGTGTCGCCAACGAGAGGGTCGCGCGCGCGCGAGGGTGTCGCCGGACGACTCGACTCGATACTCGCCGACGATCCGGTCGTAAATGTGCGACGTGCGTCGTGAGATTCCAGAGAAACAGCGAAGGTGAGAGGAGCCGCCGACGCGAATTCCCGCCTGTGTTTATCCCGAGTCGTGCCTGCGTGATTATACAATGGCCGCTGCGTCATTCGCGCTTTTCTCCCGCCGTTCGCTCTCGTTTCCTCCATCGACGATGGGCCGCCTGGTTCTTTAAGATTATTGTTTTTCTTATTATTATGATTGTCGGCTTGATGGAATTTGAACACGAAGGTCGAATGATGAAGCGTCGGGCCCTACCGATCAATTTCTATTGAGATCTAAAATGAGATTTCTCCGAGAAATTTCTTATATGAAATCTCAATTATTTCATATATCTCATTTGAGATCTCACATGAGATATTTCAATTAAAATATCATTACTTTTCATATAACTTCTCCTTTGATACTTTGATTGAAATATCATTATTTGTTTTTGATACTGAAAAATTTCTCTTGAAATCTGAAATGAAATTTCCGAGAAATTTCCTATAGGAAATCTCACACACACACACACAATTATTTCATATATCTTAATTGAGGTATTGTATGAAATAATTGGAATCTCATACAGAAAATTTCTCGGAAATCTTATTTCAGAACTTAACAGAAATTTTCCAGTAAGAGAAAACTCGTCCCCTGAAGGACGTCTGGAGCAAGGATTGAGAGAAAGAGAGATTATTATTATCGCAACTCGACGAGGGAGAAGGAGGAGTAAATACAAGTTGGAAGCATTCTTTTAGCAGCGTATAGCCGGAGCTGAAACTCGAGACGAAGCGTCGAATCCGCCGGAACATCTGCCGGAGTTTATCCTCTCGTTATTCTCATCAGAGCGCAGCTCGTTGCTCTCGCCAGGATACCGCGCGGGCTCCGACTCGTCCAAACAAATACGCGCGAGGATCTGACGAATGTCTTCGATTGTTCTCTGTCCGGCGCTCTCGAGGATACACGCGCGCGGTTAATTCACCTCCGACGCGATTCTACGCCGCGCCGATCGGCAGGAGGCGGCGGATTTCCATTCGGCGCCTACGTCTCCGAGCGAGAGGAAACAGAGAGAGAGAGAGAGAGAGAGAGAGAGAGAGAGAGAGAGAGAGAGAGAGAGAGGTAGAGAGAGAGAGAGAGAGAGAGAGAGAGGGGGGGAAGGGAGGGAGAGAGAAAAGTTGCGGTCTCTTAGCCGCAGGAAATAAAGAAGCGTTCCCTCAAGGGACACGATGGGGCGCAATGATTAAAGCCTTAGAAATAAGTCGGTGGATCGTTGCGCGATGATTATCCGCGCCGTCCGTGTAATAAGCGAAACAGGGTCAGGTCGATTATGGCTTCTCCTCCGCGTTACATCACGCCCAAGATCCGCTAACTTTTCAATATTATCGCCCGCCGATGCGAATAATATCGCGGGAGAATAGCGCGGAGTCTGGCCGGAGTCTGTAGCGCAGTTCGCGCTCCAGGACGAAGGTCTCCTCCGCAGAGTCCTTCGCAGAGGAGGACGTTGCGGAGGCTTCGCACTGTGCTCCCTCGACTGTGCGAAAGTCAAACCGAGGGCACGTCTTCCCCGATCGAACAATGCGTCTTGTTTACCGAGGAGAAGACCGAGGGGCTACGTCTCCGTCCGCTGCTAAAACAAAGGCGCGCCTTCTCTTATAGGACAAGCAGAGCGACGAAGCTGCGGCAAGTCCATCCATTCTCCGGACGAAATTGCTTAGCAGCTCTCTCTCTCTTTCTCTCTCTCTCTCGCTCCCGTGCCGACCCTCTCGTCACGCTTAATCCCATTTCGCGGGGCTATACGCACTCTCGCGCGCTCCACCTCAAATATTCCACTCGGCTTCCCTAATTTACATTCGCATCTTCCACGCGTCTCTCGCGACCTTGCAAGGTTCCCTCTGATGCGCCACGCGGTTATGCCGAGCCTCCGCGTTGCTGCTCCTCGAGGAAAAAGCAGAAGAGAATCGGCAGGCCGAGAGGACACGAGTCGGTCGCGGAGTGCGAAAGCGGCAGCGACGCGATTTCGCAGTTCTCCGCCTGTGATGAAAATCTACCCAAGCCGACCTGTTGTGAGACGTGACCTTTTCGATCGCTCTTTTTTTGTACTCGTAGACATATATGTATGTCTCTATCTCCCTCACTCTCCGGAATACACACGCTCGCAACGCATGTACCTCTCTTTCTCTTTCTTCCTCTCTCTTGCTTGAAAAACAAAAGGTGTGAACAAATGAAATGATACAAAGCAGAGGCAGGTGTAACGACCTCGTTGATCTATCCTCTCACGTTGATGAATCCTTTTGACACGAGAACGGCGAAAAGCTCAGCGGGTCAAGGTTCCAGAGCTTGCGCACTGAATGTTCCATCGTGCACCCAAGGCGGCTGTGTTTCCCGCAGCCGCGCAGCGCGCGATACGGGCATTCGCGAGAGCCGGCATGCAGAAATAGTCGGAGGAACGTACGTGTTGCTCGCGTGGACAAAAGAGTCAAGGAAGAAAGAGAGAGAGAGAGAGAGCAAGGAAGGAAGAGAGATCATCCATCGATTCCTGCGAGGCAGATTCCTCTGTGCATTCTGCAACCCGTGGGTGAAGCTTGCATCTCAAGGCGACACGCCCTGTCGCGTCTTCGGGGTATCTTTCTCTCTCTCTCTCTCTCTCTCTCTTTCTCTGACGCAGGCGCGCGCGACGATAGTATTCGAACGACACAATTCCCGTATCAAAGTTGAAAAGTGCGAGGAACCGAGCCGATCGAATCGAAAGACTGAGAGAGAGGGAGAGACTGGGGGAGAGGGAGAGAGCGCGAGAGAGAATGGTGTGAGTGAGTGAGTGCATATATGTGTGTGTGTGTGTGTGTGTGCAATTCGCAATGAATCAGCAATAAATGTTAATGCTAATGTGTAACGCGCTCAACACGCTCAAATATTCCTACGTTTACAAACACGACCACGAAAGGGACTAAAATTAGCTCGCGTTGCCTCGCGCCTGGCTCAAACTCTCACGTGAGAGACGTGCGATCGGAAATTCGACACGTACGAATCGATGGTCTGACGTTCACACGTAAAGATGAGTCCATCTCTTTCGCACGAACTGGCAGCAGGCGTTCGACGCAGAAGCGACCGGGGACTCTGCGAGGGAAGAGCAGTCGCGATCCTGCGGAAGCTGGACGACTCGCGTCAAACGAGGACCGTCAGCTCTTCAGCATCGAAAGGGACCCCTTCGCGATCCCTTTTCCAGCTCCTCCGCTCCTAGCCGCGAGACGATGACCGTGTCGCCGGTTGGACGGCGTGAGACGTGATCTCGACGATGCAGCTGCCGCGGAAGATGAGCGCGCACAACGTAATGGCGAGCATCAGCCGAAGCCTGGGCAACCGCGAGAACAAGGCGACAGCGGCCAACGAGGTCCGCTTCGCCGGTGAAGAGCGGAAGGACAAGCTCTACGAGACGAAGCACAAGCAGAAGGTGGTGCGAGTGCTGACGGTGGTCGCGTACGTCATCTTCGTCAGCAAGGCGGCGATACTGCTCTCCTTGTACTACACCTTCGTGTGGAACCCCAAGGACCAGTCGGTCAGGATGATGAGGCTCGACAAGCCGGAGTGCGCCAAGCCCTCGCACGACTCCCTCACGACACCCCCGATCTCGAACGGTAACGACGCGCATCAGACGCCAACGACCTAATTGCAACTTGCCGCATTACCGTCGCTGTAACACTTTCCTAATCATCGGAAATCAATTGCAAAGTTTAATGCCCCGCGCACGGTAAAGGCGTTACGCTTTTACGGGGCCGCACGCGAGATTGCATGCGAGTGAGAGGTTTAGAGTGACAGAAATTGGTCACAAGGGCACATTTCTCGAGCGCTGGCCGTTGTGAAAGTTGCGCACGTGCGCAAAGTTCAACGCAAAGCCGAAATCGAGCTCTAACTCTTGCGACACGACCCTAGCTAGCGTGACGCAAGCTGTTGTTGCCATTACCTCATCACTCAACACCGTTCTAACCGGACGCTCTTCCTCCTTACAGAAACGCAGATAGAGAAGTTGACGGCTAGATCGACGACGACGGATAACAAGCGCCTGGAGGAACTAGACGACCTATCGACCACACAACGGCAGAGAGGACTCTGGGATATCCTGACGGAGAGCACGGACGTCGAGGGAACGCTCGTGGACTTCACGTCCGTGTCGACGATGCCGGATTACCGCGACAATCTCACCAGTACCGTGAACAACGGCGACGACGAGAGCGTCACGTAACCAAATCGAATACCTCGCTTTGTGTCGAGCGTGATAAACTGCGGGAAAAGTGAACTAGTAATCACCGTTAGAGTCACTAGAGCATCTACTAATATAGTCTTCTATAGGGAAGAGATTCTTCCGCTCTACGGTCAGAGAATGTAACTATCGTATATAATCTCCCGAAACAAGGACGAGGAGGAGAGAAATCTCATAGAACTTAGGCCTAATCTCCGAGATGAGTATAATCTATAGACACGTCGAACAATTTACAAAACCTGTAACGTTATACAAAAGATGCGTGAAATCAACAATTAATAGACGAGTAGAACTGAAGAACAAAACGCGCACTCTCGTCGCGAGCAAAACGTAGTTTCCGTTGCGAATCGATGTGATTTCCGTGTTGTCATCGCGTCATAATATCTAGGGATCACAAACATCACATTTTGCAACGTGCAACTTCGAGACGTAGGTGGCACGTGGTGATGACCATCACACCACGCGTCGATAGCCAAGTTGGAGATACTTTTCAGCATGTTTTTGTAATTACCAGCGTTATTCGTAGCACACATCACACGCATCACCCACGCATAGTACCTTCAACGGAGTGACAAAGAGATGTTTACGATATTCGCCTGTGTGACGTGTGAACGTCTCGTGCGAACGTGTATCTTTAGTGACCGTACCAAAACACTCTTCCTTTGTTCTCTCCATAGACTTACATCGTAGCGTTTATAAACTTCGAATAGTTCTTATCTTAACGGGCGAATAAAATCGAAATTGGCACAAGTGATCTACATTTTCATTCGTCAGATGTTTAATTAAAAGATGTTTAATTAAAAGATGCTTAATTAAAAAATCTGTACATCTCGCGCCTTGCGTTGCGCTTCCACTTGAAGCGTCTGGAATTTATTACACGTTTAAAGTTCGAGACATACTTCTTCATTGTGCGTAAACAAGAATCTCGAGTCGACTCTCTCGACCGATGGAACTATCCATAAATAAGTGTCCGAGCGGCTTTCTGTAATTGTTGCCTAAATAATTGTATCTACACCTTGTCACGTGCTCGAGCACGTGAGTCTATGATACTTCAAGTCCGACTTGATCATTTTACAGGCTCTTCTTTCGCCCACGACCCTGGCGAGCTCATAGCAATCGAACTTGTTGTATATGACGGCGATCGACATGTTGTGCTTGGAGCCACCGCGGGGGTTCTGATACTCCGCCGACATGAGGTTGCACATCTCGCTGTAGAACTGCGGGAAAATAGGCAGCTGGTAGAAGATGAGGTGGCGGATGCCCTTGATCCTAGGTCTGCGGTGAAAGTGAAAGCGTTCCGTGTAAAGGAGGAAGTGCACGTCGCTGTGGAAGAACATGTCCCGCGCCTTGGCGACTTTCGCGTCCTCCGTGTACTCGCAGATCTGCGCGAAGCTCATGTCCTCCTTCATCATGTGGTAACGCAGCGACACAAAGTCGTAGTAGGACGGCACGAAGATCAACGTGTGATTCTTGTAGACAGAGTCTTTGTACTCCGGCAGCACCTCTTTCAGGAAGAACTCCATCCTGCCGTCGATAGCCTGCACACGATCAGACGCGTCGAACTTGTAGAACACCTGCGGAATCGCGACGTCCACATCGCAGATCGAGCCCGGCCCCACTGGATTCACTACTCTCACTCTGCCTGCGTAATTGAAGCACGTCTTCTTCAGCGCGCCGTTTATGTGCGGCAACTCTATGCCGGAGAAGATCAACGTCTGCCTGTAGTACTTGGTCCAGCCGTTCAGGCACCAAGTTCTCAGGCGAAAAATGTCGGTGTCGTGCATCTGCTTGGGCTGTAAGTTCAGATGCTTCAAGGCGTAGTGCAAGTGATCCCAATTCTGCATGGTGATCAACTCGACCTGGTCCAGAATCAGCAGCTCTATAGACGCCAGAAAGTCGTAGTCTCTGTCGACTTCACTTTCCGTGCCTATCAACCGTCTGAGTGCCAACGGCGAGGCGATTATAATGTCGGATGAATAGAACTTGCTGTATAATTTGAGTGTCTTCTTGGTAATGGCTATGCCAATCTTAAACTTGTCGTCGATGTTACCCTGGAAAGTCTGCTCGTAATCATGCGGTTTAGGGTTTTTCTTGGGTATCGCCAATTCATTCCCAGTGAAATCCTTCATGAATCGCAGCTTGTTCATAACAGAGCCACCTTTATCCTCTCCGATTAAAATGGAGATCAATGTCTTCACTATCTTCAAGCAAGAATGCTTGAATGGCACTATTATGAGCACTTTGGGCCTCACTACGCCCTGGTCTCTGTACTCCTCCGGGATCGTCCCATCAGACTTTGCTAACTTTGCATTATGATGCAGCACTTTTGTTCTGGTCTTTAATATATGATTGATCGCATGTAAACAATACACAAATCGTATCTGGTCGGCGTTTGAGAAGCTTCTCTCTGGGTAATATAAATCTTGGTAATTGTTTATCACCGAAAACAACTCCTGCTGAAGGGGAGTCAAAGATGTAAAAGGATTATTGTGATGAGCAAGATTATTCTGAATCTGTGATTTTACATGCAATTTATTCCAATCTATTGTTTTGATCAGGCTTGGAATTTTGCCATAGCTCGCATACTGTTTATCTTCATCCAAAAGTTTGGACCCTTTATCCTCGTTTATTTCTCTGTCTAGGTTAGGTTTTGGAATCTCACATATCAGATTTCCAAGTATGGGCCAAGATAGTGTCGTCTTTTCTATGATTTGTGGTGTTGCACTGACTGCTTGATAAAGTTTAATGTCTAAATCATTGCGCAGATGTACAGAGAATGGGTCTTTTATATGGCCAGCATCCTCCTGAGCAGTCTCAACATCCTCCTCGTCGTCTTCTTTCATTCTGATCTCAATCTCATCATTTTCTTCTACATTCTCCTCCTGTCTTTTCCCTCTGAATGTTTCTTCCGTTCCTTGAGAATGAGAAAATTCCTTATCATTTGTTTCAGCAGTTATAGTTGCAGTTTCAACTGTATTCTCTACATTAGTCGATTCGTCGGAGCTTTCGCTTTCTGAACTAATTGCCTGTGGCTTTTTATAACCTGGAAACGTGGCTAACAAGGCTTCCATAGGATCTTCATCCTCAGAAGTGTCATATTCCAAAACCTGCAAGAGACGCAGTTTCGCCGCTTGCTGTTCTGCTATCTGCCTGCGGGCCTCAAGCTCTTCGGCTTTTGCCTCACGTTCTTTGATGTAAGACGCTGTCCTAAAATCAAATTTACCCTTCTTCGGTTTCGGCGGTCGCTTGCTGCGTCCGTCAAATTTCCTCTTACCGCCGCGAACCGGGCGCTTTCCTCCCGCCATTAAAACGTTTCAGTTAGTTTAATTTGTGCAAACACGCTGTCGTCAAATCGACCATGTGTCGCTCACGCAACTGAAACGATAGAAATTGTTGGTTGGACACCGATATAAATTTACTGCAAAAAAAAATGTTAACCTTTGAACTTACGGTTCATTAGCTGGGCTTGGTTGGTTAGAAAACGATCAACCACATGCTTCTATTATTATTTTTATTTCTTTCTTCTTCCAATGAATACGTCCTTTTATAACCTCACCTTACTCTCTCACTTTCTCCGTTCAAATAGAGTTCCGCTTACACTCCACGTTTTATATCATGTCATCATCATATCATCTTTCTTTTCTTCAATTTCACTCACTCTCAACCTTGCAGTTTCATCATCCAAACAGAATAAATTCCGTTGGTCACGTCGCGTTCAACGCACACGAGGCACAAAAGTGTGGCACAAAAGTGCAGAAAGTGCAGATGAAAGGGACAAGTCTATCGACATCTCTCACTATTATAACGATTTCACTCGAAATACGGTCGTTATCGATATACCACGGGTCACAATCGCCGACATTCATGCGAGGTCAAAGGCTATCAGTCACGTTTGGTTTCTCGCCACGATTCTCAGCTTCGGGCGACGCGCCCGGACGAATTCCGCAAAAACCGGATGTCGCTTTATATCCGACGGAAAGTCGCGCTCGGGATACGCGCGCTTCGAAACGCAAAAATCGCCATAATTTCTCGCGTTACTCGCATTATATTCCATCAGCTTATCTTACTCACCGATCTCTCCCCGACGAACGAAAAGTGGCGAATACGACGCTCGGCTCTCGGCGCTCCGCAGAAGCTTGTCCAGCTCGCGAAAAGCTCGCGAGAAGCTCGCCACCAGCAACTGTTGGTGGTTATCTTGCCGCGGCACTCGCGCGAGATTCATTTTCGACGATTCGAAATCGCGAGGAACGCGCGCGAGACGGCTCTTCGAGAAGCCGTTGAGCGGGGCACGGCGAGTTTCGTACTCTCGACCGGCTGAAGAAGTCGCAGCGTTTCGAGAGATACTCCAAGTTACCAGACGCGGCGCCAACTTCACTCGGCAGCGAGATAACCGTTACCCCAGCTTCGCTTTCGCCGAGCACTTATTCGCGTTGTACACGCGCGATAGGGAACAAACAAACGAGACTTACGTTCGGGACTGCCGTCAGGATCGTCCGCGCTCGAAATTCAACCGGGAGTCCGCGTCCAGCCGCCCGACGTCGCGAAATACGTGGGAGGCCCCCGAGATCGTCTTACCGCGCCGAGTCTCGTCCCGGAAAGGATTTGCATATGGCGGCGATTGAGACTCTCGATTCTCGCACGCAGCGATATCGATGTGTACACGACAGATCGATATCTCGATGTCGACGTATCGCGCATTATCGACGACGAGCGCGTCGAGCATGGCGCGCGGGGCGTACGATTACGGTTGTCCGCTCTGTTTATGAAAAATCGCGCGGCGAAGCGCACGAGAAGACGGCGGTGGCGACGATCGCGAGATATCAGTTAGAATTAATCGACGTCAACGCGAAATTATCCGCAACGTTGCAGCCCCCCTCCTCGCGGTTGTTACACACCACGCGAGCTGAATTTCCACCGTGAAGCTTTGATTTCGCCAAAAATCGCGAGGCGAAATCGACTGGGGCTGACTCGCCAGGCAAGCGGTAGAGCGGAAGCGAGCGAGATGCGACTCGGCAGGGCTCGTTCGGAAGGTGTTAACTCGAGCGGCGGCGCGCGCGACGAGGATTGTCGCGACACACGGAAGGAAAGGGGCGCTCGCGCGGGCGAGCAGGAAAGAGCGCTTGAAATTAATTGACCCTTTTTGCTCGGTTGTTTACAAAATATCCGGTCGCCGACGAAGCTCGCGGCGTGTTGCGTCGAGACGGACGGCCGGCGCTGCGCGCGCGCGTCGACGAAGCCGTGGCCGTCGCGTCAGTGCCGTATAGGAAGGGGGCGGGCGCCTGGGGACGCACACGGCGAACGTCGCGATCTCGAATCTTCGAGCGCCCGCGAGACCGCTTCGCGATTTTCCTCCGAAGCGGCGACGGCTTTCCGACGGAAAGCCGAGGTTCGCGCGATCGCGGAAACCGCCTCCACGTGAGACCCGAGGCACGCCCGAGAGGCTCACGGGAGGATCTACGCGAGCGATCGCGAATGAGGTATAGGCGGGCGATGATGAAGCGGAAAAATCAATCCCGCTGAAGTGAACAGTCGATGACGCCGACGGAAAACACGCAGCGGCACCGACGCGGACGCCTCGATTGCGCGCTCCCGATGCGATCTTGACAGCGCGAGCCGCCGCCGCCGCCGCCGCCGTTCGGCGAGAAAGCACAGCACATAGGCAGTTTTCATTACAGTACTTCAGGTGCTTCTCGCCGCGCTCGCTCTCGCACCACGGAGCGCGGACGGAAAGAGAAAGAGAGAGTGAAAGACAGAAAGAGAGCGAGAGCGAGAGAGACAGACGGCCGCGAGCGAGGCGGGGAGCAAGGAGGAGGAGGAAGAAGCGGAGAAGGGGGAATCAGCCCAGCCAAGCAGCCGGCGGCGAGTCGCAAAAGACAGTACTCGACGTTCGGCGGTTTTTCGCACGGGTCCGGTGGCGACGACGATCGTGGCCGTAGGAAGCCGGCGCCCGACGACTGACGGAGAGCCTGTTTTCCTGGTTCGCGTGCGCGTCAAGCTGCCTGGCTGGCGAGAACGTAAACGGCCGACACGAGCGAGAAGGGAGTCGCACGCGAGAGACAGCGAGAGAGAGAGAGAGAGAGAGAGAGAGAGAGAAGCGAGCGACGATCGGGCAGACAGTCGGTCGGTTGGTCGATCGGTCGTTCGTTCGTTCGTTCGTTCGGTCGGTCGGTCGGTCGGTCGGTCGGTTGGTCGGTTGGTTGGTTGGTTGGTCGAACGGTCGAACAGTCGGGCGAACGGCGTCGCGTGACGGGTGTCGCGCAGCGGTTGTATCAGCGGCGGTGGACTAGGAGAGATCGCGGCCTACGAACGATTCTCTCGTGTCTGATGAGCTCCTCCGTCGCGCCGCTGCTGGTGGTAAGATGGCTGTGCAGTTGGATGGAGGAGGGAAGGAGGACCTGAAAACACAATTCGTCACGCGGGAGGGCACGTACAAGCTGATGACTCTGTCGGAGTATTCGAGACCGAACCGGGTCGGCTATACCAATAGCCAGGGCAGCGCGTCCGTCAGGGTGTCGTTCGTCACGCTGCCAGACCCAGCGGACCCTACAGGCGCGCAGGGCCTCGGTGACCGAATGTGCTTCAACTTCGGCAAGGAGCTCTACGTCTACGTTTACCGAGGCGTTAAGAAGGTAAGCTCGCGGGGGTGTGGTGTGACGGCGACGAGGACGACGACGACGACGACGACGACGACGACGACGACGACGACGACGACGACGACGACGACGACGACAACGACAACGACAACGATGACAGCGAGGTGGAGGAGGAGGACGACGACAACAACAACAACAATGATGACAGTGACAGTGACAACGACAACGATAACGTGCCGTAATGGACTCCCCGGCCGTAGGCATCGTCTCGTTGCGAAACCTAACCTCTCAGCTGGCCAAAGTGCCGCCGTGAGGACTCCATCTTTGCAGCCCGTTACCACGCCTTACACGAGGACGTCGTCTCCGCGACGGCATACGCGCGACGTCGACAGCGGGGTCGATCACGCGCGCCAATTATCGCTGCCTTCCTGCTACGCGAAACGTCGAGGAAATTGATGTTTTCCAAACGTGTTTCCGATGCCTCGTAATCTCAGTCGTCGTGCTGCTTACGAACGAATACGATTACTGCGCTGCGTCTCTGTGTGATATTTCTAGCGTCTCTCTTTGTACACGTGAGAATTAGTAACACGTTCATTACCGACATTCGTTCGACCAATCTCCTCTCGCCCCCCCCGCCCGTGAATTGTTTTTCCATCTTCTTATGTAATAGTAAACATATAATGTAAAGCAGACTTAATTTGTTTTTATGGACAAGGAGTGAAAATTTTTTGCTGTCATACACGTGCAACGTTGGTCTCTCGTGTGAAGGTAAAAGAGAGAGAGAGAGAGAGAGAGGGACTGGTACGTCATACAATGCTGATAGTGCAATGCTGATAGTGAACGTGTTAGAGACGGTTGAAATAACAATGCAACTTGTTAGTCATCCACTCGTTACAAAGGTCCCCTCAGAAAACTGTACGTTACAGTAGAGAAAAGCATTTTTCTATCTCTGAAAAGTACCCCCTGTAGAAAGAAACTTGCTCCCTCAGTTTTTGTTAGTAAGATCAAAACTGACAGATTATGGCAAGCAGACGTTGTTGCAACATGTTGAAATATTTCAGGCTGTGGACTTGAACAAACCAGTGGACAAAAAGCTATACAAGGGAACCAATCCGACCTGCCACAATTTTAATCAAACGACAGCGACAGCCGACAGCGCTCCATTGCTGGTGGGCTTCTCGACTGGGCAGATACAGCTGATCGATCCGATAAAGAAGGAACTCAGCAAGTTGTACAACGAGGATGTACGTAAAAATGAGTCTAGCATAAATCACAAGTCTCTCCCCTGTACCCTCTGTCCTTGAGAGAAAGAGAGAGAGAGAGAGAGAGAGAGAGAGAGAGAGAGAGAGAGAGAGAGAGAGAGAGAGAGAGAAGCTGCTTCGGCGTATGGCACGTTGGCACTAGTCCAAAGGAATTTTGCGACTTTCCGCAAATTATCTGTGAGGACTAGTTTACTACGAGATAAAAAGTAATCTGTTAGATCAAACAGTGTTCTCTTCTCGCGCCGGTAGTAGTATGTCACCATAGTTTCCCCAGAGATACGTGCGAATGCTGTCAACATTTATCCGGTGATTCGGCGATACGAGTGTTATCTTATTGAAACATGATAAAGCGGGAAATTAATAATAGTTGAGCACTACTACCTCTGACGCTATATTCACCGCGTCCCGCGTACTTAATGGCATCGTCGTCTTGTTGCCGATGGGCCCACGCTGATGCAATTAGAACTCAATCGAATAATTAGGCTCAACGAGCAATATTACGTAACTTTGTAGCATCCTCCTCGTAACAGAGTCGCGGAACGGACTGTCGCTGGAACGCGACCGTGCCGCGACCTGCCGCTTCAAGCACGATCACGAGTTGACAAATAGAGGACTCGCGAGAATGAAAATTGAGGAGAGTGAATGAATCCTTCGACGACACCAGCATGTTGAGAGAGAGAGAGAGAGAGAGAGAGGGAGGGAGGAGTAGAGTCTTCCAGCTTTTAACGAGACACGTTCTCACATTTCAGAGGCTGATTGACAAGAGCAAAGTGACGTGCATAAAATGGGTGCCCGGCTCGAACAACCTGTTCCTGGTGTCCCACAGCTCTGGCCAGCTGTACCTCTATAACGAAGAGCTGCTGTGCGGCACCACCGCGCCGCACTATCAGTCGTTCAAGTCGGGAGACGGATACGCCATATACACCTGCAAGACCAAATCCACCAGGAACCCCCTGTACCGGTGGGTGATAGGCGCGGAGGGTTGTTGTATAAACGAGTTTGCCTTCAGCCCGTGCGGCACGAACCTGGCGGTAGTGTCCCAGGATGGATTCCTGCGCGTATTCCAATACAACACGATGGAGCTAGTCGGCTCGGCGAGGAGTTACTTCGGCGGCTTCTTGTGCGTATGCTGGTCGCCGGACGGGCGTTACGTGGTCGTCGGCGGCGAGGACGACCTGGTGACTATCTGGAGCTTCCACGAGAAGCGCGTGGTGGCGCGAGGACAAGGCCACCACAGTTGGGTGAGCGTGGTCGCCTTCGACCCGTACACCACGTCGTACGGGGACCCCGACCCCGACTTTAGCGGCTCGGACGACGAGACGATGCCACACAACAATCACAATCACTTTCACGAGAAGTCGAATCGCCTGTCGACGACCTCGCAGAGCGGCGGCGTGCATTCGAACCGGAACTCGTGCGGCTCCGAGCTGAGGATGTCGGGCGGCACGTGCTACAGGTTAGGCAGCGTGTCTCAGGACACCCAGCTGTGCCTGTGGGACATCACGGAGGACGTGCTGAGGCAGCCGGTGTGCGCCAAGCAGAGGCCCTCGGTGGCGGGCGGCAGCGCCCTGTCCGCATCCGGCACGTTCAACAGTGGCAACGGCACGACGACGACGGGCACGGCGACGGCGACTGCGAACCATCACTCGAACAATGCTAAACACAATAACTCGAATAACGTAAACTCGAAGGAGAGCGTGAGTGGTAATAACGAGACTAGTAACAATAGCACGAGCACCAACGCCGCGGTAGCGACGGTGAACTCGCTGACGCAGAGGTTAGCGGGTCTTGGCTTCGGCGAGCGTAAGGGTGATAATCACAAGAGAAACTTTAGCCTCACTATGCGAGGCGCGACGGGTGCGGCAACGGCGGCAGCGGCGGCGGCGGCGGCGGCGGCCAACAGCACGGTCGTGCAGAACAGTGGTGGCGACAAGACCTCCAGCACCAACGCGAACGCGAGTAGTAATCTGAACAGTGTCGGTGGGGCGGGTTTAGTAGGTGGGGCGAATAAAAAGGTTAGTTCCGTGATGGACGATCCCATGAGATTGATAGGGACCGCCTGGTGTCCCAGGTTCGACGAGTGTCCGGTCCTCGAGCCGCTGGTGTGCAAGAAACTGGCGCACGAGAGACTGACCGAGTTAGTGTTTAGGGAAGATTGCTTCGTGACAGCGTGTCAAGACGGATACGTGTACACGTGGGCGAGGCCCGGCCACATGGTAGGTCCTCTCACGATAAGCAGCACTCTGCACAGGCCACACCATCATCATAGCAACAACCCCTACACTAATATCAATTCCCTGCGCTCGAACGATCTCTGATGTAACCTGACGTTACGTCCGCTCGCAATTATCGCAATTACCGGTCGAGTCGAGTCCGTCATCGTCGTCGTCGTCGTCGCTTTCCGAGTCGCGATCACCGACCTTGCACGTACTTCGTGCATCAAGTCAGACGACTTGAAGCCACGGGGTAGGATCTTCATTCCCTCGTGCTCCTCTTGTCCTCCTCTTGTCGGATAGTCCGTCTCTTGGTCCGCCTGTGACGAGCAGGAGAATTCTCCGGGAGGGCCGAGCGAGCTTCGTCGTCTCGGCTTCTAACGAAAAGTATTACGGAAGGGAGGCACACTGTGACGAATTCGACATTGCCTTGCTGTTTGATACGACGCGCGCGAGCGCGCGTTCGCGTTGTTGTTATTTAAGTTTTCTACGCTCTACGATCAATATATATATATATTTAATCTCCTGTAGAGAGCCCTTGTTCGCGTTTCAGTCTATGACTATAGAGTACACACACTTGCGCTCGAGTTCTTTTAGTATTTGGGAGGTGCCATCACACACAAAGGGAGGAAGCATCGGGAACCTTTTCTTCTAGTATTCTCTCCGAGTCTTTGTATCACATTAGGGATTTGCGGAGAGTGAGAGACACGCTGAGAGAGTTTGCGGCGCCAAAGCGGCGCGCGAAGTTGCGGGCTCTCGGGCGCGTTCGAGCGGCGACTCTATTGTCTCCTCTTCGAGCGAGGTGCTCGCTTTCTCTCTCTCTCTCTCTCTCTCTCTCTCTCTTTCTCTCTCTCTCCCGCATTGGCCTTTGAACGTTTCTATTCCACTGCGTGTACAAAGGAGGAAGAGAGACGGTAGAGACGCGGCGTCCGAAAATCGTCCCAGAAGCGCGAGCGATTTCGAACGCCGGCCTGAGACAGGTGTAAATTACATCATTGGGAAAATCGTCGTGACACTCGACGGTCGGCAATCTCGTACGGTGTTGGTAACGTGGGAGGTGTTTGTCAATCCTTCGTTTGTCGTATGATCATGATAATAAACTCTTTCGCGAATGATAACGTTGCCTTTCGCTCAGGACATTCCATTAGGTCGGTTAATTCACGGCGTTCTCGGAATGCGGATTTGTCTCAAGTACATGGAAGAATTGGATACCTTAAATTAGTAGGATAAAATGCGCACATGTGGCATTTTTGCCCCCCCCCCCCCCCCACATACACACACACACACAGACACAAACAGGATCGCGTTTTCCTGATTAGGAAGGAAGAAACGGACGAGCTTTAACTTATCTACTACTTAGATATCATCAACCTCTGGTACATAGCGGTTACATAGTGCATGCGCTGAACAAGAAACACGCGTGTGTTTGCTCATCGAGATTCATCCGTGGTATAGGTAACCGTTCATATCTGTGCCTAATCGTCTGGTCAAGATATACATATATATACACACACGCGATAAGTATAGCAAGAGGTACGCGTGCTATATGTAGATTAGGTACACACACGAGTACGAATATATACATGTTTTTGGTTTTGCATCTCTCCTCGAGAGCAATGTTGTTTGAGGTCCTTAATGAGGTCTCTTGACAGGGCAGGCCCCTTTTATCGAAGTCCTCTTTCTATCTCGTGTAAGATGTTGTTAGCCGTAGCTTAGCCGAGAGACAGAGAGAGAGAGAGAGAGCATAGAAAGTCAACGAATCACTTAGCCAAACCGTCGCCCCGGACTTTACGATACGAAACGGAGGGAAATGCGAGAGAGAACATTGGAATCCTCTTTGTTGAACACGACGAATCGCCTTGTTGTACAATAAAGCAAAAAGTTTGAACGAACGTGAGAGAGAGAGGGAAAAAACGCCGCTTGCTTTTCGCTTGAGATGCCGTTAAGTGCGATGCAGAAGCTCCAGGGAGATTTACATATAGATGTGTGTGTGTGTGTGTGTGTGTGTGTGAGTGCGTATTATACGCATATACACACGCACGCGGTATTTTTCAAAGAGGACCACGCGCGAGACAATGTTTATTCGATCGTCTCTAGTCGCATGTCGTTCCTCCTCTTTTCATACTCTTCACACTTCCGACGGGGGCTCGAATTGCATTTCCTGGCGTTTCGCATCGAGCATTTGTATCACGAACGAAGGTGTCTCTCGCGCTCACTCCTCCGTTCCCCGCAGCCTTGACCTTGAAAGGTACGCGGCGACTCTTCAACGCGTTGACTGCCGCTGGCGTCGCCAGCGTGAAAAGCAACGACCGATCAGACTCACCACGAATCGGTCAGGTACGGTCGAGCGAGCCGCATTTTCCTGTCGCGTCTTTGGTGCTTCAAACTCGAGTCGGCTGCGAAGTCCTGAAGCAGTCAACGCGTTACGAGTCGCGTCCGAGGGCACGTAGTGGTCGTCTCCGTCGCGAATTTCTGCCGCAACAGACAGTTGTGATGATCGCACTCGGGCACTCGAGGGGTCCGCTTCGAAGCTCCTTCTGTCGATCCGCGTATCCTCGAGCAAGTTCAGTCGGGTTCCGCCCTCGCCGATGACGCCCGCACCTTTGGCCAACGCTGCGAATAGCTAATCATGTACGAAGCTCGCGACGACAAACCGGCGACGCGCGTTGCTTCTTTCACACAGCGCGGCAGTTCCTTTCTTTCTTTTTATTTTTTTTGTTTTTTTTTTTTTTATTATTATTTCTCACCTTCTTTTCTTCTCTCCTTTTTTTTTTTAATCAATCATTTTAATCGGATAAGACGCTTGCGCTTGTTCCTTAAAGCCGATGAAGCATTAATTCTTTTTTCTCACTTTGATCGATCGGAAAGATTAATGTTCTGTACCACGCTTTGGCTGATGCAAGAGAATATCGTGGATGAGACCTCCCTGAGTTGTCGCATGGTACGTATGATTTATCATTTTTCCGTTCTATTTTGCTTTATTTATCGCTTGTATCGGACTTGTACACGGCAGTAGAGAAAGACAGAGAGAGAGAGAGAGAGAGTACACAGCCGAGATCCGTTTCTCTCGCCGCGGGGCGATCTCGCCGGTGCGAGACGGCGCTTCTGAGACCGCTGCGAGTCGCACCACGTTCGCCCGCAACGCGGGCACTTTCGCTCTCGCAACTCGCAGCTGACGCAGACTCGCGCCGTCGGCTCGGGGGCTCGCGGCGCCCTGACCGCCGCGGACTTCCCGGGGCGCGCGGCGTCGCCACGCTGTTGACGTCGGGTCGGGTCGGAAGCGCGCGTGCGATTCGCCAGCGCGTGACCTCGCAGCCTCACACTGATACCGCTTACGATTTCAGCCGGGAATCGGCCAGGTCGGCAGCGCGCTCCACGTGGTCAGCCCGGCGGAAGGCGGCGGTACCATAGTATAGCCAGAAGCGGACACCGAGGCCGGGCCACGGGATCATCAGCGGGAGGCGCAGTCGTCGTCGCGGGCGTCCGAGGCGCAGTTCCAAGCGACGTACGTGCGCCGGCGTCATCTGTATTATGTGTGGCCGAGCGAGAGTTACTCCGGCACGGTTTGAACGAGCGACTCGAGCAGGTGGCCGACGTGGCCGCCCGGTCGACGAGAAGCGGCCGAGTCCGAGGAGAAGAACACGTCCGTCGCGGAGCTCAGCAGTCGACGGTGCCGCGTCGAGCCGGCGTCATTCATTCCGGCCGCGCGGACCTGCGACGAATCACCGACGACGAGGACGAGCGAGCTCGCACGTAGGCGACCTGACCTGCCGGCTCGGTGACGCCGGCTCTGTGGTCGTATGGACAGCGTAAGAGCGTAATTTGCCGGCCGACGTTGCAGCTGTTGGCGTCGCGCGTCAGTCTTGTCTCATGGTGAAACGTGCTTCATTTTGTGCTTCAGCAGCTGGCGACCGCGCGAAAATCCGACGTCTCGGCAGCCAGCTTCCGGCTGCGGCCGAATAGGCTCTCTCCTACAGTCGTCGACTCTTCGCCTGGTCCCCGGCTGGCGAAGATTCAGTCGCGCTGACGGATTCGATTTCCCACGCGGGGATAATGCCGGGTCGGTTGTGCAATGGTCGCGCGAACGAGGCCGTCTGTCACCAGGTCGAGCTCAGGCCACCGGCAGTCGAGGCGTAGACGCCGCACTTACCGAGAGTGTAAATAGAAAGGGAACCGCTCCTTCCCGCGGAAGAGGATCTCTTCCTGCCTTCCCGATTGTTCGATCGCGCGACGCTAGAGGATCGCGGATGCTGCGAGAAAGCGCGGTGGCCGACCATGAAGACTGGTGCTCTCGGGCGACTCGGCGCCACGGATTCCCGCGGAATTCTATTCGAATCGCCTACATCTACGAGCCGCGGTTAACGCGCAGCTTAACGCTTAAAGACACACACACACACACACACACACACATACACAGGTACATTCAGTGCTCTCGTTTAGTAAGTCGCTCTTCCGGTGCGGATGTCGTTTCCTCTTCTTCCTACTTTCCTCCTCGATACTCGTCGTCGCGCCGGCGGTATCGCGCGACCTCGCGAGCGAGTCTCGCGAGCCTCTTCCCCAAAGAGACCCGAGTCAGTCTGTTGTACACGTCTGTGTACGTCTCTCTTCACAACGGACAGCATTCCAAAGCAAGTTTCGCTAAACCGGACACGAGTGTGCGCGCGCCATCCTGACGGTTCGAAGCGTTCAAGCGTGCATGGACCCAATCCATACGGTACAAAAGTTGCAGCAAACATTGCAACAATGTTGCTACAACTTTTATTCTGCTGTATGGAGAGCCACCGACGTGTCGACTTTAGAGAAGAGCGAAGGAACGCGGAAGCAGGCGGGACACATTCCCGGGTAAAGGAAATATACCCTCCTCTCTTTCCGTCGAGTAACTCTCTTCTCCTCCCTTTCCTTCTCTCTTCGCCTACCCGTCGCCACGAGCGTGTGACTTGGCTCTCTGTCACTTTCAGCGCGCTTCGTTCGCTCGACTACTTCGAACGAGGTACTCCGCAAGGCGATACTAGTTTTTAATTTGCGTACACGTAAGGGTTATATACGTATACATATACATATTGTATTAGCAACGACACACCACGTTCATTTACCTCGTTTGTAGACGTTATCGCTGTGTCTCTCTCTCTCTCCTCCCCCCCTCTCTGTTTGACCGCTCATTTCGTCGATCAGCTTCGATCGCAAAGCATTCCTGCGCGAGATTCTTCAGGGACTAAACCCACCGTCCCACCGCCGTACTTCCGGGCTTCGTCGGCAGCCCCGTCACCAGCAGTTGTATTCTCTCACCCTGATAGACCACGCGTGTGAAAAGGCTGCGAGTGTTGTTATCGGAAACTGATTTCTCATCGGAAAAGGCTCCATTATTCCGTCGTTGAGGTGAATGACGCCCGAAGAGGCTGCAAGTGCCATTCACAACACGGTGCTCCGTACAAACGCAGTGCTGAAGAGTATCCTCTGGTCCAAGCGAGTGAGCCGCGTCTAGCGTCTTACCCGGTCGTTGATATCCACAGCTTCTCTCCTGAGTCGAGCCTGTTTGTTAACATTGGGCGACACCCATGTTTCGTTGCGGCCTCTGTGACGCACGACACACACAAACGAGAAAATGATCGAATCATGATGAAAAAAATGAGTTTTCCTCATCATTTTGATGTCATCATGGTTTTCTATTCCGCCTGGGTGGTTGCCCCGCCGCAGAGTTTCATCAGGGCATCAGCTCGACGTTCTCGGTCAACTCACTTCTCTCTCTCTCTCTCTCTCTCTCTCTCGCTTCAATATTATTTCCGCTCTCGTCGATGCACGGTGGTTTATATTACCTTACTTGGAGGCACCGTCCCCGACCCTTGCAAGTGCTAGCTCGTTAAGGTATGCTGTGATATGTGTTCTATACAAGACGACACTGACGAACAATCCAAGCCACGATGAAAGTCACTTCCGGTACCGGGAATGGGAGCTCGAACTTCGGGATAACGCGATCGCTGATTAGTTCTCTTAATTGTATAGGCAAACCGAAGCCGGCCTGCGACACACACCAGACTATATAATTCGTGTAGCGACCCTGCGAGAAAGGAAAACGGATCGACAGCAAAGCCCGAGGCGAGAGAGATTCATTTCCGCCGATCTGCGAACTGGACCTCACATTGCTTCACCCTTGACCCGTCTGTTTGTTTCTCCATACCGAGCGGCAGCAAAGAGACGAGGTCGAAACGCGCGGCGAACGCGGCCGACGAGGAAGAACAAGAAGGAACTCGACGACGACGCGAACTTGCTCCGCTGTCGGAGGCGCGAAAGTCGCGAGATGCCGCGAAATGAATCTCTGTCGGCTCCCTCCGTATCGTCCTCTGTTTTCGCGGGGCAGACCGCGATGTACAAAGTTCCTATTTTCGTAAGCTAAAACGCCGAGCCCGATTCTCGCGGGGAAAAATGATCTCGGCCTTCGCACAGGACGGACAGAGCAAGTTGTCGACGAGGCTCGCAAGGGTTCATAACGCTCCTCGACTGCACCGCGGCAGAGTATTCGCGCTGACCCGCGTTTCAAGTCGTGCACCGAAGCCATGTCAAACTTGTTCTCTCTCTCAGCGCAGAATCAGACTCCATCGATACGATCGACGTGAGAAACTCACAAGAGCCACGTCTCGCCGCGCGGAGAAGGACGGGGATGATCGCCCCGCGTGCCGGGACGGGAAGACACAACAGCGACCGCGAGGAATTGTCGACGTGGAATCGCGCGTCGTCTCCGACGAGTGACCTTCGCGGACGGTTGAAGCTCTCCAGGCAGAACAGAAGGAAGATCATGATGACATCAAAATGACCGAATCATGATGGAAAAATGAGTTTCCCTCGTCATTTTGATGTCACCACGATGCAATGTTGCTGCAGCTTTTGTGCTGTATGGGAAGTGACGAGTTTGCCTCTCGGATCGTTGGCGAATCGTGTACGTAGTTCGTCGCTGAGTGGGAAATCGTCTCCTCAGAGGGACGTGCGTTCTTCGTTTCGGCCTCGGCGGTTGAGCGCGGCTGCTGGGTCCAGCTAGAGATTGTACGTGAGAACTGTTATGTAGAACACACACACACACACATACACACACATGGTGTCACATGGAATTGCTGCAAGCTCTCGATGCAACGCGAGCGATCTTCTCTTTCACTCGTGTGTATATATCGGAATTATTTATTTGCTCTTTCTTTCCGGTTCCGGTGTGAGAAGCTCACACTCACTCACTCACTCACTCACTCACTCACACACACACACAGAGAGATACACACACGACAATGAAGGGTATCTTCAATAGTTTCTTAAAACCTAACGTCTCGTTGCGTGCGAGTGACGTGTTCCTCGGTAGGAGCGGCTTTCGAGCGGCGAAAAGACGTCCCTTTGATTTGCCATTTTGAACCCGGAAGCGACCGGTCACTCTGCGGCCTGGGGATAAAGGGGGACGCGTCCCCCCTGCGCTTTCGCGACTATGGCAATGATTTCGGTTGTCGTCCTGGTCTCAAGGTGTCGAATTGTACAAACGTAACGAGAGAGAAACTAACTGACCCTGCGTAACAATGACCGCTCGACGGAAATTCACGTGTTTAATCGATCGTCCGCGAGTTGACGCGCGCCTCGATCACGTCTCGCGGACGCGGCTCTCTCCGAGCGCGCGAGCGCGAGCGTGCGACAGAAACAGAGCGTGTGATTAATAATTCGGAGATAATATGTCCGGACGCGTAAGCGACAGCAGCGGTTCGCGCGGCTATGTCGGCTCCGGTCCAGCTGTACTACATCTTCACTCACCGAACAAGTAAACGAGTCTAGCGTTTGTCTGGCAGTTTTTTATGAGACCTTTCCATGCAAAGAGCTTTGTGGCATCGCGTCAGACCTGTACTGTACTTCTCGGCGCATTTCTCTTTGTTTGTTTATAAGCGTGTACATTCTTTGTAATTGTAAATGAAAAAAAGACATTTCATTGTTAAGCTGCCTGCGTCTGTGTGTGTGTGTGTGTGTGTGTGTGCGCGCGCGTGTATGTGTGTGTCTCTCCCTTCCTTCTTCCGGCGGAGCAGCGCGTCTCTCCCGGGTTTAAAACGAAGCGATTGCGCACGGAGGAGAGTGAGGGGCGATTTTTTCTGCTGGAATGAACGACTCGGAAATTTCGACCGAGGTTATCAGGATTCAGTCGGAATTCGAGCTAAAATCTCCCTGCTGAAAAATTTCTATTGAGATCTCGAGTGAGATTTCCGGAAGATGTCTTATACAAGATCTCAGTTATTTCATGTGATATCTCAATTGCAATGTCATATGGAAGAGTAAGTAGTAATATATTTTTCAATTGAGATGTCATATGAAAAATGGAAGAGCTTTCTTGAGATATGAACTGAAATATCATTACTTATTTTTTCACATGATGTCTCAATCGAAACATCGCATGAAATAATCGAGATCTCGCGCGCGGGAAATTTTTCGGAAATCTCATTTTAGATTCCAGTCGAAATTTTTCAGTAGGCCGATAACTTGAATAAAATTTTGATCGTTCATATCTCACCGGAAACTTGCATCATCCAGTCATTTTTCTATCGCCGTTACTTTACGACACAATGCTTACAAAAGATGGCGGAAGGTCATATCTCGAAGAGTCATAACGACATCACAATCGGTTCGTCTGAGAAAATCCGGAATTACCGTAACACAAATTTTGACCCAACCCCGTTAATCCATCCACGTCAACTTCCGAGTGCGCGGAGATTCATTGAGAAAAACATCGGCGCGGTAAATAACGCCGCTCGTCCGCAGCTCGCATCTCGCAGCCAACTGCGTGATGCGAACTGCGCGCGTGGACTTGCCGGAAGCTCGCCGCTCGTCGAGAAGACGATTCTTCCGCTGACAGTTTTCGACATGTCCGGCCTCGTCGCGCGTTGACTCACTGGGAAGGCCATTATGACGAAGACCCTGCAGATCGTGCGGGTGTATCACGAGCTGGTGCAGAAGGCGGACTTGCAGGTCGGCAACAACATCATCGGTCGAGGCGCCGCGACGGGAGTGAGTACGCGATGGGAAAGACGATCCGGGAGTGACGTCTCTCCCCGCTGAAAGTCCAAGCGTCCTCGACCTTTGGACCGCTCCAGAAGCGATTAGTGACTCTCCGTCCAGCCTATCTCGCGAGGCTTGCCCCGTCAATCAACCGCTCCGCAAACACGATGACTGCCGTCGAGGTCAGGTAGTTTGTGTCGCGCTATCGCGCTGCGTCTCGCAAATTTCCGCGCGACACGCCAACAAAGGCGAGTCAACAAAGCGGGCTGACGAATGCACGCGTGGTGAATTACATTTCGAGTCTTCAACTTCGCTTACACGGCTTGAGACGGCGGAAGTCGCACGGCAGTCGGCGGCTCGAATTACCCGCGGACGCAGCCGCGCATGCGCGCAGGCTGTCAGCGCCGCGCGGACAGATGTGCGTTTGTCCTCGCTGCGTCTTTTGCATTTAAAGCGAGACGGTCGAGCACGCGTGTACCTCCGAACTTGAGGATATAGAAGAGGAGCAATCGAGCGAAGCGATAGTTGATGCTGTTCGATTACTCCCGTGATGTTCCGCGACGAGGAAATGCGCAGGGACTTCAAGTCGGTGAAACGCACGTGACGGCACCTCTTGACACGATTATCGCGTGCTTACGTGGTAACTGATATTGCTGAAATTAATCGTTGCTCTTGTTATTGTTGTCACAGTGCAACGATGGGCAAGTACTCAAACACGCTGTGACCATCAACCTGTCACCTGACGATGAAATGACGATTACCCCGGTGAGTCTCCCGCCTCGCTCCCGCTCGTCAATCTCTCTCTTACTCCTCCTCTTGCTCGTGAAAAGATTTATTATGCGTGGAGAGTGTGAATCGCGTAAACCTGTTACTTTCTCAAGCGTATGGTAGTATCTCCATACATCTCATATATATATAAAACTGACACCAAATCTATAGAGAGTAATTCCCGCATTCAGATGGTACCATGTTACATGAAACCCTCCGGATGCACACGGTGGCAGTCCCTTAAGTTGGGAAGCAGCACGCCGATAAAGCCAGGTGACGTATGCTCTTTGCTGCCTGACAAATGTTGGTTTAAGATCATCTCTGTGCCAGAAACGATGGAAAAAAACGATCAGACGTTAAAGAGAAAAGTATGACGACTATTGTTGATGTGATAGAAGCTGTAGAGAGAAATCCCGAGAGGCATTACGGTCCCTTATATTTCAGGCTGATGAGGATTCCAGCGGTGACAAAGTGGACAGTAAGAAAGCGTGCCTGTCGTTCGGCACAGAAGCTGCTATGTCTCCTGCTGAGACCTTGAAGGACTTCCTCAGTGATAAGAACTCTTCAGTCGAGTGTCTGGACCCTACTGTTAACGGGAACAATGAGAGCAACGATGCACCAGTGCTAGTCTTGCAAGAAATCTACTCTGCAAGGTTTTATTCCAGTCTCAAACGCGATCTTGCAGAAGCAACAACAAGAGTTCACCGTCCATTTTCGTGCGTTCAAATTTCAGCTGTCCAGAAGAAAGCGACGTATCCGCGACGTGCTCCAAAATGTCGCCAGCTCCTCAGGATGTAGCCGAAGCTGCCGTCGGGCGCGAGAGCAACGAGGAGCAGGGAAGGAGGAACGTCAACTCTACGAGGGAAGTCTCGGCAAACGTCGAATCCGAGGAGAGGATCAAGAGGGATCACGACGCTCGCTTGAGCGATCAGGTCGAAGCTGCTTCGCCGTTGGAGAACGAAGCCCGACCGTCGCCCGTTGCCGCACGCGAAGCTAGTACCTCGAGCGACGAGAACTCTGAGACTCCCAAGAGGGAGAAATGCATATACGGCGCGCGATGTTACCGGTAAACGAGTGTCCAATCTAGTCTCCTATAAGCAAGTTCGTCAAGACAGCTTGATAAAAGAAGTTCTTGGTTGGCACAGGAGGAACGCTAACCACAGGAACAACTACAGTCACCCGGGCGACGTCGATTACGGCGAGGTGGACGACCGGGAGGAATGTCCTTACGGTCTCAAGTGCTACCGCAAGAATCCACAGCACAAAGTGCAGTTCAAGCACACAAGCCTGCCTCGCCGCCGCAGAGCCGCTGCCTCCGCCTCCGCCTCCGCGCAGCCGGCAGTCGCGGACGCCGAAACGGACTCGTCCGCGGAGTCCGTCGACGAGTCCGACTATGAACCGTCCGCTTACACGGAGAGCTCAGACACGAGAAGCGACTCGGAGGACGAAAGCAGGAGCGAGTGGGAGGACGGCACGACCGGCTGACGATGGTTGCTTCCCCGCTGTTGCGTGCCGAGAACGTACAAATTACAGGGCGGCCTTTAGCAATGTAGACTTGTTCTCTTAAGAAATATTTATTTTTCTATTCGAACTAACGCATGTACCTGCAACTTATTCACCTCCAAAAATCTCCAAAGGAAAGTATAAAACCAATTATATATAAATCAATTATATATTATCTATTGTGTATATCTCACAACCGTTGTTGTGTGTCTTTTTCTTCTCTCGTCTCTTCTCTGCTTCTAGCAGAGCTTACTGAAGATATATCAGCCCGGTGCTGATCGCTCTCATCGCCTGACATCGCCGACTGGCGTGTCGAGAAAATTCAAACAAAAACAAAAAGAGGACATGAATCACATTTATTCCCACGCGTTAGAATCCTTGGTATCCTTCGTCGTCTTCCGTGGTGTAGTCTTCGGCTGTCCCGCGGATGGCTACGTCGGCCAGCATGTGCTTCGGGATCTCCGACCCCCGCACCTTGATGGTGTAGCACGTTTTCTCCATTTTGGCCAAGCTCTGCTTGAGAGTGAAGACTTTCTTGTTCATCTCGTGGCTACACGCACTCGTGTAGCCCAAGAAGGCGATGTACATTTGCCTGACAAAGTTACACGTGTGGTAACAACTAGATATGTCGCCTACCGCCAAGTTGTTGATGCACTTGCGCATCAGCTCTCCTGTTAGATCTGCCATTCCCATTATGTAATCAGTTGGTGTGACCAGCATTCGCGTCATTTTCGTCACAGGCTTCTCCTCCAGGTCGATCGTCTCTGATGACGATTCAGATGGCTTCACAGTCGTATAATATGTCAACGCCTCCTCCAGCTTTGTCCAGTCACGCGTGCAGCCGCCGTTCTCCAGGTATTCGTAAAACGTCAACGCCTCCACATACTCTTCTAGACCGGCGCGATAGGCCCTGTGGAACTGATACGCGTCCTGACCGTCCAGCTCAAGTGCGATATCTCGGAATAACTTCTTCGCTACAGAGTCGAGTCTCAACTTGGCTCCTGCCAGAACAATGTCTCGCTTGCTCTCCTTGTCAATGGTATGCAGCAGGAAGATGATCCTCTTGCTCTCGATAGCCACATCCCGGTTGACCTTGAAGATCCTCTCATATCGGTCGTGCTTCGCGTCCAGGTCGGCCGCGTAAACGCGGAACTGACTGATCACTGGGTTGTTCTCGTCGATGCTCTCCAATACCTCTCTACCGTTGTCGCCGACATTGATCTTGTCTTTGTTGTGATGCTGCCCACGGTTCTTCCTTCCTCCTGCAAGACCAAATGTCCTGTGAGTTCAACTCGTTTTCACATGCGCCGGCAGAAACTGATGTTATCTGCTTTGAGGTTAATTTCTTTATGTCCTCAGAATGCGGACTACAATTGAGTATTGTTAATGCGCCGGTTCTTTTGATGTTGGTTTGTGAATTTGGCAGCTCCTTCATACAGCCGTCGCGTAGCTGCACGTTCATATGTTGAGATGACACTTGTGTTGCATGACGCAATACGACAAAAGTAAGACGCCGCAATTAATGTGACTCACCTTTTCCTTGTGACATTGTAATTCTCTTATAATGACAGGTTCTCGTACAGTTGTTGACCGCAACACAGGAATGTTGACGGATGAACTATCGCAACATCGTTGTGTCTTGGGACGTTAGCACCGCCTAAGAAAACAAAATTTCTACCGGCTGCGATCGCATGGCCGACCATTGAATCGGTCCAATTGAAGGCGAGATCTCTGACTTGTTATCGAGATTCCTTATTTCGTCAATTCTATCTAAATAACTCATAAATAACTCATAATTTCAAGTATATAAAGTAAAAGTACGTTTAATCTGGCGTTCAGTCTCAAAAATATGTTTGACCAGTCGTTGAGGCTGCGTTCCGAAATTCGCTGCCAGTATTGAAAATACATAGTTCGTGACACGTATATTATAGAATTTCAGTGCTGGCAGTGAACATCGCAACTTGAGTCTCGCTACGCGGCGGCGAGTCTCATCGAAGACAGTGGCGGCTCGTAGCGGAGATCTCGGAACTAAAAAAAGTCGTTCAGCCGAGATGAGCCGAGCGACGGCTCCGCGGCCTCATTAGCTTTGCTACCCTGGGTCAAAGCCGCGGGCAAAGCTAATAAGCGAGAAAGAGGGAAAGATATTCTCGCTCGCGTCGCTGAGCGAACACAAGAGCGAGAAGGAGGGAATGATATCTCTCTATCGCTCGGCGCACCGACGATTGCCGAGCGTGTGGTCGGCATAGACTGAGCCGACTGTGTGTGCATGCGTGGTGGAGGAAATTAGAAAAGTGTCGTAGACATCGGCATCGTAGTTGATGTGCACGGTTGTGCAGAGGGCGCCTCACACTGGGCTCGGCTAAAAGTGACCCGTGACCTCTCTCCTTCTTCTCTCTGATCGTACGAATTGCCATTGATGTAAATTTTAGTGATCGTCATTGATGTAAATTAGTTGAGAAATCAATCAGCCCAGCAGATTCGTCCATATTTTACCAGCGAGTAAAATGAACTTCGATTAAAAACCCGACAGATCCACGACGGCCGATTAAACTTCAATCGTTGATTGAAACTATGGTGTGGCGATGACAGACATGAAATTCGCCACAGCCGGCGCAAGAGTGAACGCGTGATTCTGTAATATGATTTATTGAATTTGGACATAAAAATAACGAATAGAACAATGACGACTTCTGTGCTTGCTCGCGTCGTATTCACTGCTGCGCTCCATCCAAATCGATCAGAAATCGCATCTTTTGGCAGTTTAATGGATTCTACCTAATTTAATGGATTCTACCTGTTCTCCTTCGTTTTTTCTTCCCTTTTTTTTATCCCATTCATTTTGCCGGCGACACGTCCTCGTCTCACCTGCCGGCACTATAAATTGCAAAACTAATATCTGCGCGCGATTTTCTTAAGCTAAAGCGGCGGCGCCGGAGATAATCTCGATCAATTCTCTGGTGATCACGGCCTGCCGGGTGCGGTTGAAGGTGAGTGTGAGCTTGTCGATCATCTCGCCGGCGTTCTTGCTGGCGTTGTCCATCGCGGTCATACGGCTGGACTGCTCGCTGCAGGCGCCCTCCTTCATCGAGTAAAACAGCAACGAGGCGAGTGAGAACTCGAGGTAGCTCTGGATCACTTCGTCGTCCAGCGAGTCGTATATCGACAGCTTCGGCGCGGTCACCACGGAGTTCTTGTCGAACAACGGCAGATCGTCCACCTTGTACGACACCACGGACTTGAATTTATTGTAGACTATGCGCCCGGAACCGAAGGAGTAGCTGAAAGGGGTGACAATTAGTGCGATCTGTATCACTATTTTGCAACGTTAAGTGAAAATAAAGATAAATACGCAAGGAGAGACTTGGGAAGCTCGGTTATCAAAAAGGTTATTGAAAAGATTTGAAAAGCCAACTTACAGAGGTCTACGAACGGACTCGTGTAACTCGATAGTTACTCGTATTATCTAGTGCATTTGGATCGCAACTTTTGGACCGTTATGAGTGGCAGCGAAACCGAGTGGAACGTACCCGCTGTTCATAACTTCTATGGCGACCTTGGCTGCGTCGTTGAATGTTGGTGGCTTGCGGCCTACTTCTGACGCGACGAACAGGATGTTGTTAGAGAATAGGCGCGACAGAATCGCCCGGGACTTCTCACCAATGCAGATGATCTTAGTGTTCTCACGTTCCTTGGGATCAGCCAATAATATGTCGCGAATGTTGCGCGACACACCAGTGTGTACAGCGCCACATAGACCACGGTCGCTGGTCACAGCGATCACGAGCTTCTTTGGCTCTTCTGCAGGTGCCTGGATCTCAGCTTGCTCATAGAATACTTTTGTGCCAACACCAAGTGGTCTAGCCTGCTTCAAGTCGCGCTCTGCGCGATTGTACTTGGCTGCTGATACCATCTTCATGGATTGTGTAATTTTTTGGATGTTTTTAACTGACTTGAGACGTATGGAAATGGCCTTGAGGGTAGCCATACCTCTCTGTTGCTGCTGCCATTGCTGCTCCTGGGCAACTAGCCGTAGGAAGGGGCTTATGTGATTGCGGAACATTGTCGAAAGTCCAATCCCTATAAATTTTAGTTTAGACTAAATTATACTATTTACATTACTAAGACCAAAAGCTACTTCTACCGCATTTTTAAATAAGTCAGTTTTTCACATTCTATAGCTCCAATTTTCTGCAAAATTTTTGGCAATGTAAATATACAATTTGTTGCAATTGTCATTTTATCACCAAGAAACATATTTTTTTATGTCAATTCTTCTTTTTGTAAATTCTATAATAATAAGTACCCATCTCATAAATCTATAATGTGAGAGCGTACCAATGTACTTTGCAAAATTCTAACATAACATTCTCAAAGAAAATAATTGCGTGACAAGAAATTATTTTTACGAGCAATATGTTTTTTTTAACAATGATAGAAAATATATTGCGAGGACAGACACAGTGTAGAAAAGTGTGAAACAGAGAACGTTTAACATGTCACACATTTTCCGCCTTTACAATCTTTAAATAAATATACTCCTCTGTCACTTTGTTGAATCTAAAGGTTTTTCCAAGTTAAATCAGGAGACGGACGACGTGGAATTCTGTAACGTGATCAACCTAACAGAATCACAGCGGAATCACACGTCAAGCCCGGTGGCACGATGTAACTTTGACAATTTTTAACACGGCACAATATTGCTCCATTTACATAATCGCAAAGAGAACTCGTCCCGAACGTGAGCGCAGGTAAATTCTCAGCTCGCGCTCTCGCAGTGGCCAGGATGATCAAGGGAAGGCATAACGGTTTGCTCGATTTGTTCGACACTGAACTTTCCATGCAGACAAATCGACTCACCAGGCAAATTTCGAAAATAACTCCACACCAAACTGCCCGACGATCTCCGTACCCACGGGAGAAGTTACGGGCACACGTAACACGAACAAGATGAGTTCACGATATCGAAGATGTTTCTCCCGCCATCTGTGAATATCCAACGTCATTACCATTAAAACGATCTCATTCAACTCCCGCTCATATTTAAATCCTCCAATAACCTTACCGTTGACACAAACGTCGCATTTAAGCAACACAAGAAATAAACTTTGAAAAAGAATGAAACCTAATATGTGTATTTTATTTTATATAACAGTGTCTAATGATACATATTGGAAACCTCTGTTAGAAGGCTTCTAACACATCTTAAACTATTCAAATATGTTCTGCAATTAATCAGGTGGCTGGATAAGTTTATTTGATGCTTTAAATGATTGTTCAGTAAAGCGTGTATTGTGTGTGTAGAAACATTAGCAAAACTTGCTGATAACAGTAAGAGCTAAATAATCTGTCACCATTTTGATAACACTGGATTACATCTTCAATGACAATTGTACGTTATAAGTGATTTGATTAATCAATTATCAAGAATAAAACTATGGAACAGAAAATTGATAGATATGACAGATTTAGATATATTAAATATTTTCATAATTCTCTTCCTGCACAAATCTTATTTTAAATATGTATTTAATTTTGAAACAAAAGTATACACATAATTTCACAACAGAAAATTTGTATGTAACATAAAGATTATAAAGGAGACAATATATATAAAAATCTTCCTTAACATACAATCAACAGAACATCTTCATAGGGAAAAAGAGGCAATATATTTGTTAAACTTGTAACAAGTTTTTAACAAACAATACAACTCTCATCTATTTGAGTGGTTAATGTTACAAGATTCCCTATTCATTTACTCATGAGCTATACATCTCTACAAAGACAACAGCTTAAAACAAATCAAGTGGTGGTGACGGTGGATAATATTCCTTCCTCTCACCACTTTTATATTGACGCCGTCGTTCGTAATGCATTTTAAGAACACGCTCTATTCTCTTTGCTCTGTATATACATTCATGCATGTCATTTAATATTATTCTGCACTTTTCTTTGCCTATGTGATAGCCGTAAGCTTCCAAGCAGTCGGAATACATCAGCTCATAAGGCATGCAGTCCTTTCTGAACTGTAGATTGTTTATCTGCATAAACCAATCTGTTACAGGGGTCTTTAATAGTGGCGCCTTATATTTTTGAGAATAGTTGTTCAGTACCTGGTCTTGCCACATGATACGTCTGAAAAAAGACATTAATGATCTGAATGTATAAAACATAATATTCAACGTAATACATCATGTAATTTTTTGATTCGCTAGTGGATACATATAACCTCTCTTTAACTTTTCTTCTTAAACTTTAACTCTTTAACTGACAGGATTTTCCGTAAATTAAATACATCGCCAATTTTCTGCGTGCAGCAGTGAACATAAATATGCCAGATCACATACCAGAAATATTACAAATATCTCAGACTTCTAATTCTTTACGTTTGCAATTGCTTTAAAAGCTTTAAAGTGCAGAAGGAAACTACATTACCTTTACGTAATCGCCGCTAGAGGTATATTAGGAATAAGTGCTAATCGATCAATGAGTATCCGTCTTGTTGCTCGACAATGCAGCTGAAGAATAAATAAGAAAAATATTCATCCGACTTGAGAAATATTACTTGAAATAAAGTTCTTTTTGGTAATTATCTAGAATACGGGCTGCTTTTCTACCAAGGTGTAAATCCGTCCTAAGGCTATGACCTGGTCTACAATATGTGTCGTAAGTTGTAAGCTGTAAGAATTGGCGAATCACAGTCGATTATTACAAAAATAATCGGCTATAAAGGCCCATCTACAATGGCTGCAAGAATAAAGCGTGGCCCGTCTACAATGGCAGTAAGCAGTAAGAGTAAGCGTGAACAATAAAAAATGGACCAACCACAATTGATTATTTTTGTCATAATCGACTGTGATTGGTTTATTTCTTACCACTTACGCTTACTTCTTACTGCTTATTGCCATTGTAGACGACGCTTTAAGGTCATTCTACAATACGTGTCGTAAGTTGTAAGCCGTAAGAACTGACCAATTATAGTCGATTATTTTTGTAATAATCGACTGTGATTCGCCAATTTTTACGGCTTATAACTTACGACACGTATTGTAGAATGACCTTTATTGGTCAGTTCTTACAGCTTACAGCTTACACACCTATTGTAGACCAGGCCATTGAATGCGTTCCGATATTCACTGCCAGCATTAAGAATTAATAATGTACGTAACACAAACTATGTATTTTCAGAACTGTGAATATTGGAATGCAGCTTTAATACATCAGTCGCACAGACGCAAGAGCAGGAAGAGTCTTGTTCGCCTCCGTGGCGATTGGATGTTGTGGATGTGGTTCCTGTAACTACGCATATTTTTTATCTTGGGGACTGCGTACGCGTTGTCCCTGTTTCTCTTTTATTTGTAAAATCGTTGTGATTGGCGTAGGAGAAAGAGTTTAATAATTCTGCTCGGATTGAATGAATGAATGAATGAAATGCAAGAGCAGGAAGGTTGGGTCAAGCTAGTACTACATTTTTGGTTACGTTTCCCATGGTATCTGCAACCCATATTTTTCCTATTTTTTTCCTTGCATCATTCCCCTCAACAAAATATTTTTGGCGCTTTCCTTGCATCATTCCCAAGATTGGTACAGGGCCGAATTTTGCGGTTAGGCTCTTCAGAATTTATAATAAATAATATGCTCTTGTGTTGCATTCCAAGTGCAACGCTCTCTCTATAGTAAACTAAGCAATTTTTGCTTCAAGACTTCAGGAAAAATTCTGATTATAAATATTGCAATTATTCCCTGTATTTTGGTTAAAAAAAGAGAAATGCCTTTACCTATTTCGCGGATCTCCACGAGAGGTCTCTGTGCGCTTCTCCTGTAAACTCTTAAAATAAAATTTTATGAACTGTACCTATATCGGATTTTATATTTCTGATCATCGTAAGCTTTTTTTCAGATACTTCGTAACCAACGAATTAATTTGTATAACATGAAAATTGACTCAAAATGACTTTAAATATGATATCTGAATTTGAATAGTCCGATCTATCTCTAACTTATCGTTGAGTCATACTGCATTCATTTCATTTTCATTTTGTTGTTGTAGCCATGTTGGGTCACAATAATATATATTAAAATATAAATTTTATTTAATACGCACATTTTATATATAAAGCGATAAAAAACGCTCTAGGTTTTCTAGGTTTCGCACTAACGTTTCCGGAATATAAACATTCGCGCATGCGCAAGCACGGGCATCTATCTTCCTCTTTTACGCCTCCATCTTCTATCTACACTGCTTCCGTCACTGGGCAACAGTCTGCGTGGTTCTCTGGCGAAAGTAACGAACGGGAGGTACCTCGTGCAATCTTGTGAAGAAGCGTGCCAGGTCCTACGCGTATCATTGTTACAGTTGTGAAACATGGGCGGTGAGGAAGGACTCGGAGTGACCACCGGTCAGCCAAATCTGTGCAAACAAGACTTATCCAAATTGGTAAGTCGCGGTTTCGCGGGTTCACGAGTGCCGCGTCAGCTTCTTCGTTCGCTACGATCTAACCTCGTTTTTTCCGCGCCCTTTAACATACTGATTTGCCGCGGCGATGTTTTCTCGCGTTCCAATCCATATGAATCCTTGGTATCATGACTTTTCTTTGTTATTCCTGTAAATCGCACCGATATTCAGTCCAAAATGCCCAAACAGTGCAATATACAATAACATCGCGCATTTCACTCTTCAGAATTTTAAGCTAATAGTACGACTCGTCGACCGAATCTGGAGTTGGTTGAACTGATCAACCTGCAGTTAATTTATGCTCTCTAAGTGTGTGTCATTTGGTCAGAGTCATCGTATCTAAATTATCACAGCCGTGAGCTTAAGTATAATCTTAAGTCAAAAGTTCAGTGATTGTATGAGTTTAGATCAAATGATCTAAAAAGAAGAAATATCACATAAAGATTTACTGTAAATAAAAGTAACATGAATTTCAGCCAGTTGAAAGTCACCTGTGTGTTTATAATTAAATTTCCATCACTTTAATCTTCTAAATGTTGAAACATGGATTGTTTTTGTATTATTACAAAAATATATTTCAATATGTCGGTGAACGTTAATTTAAAATTGTAACATTAATACTTGTACAATCTGATCTTAAATGTATTTATATCCTTTTCAGTGATGTTGCTGCAAACAATATGCTATAGATGTTTATTTTCCATATATTCTATAAGAGTCAATTATTTTTCATGATATAAAATTCCTTATTATTCCTTCCTTTCTTGTTTCCTTTTTGTTATATTATACTCTATATGTTTTTAATTTGTAGTTCAAATCCAAATTTACTGGTTATATGAAGAATTGATGCTTTATTAAGAGATATATAAAGAGATTAATGTTTATATTTTGGTATTATTATGCAGGATGTGAGCAAACTGACTGCATTGTCTCGTGAAGTAATCAGTAGACAAGCAACAATTAATATTGGTACGTATGCAAGTATGTTTTGATTATTTAGTGCGGAAACTACTCAAACAAAATAAATTGTGTGAAACATTATGAAAATGTATAAATTTGTGGCAGGTACTATTGGACATGTAGCTCATGGAAAGTCGACAATTGTAAAGGCCATTTCGGGAGTGCAGACTGTTCGTTTTAAGAATGAATTGGAGAGGAATATTACTATTAAGCTCGGTGAGTAAATTAAATATATTGAATCTTTCTCCCATTGTATATTGTGACTGTTGTGACACAGCATGATGGAAGTTTTACACAAAGACGCTCTTATAATTTATCCCACGCGCACACGCACGCACGTACGCACGCACGCACACATGTGAGAGAAGAAGAAAAAACATGATTATAACGATAAGAATAGATGATGCGATGACTATAAAATAATATGGTATCTTAATTAGAGTAGAACAAAGTGCAGTAGTTGTGTTTACATGTAATGTAATATAAACATACCATTAACTGAATAGTCAATTTGAATGACTAAATTTTTATGTATGTGCATATAAAAAGAGAAGAAAAGAGTGGAAAGGTAAGTGTAATTTCAAACGTATGGCAATTGAAAGCTAATAATATTTTGAGGGAAGCTGTGCGATAATGCAAGGTATGGGTTAAAATTGACCAGTACGATTGTGTGTTAAGGTGAAGCGCGTAACACGTGGTGTCACACTCTTCATCTTGCGACGTGACGGAATGTATCGTATGATCTATTTGAATCGCGCAACATGTGTATACATCTCCCAAAAGTGTATTCGCGATTTGCCGTATTACACGGCTCTGCTACGAACCCAAGCGTACGTTGGCGCGACATAGCTTTGCTCGTGACTCGTGCACAGAGCGCTTACGACGCTTCTGCCTGCGGCGTTGGGTGTTTTATGTCGCATAGAAACTTGTAATTAAACGTTTAGCACTGTCAAATATGGATGTCTCGTGTGTGACATTTGAAGCACGAATGCGTGCGTCTTTGTGTCTTTAATCTCGCGTCGCAGTCCGCGAAAAACTGTAAACAATGAAACGACACGACCGAGGTGTGCTTTAATAAACAAGTATACAATGTGAAAGAATGTACAGTACGAAAGAGCAAACCGATCTCTTCCTTGCAAGTCGTAATCATGGAGACTGCGAGCAGGACAAATCTCCGGATGTCTTTCCGGAAGCGATCCAAAATTAGCACAATGTCCACGTATCCGTTAAGTCTAAACCGATAATCACGAGCACGGGCGAAGCATTCCGGGGTCCTACACTGTTACTAGTACACTTGTTCGGTGTCGATCTCGAACGTGCAAAAAAAAAATGAACGAAAGAAGTGTCGAAGTGAAAAGAGGAGACAAAAGTGCGACGCTAAGCCGACCGGAAAAAAAAAGCTGGGCGAGAGAAATAGGGGAGAGTGGTCGTACGAGTAGAGAAAGAAAAGCAAAGATAACGCAAAAAAAAAATGATACAAAGCGGGATATATGACCGACAGGGAAATGACGCACTTTAAATGTTTGGCATTGCAGACTCGGCGGACGGTAGCAGCGGCGAAAAGGCAGATAAATCAGGCGACAAAAGCGCAATGCCGGCCGTTTACCGAAAACGACACCTCTCCCCAGGAAGCATTGATAGATTGCCGCCGTTCGCCAAGCAGCCCAAATTCGATGAGAGTCACAACGCGTCTCGACGACTGGACGGCGGCAGAGATATGTTCCTCCGCTCCTCCTCCTCGACCTCGTCAATGTCGTCGTCGTCGTGGTTGTCGCCGTTGCCATCGTCATCGTCATCGTCAGTGTCGTCGTTGTCGTTGTCGTCATCATCCTCGTCGTTGTCGTCGTCGTCGTCGTCGTCGTCGTCGTCGTCGTCGTCGTCGTCGTCGTCGTCGTCGTCGTCGTCGTCGTCATCGTCGTCGTCGTCGTCGTCATCGTCATCGTCATCGTCATCGTCATTATCCTTGTCGTCATCGTCATCATTATCATCGTCATCATTGTTATCGTCGTCTTCGGTAGCATCGCTGTCGTCATCATCGTCCTTATGGTCGTCGAAGCGACTACGAATGCGAGCGTCGCGGGCCTTGGAAGCGATATACGGCGACCGTAGAGGCAACGGTAGGAAGAGTCTGAACAAGTCGATAGACACCGGCAGCGACGGCAGGCAATCGGACGCGGAGTTGTCGTCCGATGGTCGGCTGTCCGTGCGCGAGGACGGCTACCTGCGCGACCTGGAACTGAAAGAGGCGCGGGTGTTGCTGCATGACATCAAGTACAGCATAGAGCGCCAAGACGAGGTGACGGCAATGACGACGACAACGACGACGGCGACGATGACAGCGACGACGAAGAAGAAACGAGCGGCCAAGAAGAAGTCGAGGGAGCTCTGGGAAGTGGAGAGGATCTTGCAGAAGCGCGAACAGCGCGGCGACAAGGAACCGCTCTACCTGATCAAGTGGAAGAACTGGGACTCCGCATACAATACGTGGGAGCCGCGACACAACCTCACTAACTGCGAAGACCTGCTGAGCGAGTTCGAGAAGAGCCTGCAGAAGCTGATCGAACAGTTCAAGAGACGGGAGAGTTACTACCCGGACGCGTACGACGCCGAGCGCCTGTTGGCCGAGCTGCAGTGCCAAGGTGTCTCGATCAACAATGTCGACGCCATGTCTGCAAACGAATCCGACTGCCTTTACAGCAGCATCCGCTCGTACCTGAAAAGCTCGCGCCATCAGCAGAACAGCATAAAGATCAAACGACAGATCCTGCATATGCTGCTGCGCGAGTTGCGACTCGACCAGCTGGAGTCGCTGCAGGAATGGGAGAACGAGATGAACTGTATCGCGAAGCGCAAGCCGGCGATACAGGTGGAGAATCTGGTGGATCTGGAGGGCGCGCCGCAGGATTTCTTCTATATCGACAACTACCTGCCAGGCACGGGTGTCATAATACCGGACGATCCGCCGATCGGCTGTGAGTGCAACGTCTGTGAGGCCAAGTCGAGCTGCTGCTTCGCGCAGAACGGCCAGTCGTTGCCGTACACGTCGGCCGGCCGAGTGCGTGTGCCGCCTGGCACGCCCATTTACGAGTGTAACAAACGCTGTACTTGCAACTCCAGCTGCCCGAACCGCGTGGTGCAGCGCGGCACCGGCACTCAGCTGTGCATCTTCCGCACGGACAACGGCCGCGGCTGGGGCGTGAAGACACTACGGGCGATTAAGAAAGGCACTTTCGTCGTGCACTACGTGGGCGAGGTGATCAGCAACGAGGAGGCGGAGAGACGCGGCAAGCAGTACGACATGACCGGCCGGACGTACCTTTTTGACCTCGACTACAACGAGACCGACGGCCAGTGCCCCTACACGGTGGACGCCGCCATATACGGCAACGTCTCGCACTTCATCAACCACTCATGCGATCCGAACCTCGCGGTCTACGCCATCTGGATCAACTGCTTGGACCCGAACCTGCCGAATCTAGCGCTCTTCGCCATCAAAGACATCAAGCAGAACGAGGAGCTCACCTTCGACTATACGTGCCAGTCATCGCGCGCCAACGGGAAGATGAAGCAACAACCACACGACGACGAGACGGACGCCACCAACGCCGTCGCCAAGAACAAGACTCTCTGCAAATGCGGCGCCGCCACGTGCCGGCGGTATCTTTTTTAAGGGGAGCTGTTCGCTCAGATGTGCTTCTTTTCCTCCTCTCTCCTACTTTTCTCCTTCATCATCTTTATCCTTTTTTTCTTCCTCTTCTTCTTCTTCTTTTTTTTTTTCATTTTTCTTCTTCCTGTTCTTTTTTCTTCGGAAGGTAACTCTCATCGATCAGAATAGACACCTATCGACCTCCCGACTTTCCACGATTCGCGACTGAATGAACTAGTAGTTTCTCCGATTGCCTTCATCGACGATTGGCCGATGGCTCATCAACCTGGTCGACCTCCTGGCTACTCGAGAGAAGTAACGAGAGAAACGAAGGCATTCACGAGCGTAGACTAAGAGCACTCTATGAAATGTTGTTGCTGTTGCATCTTGTCACGATGTTGTTTTATCACATAACCGCGAACTTTACGATCACTCATTCTCAATTTTATTTGTTAAGAAGATAGAATGACCCCCCTAGGTGCAATAGAATGTGAAAATAATCAAAACTACATACAGAGATTCTTATCTTATGGTCGGGTCATGGATCGAATGAATGAGATTTTAAAGGACGCGAGCCGTCCGTTTTTCCGCGGTAAGACCTTGGAGACTGAGTGAGAAACCGCTGGCGCGACTCACTTGCGACGGGAGATGCAAACGAAGAACCGATGGGAAGTTGGTAGGATTTTTCTCAGACATATCGGAGGTTGCTACGGAATGAAGAATGCGACGAAACACACACACACACACACACACATACATATGAATGCACACACATACACGTGTTGCATGGCTTGAGTTTTAATATTATATCGTTTATTTTTATATACTTAGCCGATCGTAGAAGATGCAACACCAGGTGTCGTCGAGCATAAAACTGAATTCACTTTCTTGTGTAACACAGTAGAATGTATATCGACCTTGGCATATAGAGTTTATAAAAATACGTACGTGTCTATGAAAATACAGCAACACTTGTTCACTACTTTCACGTGAGAACGCGAGCTACATTTCGACTCGTCTCACGCACGAACTCGCGCGGTCTCAGTTGTGAGATTTTCACAACGTTTCTCGGGAGATTCAGCCGTAAGATGCTGAAGTGAACTTACGATTATTAAAGTACCGTGGCACACAACAAGGGTTCTCCTAGGATCGATGACGTTTGATCAGGTAAGGGAAGGACAGGTCGAATACGGGCCTTCCTTGATCGAGCATCTGAGTCTTTGGTTTCTTGTCGTGTGGGACATTCCTTATCTTGGACATTAGACGACTAGGCTCGAAACGGAGGAGAAAGCGAAAAAAGAAAGACAAAAAAAAACAACAAACACTACGATATGCACAAGTACAAATACAACAGCTTGAAGTCTACGCCTTAGTAATCGTAAGATGTCGAGGGAGATTGCGACTTTGAGATCGTCCTATATGTACATGAAGAAGTTTATATACAAGGTGTTACCGAAGGATGATTCAAAACTACAAAGACTTGTAATATTCACTGAATTGAATAAAGGAAATTGCTTAGTTGGCATGGATTCGCAGATTAATCTGTGTCATCGCAGATTACACGGAATTGTTTTGTCATTTTATTATTTTAGCCAATTCGGCATTGTCTTGGCTGAGAACCGCACTTCAGACCGCAGACGAGTGCGCTAAAATGTCCAGAGGAAGAGGAAAGTTTAACTCCGTCTGAATCCGGAGATCGGGCAGAATCGGATCTGATTATTTTTCTCTGGGGATGTACACAACTTTAATGCATTAACGACTGCGCGGGTAGAGGAGGAAGGGGGACGGCAAACTGCGGAGCTCTTGAAGAGAACACAAAAGTGTGATAAACACGAGAGACATGTCGAATGTGTATTTGAATGAATGCAGGGGGGAGGAAAATAGAATACAACAAAATCGTAAAATGACAAAACGATCCCTCGTAATTTGCGACAATCCTCTGTGTTCCTGCGACGCAGGAGATCATGGCTCGCCCTGGAAGAAGCGGCTGAGTGTTTTCTATTCAGTTTGACGAGTATCCCAAGTTCATAAACTTTTGAAGCACCTTCTAATGACGCCCTGCGTATCCGATGCATTAGGGAACGATACTTGGATACTATCGCGTAACACGTTATGTTTTTATATGTTATAATAACGTATTATAGGAACGTATCTGTTCAGCCTCAGCTCGCCACCTGGAGCGGGGCCACTTGGTGGATACCGGTGGAGACAATTGGGGCTCTCACGAAGATATTTATAGAGCGAAGCGACAAAGAATCGGTGATATCGCATTTCGACATACGTTACTCGCGTGAGAGCGTCCTATTTTTGAAACGCCGAGGAAAACGAACGAAAATATTACATCTTTATCTTCCTGGGCAGCGTGTTGATTGTTTTTACGTGGCGCGTCAATTGGACAGAACACCGAGCGCTGACTGGAGGGAGATCTTCATCAGGAATATCCTCGGGGTCGGCAGGACTATAGCAGAGCGCGGGGGTTTACATCTGACGTGCCAAATAGCTCTTCACGCGTGAAGAGTGACTTTCCTAGAGAGAGTGTCACGAGTGAAGAAAAAAGAGCGTGTGAAGAATGTTGAGCACTTGTCAACGATGTATGTTTATACGCATGATCACTTGGGAAGAGCAGCGTGCGATCAAATCTTCTCAAGACTGCAAGAGGGAGAAATGTCTCACCGAATGAAAGGCTTATCAGCGATGTACATGTGTGTAATATCAAAATGTGTCGGCGAGATTTTTAATATCTGACCGGATGCCGGAGCGTCGATTTACCGATTTCAAACGTCAAGTATAAAATGTACCAAGACGTCGACCATCTGCTCTTTTCCTTCTTTTTTTGTTCCTTTTTTTTTTGTTCTATTTTCTTTTGTCATTATATTGAGCAATTATTTATATGTTTTGCTTGTAGAGTAAAGCGCTTTTTACAAATATAGTAATTTCATGGGTTATGATTGTTGTACCGAATAACAGCGTCGGACAGCCTCTTATTAATTATTATTGCAGTACTAAACAGTTGTAAATATTATGTGCTGCATGCAATCTGTTTTTCTTTTTTTTTTTTTTTTCTTTCCATGTTGAAGCGATTGTATTCTTGATCATGTTGAAATGCAAAAAGTTGATGCGAATTTGTATACAGAAAGTTGGGATTAACCCTGGATTAACTTGAAGGAATGGCGTTTTGGAAAAAAAAAACAATGCTAAATGCAAAAGTCTTAGGGTTCGGAAACGAGCATCTAGTGGTGATTTTGAACTTTGCAAAGGTCATGAAGTTGACAAAAGTTAGGACATTATTGTAACAGCATATTCTTGAGACCTAGAAATAGAGTAAAACAGTGTAGTATCGCTTTTTCTTCCGACAAATAGCGAAATATCGTAAAGTAAATATTGAAAAAGTTGCAAAGTTTCCCTCATTTTATTTTATAAAGGCAAATAAAAAAACGTTTCAAACAAAAGTTGCTCGAATTAATTGGTGGAAAAAGATGATAATAGGAAATAATAAGAAATGGGGATTTCCATTTATGATTTTAAGCTTGTCCCTGACTTGATCTCTAAGCTTGATCCCTAGGTCAAGTTCAGGTTCACCACTAAAATGCCCATTTCCAAACTCTAAAACTTTTGTATCATATATACACAGGGTATACCAGAAAGATGCGAATCCCGGGTTAACTTGAAGGGATGACGTTTCTGAAAAAAAAAAAAAAAATGCCAAATATAAAAGTTATACACATAAATGTATGTATGTATATACACATAGGCGTGTGCGTGTGTCTTGCCTTTCGACCCATGTTCCCCGTCCCCCTCCCGCGATAAAAATAAGTTCTTCCAAATTGTACGTTGATTGATCCCGTCGCGTACGCGTCATACCATTAATGTATTCTCCGTTCGTTAAGACCCCCGTCGAGATCCGTTATGCAATTACAGCCGCCGTCATGCTACGCCGTTGTTCTTATGTGTGGAATAGAAAATGCCACTTGACGCACAATGACGAAGCGTGTATGAGTTTCCACGGGCGTTCTGTTATCGCACGCGAGTGACGATGAAATAAGTCGCTCTCTGCGCTACGCTTCCTGTTTATATTTCTTTTTATTTCTCGCTTGTAATCTAATCTGGTATATTGTCGTAGAGGATCACATCGTGTGTGATGTACGAATTCTCGTCGATACGAGAAGAAAAATCTGACCTGGTTGCACTGCTCATTGCAGGATACGCGAACGCAAAGATTTATAAGTGCGACAATGAAAAGTGCCCCCCGCCAGGATGCTACACGTCCGCTGGATCCAGCAAGGACGATTCGTTCCCTTGTTTACGCCCGGCTTGTACAGGCAGATATCAATTAGTCCGTCATGTGTCCTTCGTCGATTGCCCCGGTCACGACATTCTTATGGCTACCATGCTGAACGGAGCGGCAGTTATGGACGCAGCTTTGCTTTTGATCGGTGAGTCGGTTCGTGGATTCCTCATGGATCGAATTTTCCCTCATGCAAAATTCTTCCGCAAAATTCTTTTCTCTTCTTGTCTCTCTCTCTCTCTCTCTCTCTCTCACTCTCTCACTCTCTCTCTCTCGAGTAACGAGTCAACTTGTCTCATGTTTGTAGCCGCGAACGAGTCGTGCCCACAGCCACAAACGTCGGAGCATCTGGCAGCGATTGAAATTATGAAGCTGAAACATATAATTATTTTGCAAAACAAGATCGACTTGGTAAAAGAGCCGCAAGCGAGAGAGCAGCATGAACAGATCTTAAAGTTTATTCAAGGTACGTCCCGAGTGTGCGACTGAAGCGGTGCTTTGCTACGTGACTGACCAGAATATACCAGAAATCATCAATTTCCCTGTTCAAGTTTCGCGATGTGGTCGAGTCCAGAATAGACCTGGCTCAGCCAATCAGCGAGATGGCCACTTTCGGGACACAACCGTAATTTATACATGATACGATAAGTATCGCGATAATAATAAGCTTTTGCGAATCTCAAATGTAGGTACCGTGGCGGAAGGCGCGCCGATAGTTCCGATTTCGGCGCAACTGAAACCCAACGCCGACGTGCTGTGTCGGCTACTCGGCGACAAGGAGAAGATCCCTATTCCAACGAGAGACTTCACGTCGGAGCCGCGATTGATTGTCATCCGTTCGTTCGACGTAAATAAACCGGGCTGCGAAGTGGACGACTTGAAGGGTGGTGTCGCTGGCGGCAGTATTCTGCGAGGAGTACTGAAGGTGATTGAATCATCAGCGAGACTCGCGCCAAATTTGGAAACGTAAATTAATGTAGAACGTTGCTTCAAACTGTCTCGCAGGTCGGCATGGAGATCGAAGTTCGTCCAGGGTTGGTGTCGAAGGACAGTGAGGGGAAGTTGACCTGCCGCCCCATTTTCTCGCGTATCGTGTCCTTGTTTGCTGAACAGAACGAATTGCAATTCGCCGTACCGGGTGGCTTAATAGGTACGATCGTGGCTGATCGTCTAACCTTAGGCAGGTCGTTCCATAATTATCCGTCCGAATCGTCGAAATAATTATTCTTGATACGATTTGAAGGTGTTGGGACCAAGATTGAGCCTACTCTATGTCGTGCTGATCGTCTAGTCGGTCAAATTCTTGGGAGCGTCGGCACGTTACCAGAAATATTTATCGAACTTGAAGTCTCGTATTATCTTCTCAAGCGTTTGTTGGGCGTCAGAACTGAAGGCGACAAGAAGGGCGCAAGGGTGAGTCCACTGTGATGATTCATCTTGCCGTAATATTTGCAGGAGTTCTTTTTTATTTATATAAAGGCCCATTTTTCAAAATACATATAATGTCGTTGATACAAACGCGTTGTGATCACAGGTACCGAAATTGTCAAAGGGAGAAGTGTTACTAGTGAATATTGGATCCTTGAGCACCGGCGGCAGAGTGCTGGCTACTCGCGCTGATTTAGCAAAAATTAGCTTGACCAGTCCGGTATGTACGGAAGTTAACGAGAAGATTGCATTATCGAGACGTGTGGACAAGCATTGGCGCCTGATCGGATGGGGGCAAATTTGCGGCGGGCAGACGATAGATCCTATCTTGGATCGGAAGTAACTCCGTGGCACACTAGAGATTAGATTCTCTGAAATTAAATCATTATTTCTACAACTTCTTCGTAACGCTGTCATTAGCTTTATCAGTTGTACGAAATATTTGTAATAAAATGAATCTATCTCTACCGAGAGCAATTACCAATGTTTTAATTAGTTAATTATCACCACACCCTACTTGTCGATTGCAAAATATTTCTTTCTTTCAAATCTATCGCTATTTAAATTACGAGTCTGTCTATGTCCTGTGGTTAATAAAAAATGGCCCTTTATATTTGAGTATTTGTTGCAATCCTATCTTTTTGATGACTTTTTAACTCTACTTTGCGCATAGACTGTATAGACTCGCGGACTAGACGTTGAAATTTCCAGTTTTGGCGGGATTTGCGTCACGTCCCGTTTAAGTGCACTTCAATGTGGCCACAGAAGAACAGATTCCATTCTGTTTTTCCCGCCAACCCGCCATATTCTGCTTCGGAAGCGAATCTTTTATATTACTTTCGCCAACAAAACACCGACGAGTATTACACACCGCAAAATCTCTTTCTATTTTGAGGAGATAACTTTACGTAACTTTGTGTAATCGTATAACCGCAGATATATATGTATATATATAGAACTAATCTTATCTTATCAATTATATCTCCCACTTCGTACCACACTGGCGATAATTCTCGCGATAAAACTCGCGTCGAGAATCGTTTGTCGTTCGCCATCGATCCGCGCAATTCAAAAGGATCAACCGACTTCAGCCGACGCGCACATGCGCATGTAACACAAACGGCTCGATCATGGTTTTAAGTCCGAGGGAATCCGGCAAGTTGATCGCCTCGTTGGCGCAGGATGTGTTCATCGAGGACGAAAAGGTCAAAGGGCTGGCGCTTGAGGTGAGTTTCTGCGCTCATGAATTTCGAACGATTCGGCACACGCCCTCGAGCAAGTCTTGAGAAGCTTGACGGCATTTAGGTTATGTCGAAAGCGCGGGATTCGAACTGAACGTAGCAGCGCGATGTCGTTTCACGAAACCGACATCGTATGGTTAAAAGACGCACATATGCTTGTCGAATTTTATTTCTCACCACGTTAGTCAACAGTTAATTTTGGCAAATGTGCGAAGACCTGGTAGGTCGCAACGAAAACGTATCCGGGTAGCAAAGTATGTCGCGGCATGATCCTGGATATATACGGAACGTCCTGGGGCAGTCCTCAGTACATTCAGTAGACCTGTTCTGTAACTGTTTAAGGACAGTGTCGTTATCGTTACGTTGTCGTTGCCATATTTTCTATCATATTTTCTAATATAGTATATTCTTTGAACGACAATGCAATAATAACAGTCCTGTTAAGAGTTACAAGACAGGTCTATCGGTGATGTCTGGAATGATCTTGGGACATCTTGTGTTATTTGAGTAACTATACAAGATTTTGTTTGTGCAGATCGTCAAGGCAATTGCAGATTCCAGTCTCAGCCTGAACAACTTTCTGCAGTGCGAGTTTCACCCCAAGCATGATGACCCCTTGGCGGTGGACTGGATATTCATCTTGGACACGTTGAATTTTTCATTCTGGACTCAAACAGGCGCCAAGAAATGGACGGTGAATGGGCAGACTGGCTACTTTGCTTTGTGTGCTGCTGTCAAGAGAGCCATCGAGGTAAGTACGCTTGCAGAATGCTTGTTTGGTTGCGTTTCAACCTATTTCATGTGGGAGCAATACTTGTAAGTGAATGAACCTGTGCGAATGTCGAGCACCTTGAGGAATAATTAATATGTCTTAACTGTATGACGTACTACACACTATTTGTGGGCTTTGCGAAGTGGCACCGACATTGACGCGTGTCCTCTGATGTCGATTGCAGTTGAGATCCTTGGACTCTGCCTTCCGTCAAGGATTCTTGAGCTGTCAACTTGTCAGACTCTTTATGCTTTTTTATTCTGTGGTAACCGACTTTCCCCGCAATGTGTGTTTTCCCTCCTGGTTTCCTGTGCACTGTTTTGCCCCTTGAATCTAGCCCAAGCTCAACGTCTCCCACCGGCTATCGACACAAAACGGCAATTTTTGTCAAGACCTGCAGTCGCATGTCGCTGAGAAATAAGTGAGATGAAAACCGTGCAGCGCTTAAGAGGCACTTGCGATACTGCAATCGTTAACTTCGCACCTCCGCCTTCCTTAACTTCAAGTCGTATGATCGATACGTCGTGCCGGATGGTTTTCTTTTCTCCCCTTCACCCCCTTTTCCGTCCTGCCGCGCAATATTAGAAGAGAATTTCGTGTAAAGTGTATTTCTCAAGTAAAATCGGAATGCCCAATCACGCATGTTTTTACCATGTCGGCTCGAAGATATCTCCTGCAGCAAACGCGACGTCTTCCATCAGGTAAGTACCTCTTTATGTAGCATCTCGTAAACAGCTTCGTATGTTCCAAAAGTCCTGCGTACACACGGATCACATTATACAGCCGGCGAAGCGAAGCCACAATCGCGCGGGAGACTGTCTCTCATGTGATAGATCATTGCGATTGTTAGCCCGCCGCCATTTGAATCGCAATTGTAAAAGTAATTACGGAATATTCCGTCGCCCGCATGTGGAGCGTTAACGCGTGACTCGCGAACGAAAAATCGCTGTGACATTTTCCCGGTATTTTTTTCTTTTTTTTTTTTCTTTTTTTTCCGAAGACCGTTCGTCGTCCGCAACTGCATCGTGAATCTGCGGGCAACATTGACGGAGTGTTCGTGAACAAACATGTCGTTTGTCTTCGCCTTACTTTCCATCCTCTCTCTTTCCTTGCTCATCTTGTCGTTGTAATCCGTCATGAACAGCTGGCGGCGAGTGTGCAAGCGCTGCAGCAACACATCTTGCTCCGCGATGTCCTTTTCTTGTAAGTCTCGCTTTCTCCACCACCTGTGAAACGCGTCATCTGTGAAATTCTCTCTCCGCTCCTCGAATTTGTTCTTTGAAATACCGCTAAAGTGCCGTCGCTTTTCTGGCTACACTTCTCTATTTGTACAACGCGCACCTTGCCTCGGCGTCTTCCCGTTTTTGTCGCTCAGCATCCGCAAGTCGCTTTTCCCTGGCTCGTACTTGCGCCTTTTCTCTTCTCCTCAGCTCCATCGACGCTTGCACGGCCTTGCGTCGCGCGAATTTGCGTTTTTGCCGAACCCGCTCGTATCGCTCCTCGCGTTTGATGCTGATCAACCTCCATTTCTCTTGCCTGATGAGCCTCGACACTTTCAATCTCTGCGCCGCTTTACACTCTCTCTTCCTCTGCATCTTGGCTCTCAGTTCTCTTTGCTGGGCGATAAGATGCCTGGTACCTTTCATCTGTTCTCTTCTCTCCAGTCTGCAAACGATCGCGTGGCAAATTGTCGTTAAGTTAGGAGTCGATACGCCTGGAAGAACGCGATTGTGATGGTGAATTTCTCCACGGGAAACGCATATTTGTTTCTTATATTTTGTGAAACAAAAATTTGCGTGTTTCTCTCTTCGAATTCTTGCTCGGAATATTTCGTCGTTTACTTTCTTTTGTATACTTTGTGTGTTACATGCACATTTGCATAACGTTTAAAAATTCCACTGACCTTGCCCTGGCGACGCCATCCAGGGTCAAACTGCAGGGTAAGAGCAGTGAATAGATTTTTTTAAACGCTAAAACTTTTATCCGAAGCACTTTAAACGAGAAATTTAGATTTTCCATTCTATTTGATTCTTTTTATATTTTCTATTCCTAATATCTTCCGAGATCTTTCAGGGTTTCTCAATTTTTTCCTCACCCTGTATAAATCCATATGTTTCTATGTCGCGATCCCGATAAAGAAATAATCTCACCTGATCGCTTCCCTCCGCGCCTGGTCGTCGGCGCGACGAAGGGCTCTCTGCTCGACAAACAGCCGGTTCCTCCTTCTCAGTTCCCTTCCGATAGACTTGACGTGTATCTTCCTCAGGTATTCCCTGTACGCGTTATACTCGCGCAACGTGCACCTCACGTGCATATCGTCCGTGATAAGATCGGCTTTTAACAGACGCTTGACAACAGCCGGCTTCGAGAAGAATCCTAGCAGATGCTTGTCGTGCAAGGGCTCATAGGCGAAGGTGGTCTCGCGACAGTAAGGGTCGCTCAGGTCGAAGTCGACTCTCGGCCTGGCCGCCCATAATCTCAGCCCCAATCGGCGTCGCGTGAATTTATAAGTGTCCTTCGGCGCGCCGGGCATCACGGGTATCTTCTGTGCCAGAGACATCGCTTTCCACTTGGGCAGACCGAACTTGAGCACGGCGTCCTTCGGCTTGGCCACCGTCTCGGCCAACGCGTCCATGTTCCTGTTTGCAAATTTTACTCGCTATGTTTTCGTCTGAATTTTACGCCGAAGATCGAGGGACATAGCTAACATCTTTGATTTTCAACGCAAGAAGGCTTGATGTTATATAAATTGCGTAGTTAGGAGGCGGACTCCATTGATGGTTGCACACGCGAGCTGGACCTTGGGGCTAATTAGTGTCCGATGGAGAATAGGTTAATCCGCGCACTTTATGCGAAGGTCGTTACTCACGTGATTCTTCGAACGCGGATCATGACTGGTGTTGTGTCTTCACGTTGTTTTTCACGTTGTAGATTTCAAGCATGCCGGCCGGCTCGTCTCTCCCTCCGCGATATTTCGATCTTGCGACGGTGTGCGAATCACGAACTCTCGCCGGAACTTCTGTCATGTCGATGTCACGCGTGCATCTCTGCTCAATTGTTTGAATGTGCGATTCACGGATGTGGAACTGCAGATGGACGTGCATTGTCCGGAAAAGGCAGAAATCGATGTTCAAGAAGTGTCCCGCTGTTGAAATCGAGATTTTGATTTTTCAGGACGATGATCGTCACATCTGATAACGCTTGACACGCTTCGCGACGAGCTGCGATCAAAATTTGAACGCAAGCGCGAATTGTCGTGAGTAGAAGAATGATTTTCATGTAATCGCGTGCTACCGGAATCGTTGCAGTTTCCTCTTTTCTCAAACGCGCCGGTTCGGTCTCTTCCTGTCGAGTAACGCTTATCTGGTACACAGGAAGGAAAGCCTATCTTGGATCCTGCTTATTACTCGAAGATAACTCTGAGCGATGTCGAAAGTATCTTCCGGGGTGACGACGAGGTGAACATTCCACTGGTAAACGAGAGACTTCAAGTTTTGCACGAAGCTGGGAAGGTTTTGTTGAGCAAATATCAAGGTACAAACGATCACGGCTACGACGATCGCAACGCAAAATCGATACCTCTGCCGAACATTTTCTCGCGTTCTCGCGTCCCGCTTCTTCGACATAAGCGTGTACCTCGTACGCAGTTCTTCAGGGAGCTCTTCAACGGGCGATAATGAGATCTCGTTGTGTCGTAGGCACGTTCAAAACATGTATCGAGTCATGCAAAGGATCCGCAGCGAAATTGCTCAACTTGATCGTCAGCGAGTTCAAGGCGTATCGAGACGAAGCCGTTTATGAAGGACAGAGAGGTAGTTATCGCAAGAAAATCATAGATGCAATTGAGTCGCAAATTTGTCACCGGAGATTGTTCAATCTTCAGATACAACTTGCTTGTCTCCTGCGAGACATGTAAATCGATCAAGGATAAATTCTCAGAGATGATACGATTTAAAAAAATTTTTTTAAGTTTTTTACATTGATAAAATTTCTAGTTTAGAAAATTCGTAACATTCATAATTAGGAAACAAATTGTAAAATCTTATAAAGCGTCGCCGTGTGAACGTTTTTCAGTTGGTAAATGTTGCTTAGTTAATTCATTGTTACTTTTTGTATAATTGGCGTGCGGTGTATTACTATCATTGTCGACATTTTCTTCCAGTTAGCTTCTACAAAAGAGCTCAGATACTCATAGGCGATATATGGTCTTGCTTCAAAGGATGCGGGATCGGCGAGTTCCACGATATAAACTCTATTACGATGTTCGCCGATTACCGCATCCCTCAGGTCTTCTTATACTTCAAGGCTTTCCGGTATAGCGACTCGCTGCTGAAGAAGCTTCGGTCCGGTAAGACGCTAGAGTCTCTGTGTCACCTTTAGTCACGGGCGGCAAATCCTTCGTCTCACCTGGTTCCACCTATATACTTACGCCAATGCAACAATTAGTGCAACATTTTCCGAACGGGCTCAAGACTTATCTTGACGAGCACTTAGACTCGTATCTTTTGCGAAACGAAGGATTTGCTGCGTTTGCAGCGACGAGCTGTATAGCAACACGAGTCATATTTTCGCAGACGAGCTGTTGGAGAACGGAAGCAGAGAGGAGGCGGAGATTCGCGGTTGCTCGATCGAGCTGGTCGAGAGATTATACGCCGAGGTGCGAAGAATGATCGAGGACCCGAAATCGCCCGTGAAGAGCCCGGAGGCCCTAAACACGGCGAAGCACGTCAACGCCGTCTTGATCGATCAATTCCTGTGGGACTATCGACGGAAGCATGCCGCAGGTATCGACGACCAAGTCGTACCGTTCCACAAAACGAGATGCATCTATTATTAGAGACATTGCCACAATGTCGTGAGTTGCTTCGAATGATCGCGTTGGAGATTGAAATAATTTTTTATTTGAACGTGGACGTTCAAAGATCTTCACACATTTTGCGCACATGTGTCGTTAATTCAAAGAAAAGATGCGATCATTCGGGGATTACTCGGGGATTGATGATGCCTCTTGGGACTTGTACGTTGTTGCATTTATCACAAGTGTAAAATGTCGAGCGCGCGAAAGCTGCTTACAAAGTTTCCCTGAAAATATATCACTCGATCGATTAAAGATTATTTTTTTGCTGCACACACACTCGCCCAATATCTTTCTCTCTCCTGTAGTTTCCGCTCCGATCCGGATTTCAAGGTTCGGTTGAGCGCGACAGATTCTCTGCGATTCTTATTTATTTCATTATATTAAACTATACATATATATATTTATATAGTATATCTTTTTATAATAATATACAAAATCTTGGCGAAACTTTAAATTACACTTTGAAGAAAGTTTATTTCCATCGCTTACTTAATTATTGGCAACGCGTGGAAACGATTAACCCTCTCAACCCCTTTTAGATGCTGGGCGCCCTTTCTGACATTGTTATTAATTTTAGAAATCCGATTTTTATCGAAACTTCTCTATCCTATTTGGAGCTTGATAATTTTGCGATTTTCAAATTTATTATCTAGATTCTTCTAAGAAGAATTCCCCACCGAAAAATTTCGATTGAGATCTAAAATAAGATTTCCGCAAAATGTCCTATGTGAGAACTTAATTACTTCATACAATATTTCATTTGAGATCTCTCACTTGAGATATCATATAAAAAAATAAATAATGATATTTCAATCGATACGTTACACGAAGAATAGATAAGCTTATCTATTTTTCTCAATTCAAATATTACTTATTTTTTTCATATGACGTCTTAATTGAAGTATCAAATGAAATAATTGAGATCTCATACAGGAAATTTTTCGGAAATCTCATTTTACATCTCAGTAGAAATTTTTCAATAGGAAAGGCCTCTATAGACGCTCGCAGCAACCATCCTGATTCGTAACGTCAAAAGCGAGAAAAATACATGCTGCGGAGCACGTCGTAATAAAGAAATATATCGAAAAAATGACAATCGACTATAAGCGCGCCTGTGAAATGCCTGTGCAAACACTTTCCTCCTACTGCAACAATCAATAACATAGCGTAAAACCAACGTGACCGAATCACGAGAAAGGATAGGCTGAAAAAAAGTGAGTCGCACGTCTCGTTGATTTTACGATAACTTATCGACTGCTATCGAGCGAAAGCGAAGTGTTTGCCGAAGTGTTTTACAAGTGCGCTCGTTTGTGATTGCAAGTGCCACTTTTCCGACACGTTTGTTTATTTCAACGTGGGAATTTTGCAGAAATCTGGAGCGTGGATTTTCTCGCTTCACGAAAAATCGTGGCGGCCGCGGAGAGTCTGCCGAGGAGGCTTAAGAATTTTTTTCAAACAACAAGTCTCGCCTCTTTTTCGCGGCATAATTCAAAGCAGGAAGGGCGATCTCATCTCGACCTCGGGACTCTTTCTTTGGCTATCAACTTCTCGCGACGCCGTTTGGCACGAATTTAATCACACTTGCGTAAACACGCTTGCGTCTCGCGCTGTTATCACGCGCGGCGGATCTTATCTATTTAGTACGCGCTGTGCGCGACAGCAAATCACGAGTAAATATGCGACACTCGGCCGTGGGACATTCTCCCGGCAGCGTTAGACGTCCTCTCGGTGTCCTTGCAACTCGCAGTGACGCAATTCGCGATTGGATGTCGCGCGAGGCCGTGTATTTGCACATCGTTTGGAAATACAAGTCTTACGTAAATAATTGTGTCAAACATGCTAGAGATACGATACGGGTATTTATAAGACACATCCTGCCGCTCCCTTTCTCCTCTCTCGGAAACGCAGCTTTTTCGATCTTGATCTGACGTCGTCGTGTCACGTCGTTACCGTATTTCCTGCCCCCTTTTTTTTTACGCTTTAGCTCCATGCATTTCAATAATCGTTTGGCTCACAGACACTGCGACAATTACGATATATTTACAATTACCCTACATATACAATTCCCTCCCTCCTGCGATACTATCCATCTGGAGAATTTGAAGGCGAGTCGACTCGCGCGCTCGAGTTTCTCTCGTCTTATGCGTCTCGTTCGGAATAACTTCTCTCCGGTATGTACAAAATCAACCTCGCTTCAAACGTCGCAGCTTTACCGAGCGTAAAGCCGCGTCTTGAACTTGCATATTTCTACCCGTCTCTCTCGCGCATACGGCAGAATTATCGGGTAGACGCGCGCGCGCGCGATTCAATTTCTCTTTTGCATCTGCTCCCAAAATATAATGTTCGACTTGAGCTTGCCGGGCGAGATCACGGCGATGTCGCTGTCCTCGCGTTTCGATCGCACGACCTCCGTGCGATTCGCCGGTCGATCCTCGACCAAGGAGCGGCTGACGGGCTGCGAGGTGACCCTGCTGGGCATTTGGCGCAGGCCTTCCCGGAACTCCTTCGACAGCGACCTGGCTGTCAGACTGTGCATCTGCTTGGGCGTTTCGACTATCTGCACCTCGGGGGTGAAGGACCTGTCCTTGACGTCGTCTTGCTTTGTCACCTACGAAGCGAAAATGCTTTTTTTTCTGGCTTTAATGGTAACTCACGGTAATTGTCACTGCGCAGAAATGCACGTACGCGCAGCGAATCCGAAAAGATCTTCGAAACTTGGTAACGAAGAGAGATAGAGTGATGAAGAGAGCAATGACGAGAAATTCTTTTCCGAAATACGGGGAAACGGCAGCGATAACGAATCTAAAAGTCCACTTCTCGTCTACTCTGTCCGTTAATGGGCAACAAACGATCCTTGAAAAATAATTTCCGTCGATAACTTTCGTGCGCGACTCTTTCCAGCCGTCTGTCTCTCTTCATCTACCCGACGTCTCGTTCCATGTCGAACCGAAAGATAAAAGAGACGTTTTTCCCGCTAATTACCAAAATTTTGCTGGCCTTCGCAGACACCGGCTCGGCCGGCGCGGGAGGTTGTCGGCCGCCGAAGGCTTCGGCGAGCCTCTTCACGGACGGCATCGGCAGCTCCTCCTCGGCTCCCCGCAGCTGCTCCTTATCGTCGACGTAGATATCCTCGAAGGACCTGTCCAAGTCAGACGGAGCCTCGTCGTAGCCGTTGAGCTCGTCGTTCTCGTCCACGTCGCGCCCGTCCAGCGCAGTCTCGTCCGGCTCGTCGCTGACGCGGTTCAGCGAGTTCTTCGCCGCCAGCTTGTCCCCCGCGTCCTTGTCGCCGTCGTTCATGCGCACCGGGTTCGCGTAATAGTACGCGTCGTCGGTTACGTTCGGCATCGACTTGGCCGATACGAGCGAGCCGACCTTCCTCGCGTCCTCGTGCGCGTCGTCCTCGTGCAGCTGGTTCAGCTCCCCCGAGCTCTTCGTCAGGTCGCCGCGCTCGTCCGCGGGGAACTCCTTGTAGCCGGCGCGACGCTTCTCGCGGTCGATCACGCACCTCGTCAGGTTCGACTTCTCGTTGTCCGCCGGCTGCCGCTGGTCCAGCTGGTTGTTGGAGCGAGCGCGACGCAGGCCGTCCTGATAGCCGAAGGATCTCAGGTCCAGCCTGTTGACCACTCGCTGTTGCTGCGGTCGCGCGCTCTTCCGCACCTCCGAGAAGAACTCGTTCTCGAAGCCGTACGCCTTCAGATCGATCCTGCGGACCTGCCGCTTCCTCTCGTCCTGCCGTTCCGTCTCGAGCGAGTTGAGCTCCTGCTTGTTCAGCTTCGCGTTGATCTCGTTCTTGCTGTTCTTCCGCTGATCCTCCAGGATGTCGTCCGCCCGCCGCTCCCCCCCGTCGACGGGGCCGCGATTGTTCGTCTCGAGGCTCATTATCTCGGCGTTGTTCCTCCGCCACGTGGACGTCGCCCTCGGGTCCTCCTTGTCCTCCCGCGGCGCACTGTCGCTCTCCGCGGACGTGACTTCACCCTGAAACACACCAAAGACCGGCTGGCGTTAACTGCTTCGCGCGAATGATCGATTTCGTCGGGGAACATCCGCGTGTTGAATTTCTGTTCCTTTTCCTGCTGTTTGATCGCCCTTCTTGCCAAAAGATCGACACACCTTTGCTTCTTTCTCCCCTCCGTTGCAGCACGGAGAAGTCGAGGAGTCGGGGAAACATATATTTCTACTCTACTAAATTTCTTCGCTCGGCCTTCTCTCTAACGAGAATCTTGCGTGATCTCGCATTCATCTGCGATGCAAGCGCGTCGATTATTTATGTAAGCCGATCACCTTGCAGCGAATCAATCACTGCAAATTGTCAGGACGAGAATTCGCTCGTCGCTGCCACTCGCTTTCTCTCCTGCGCCTCGCTTCTTCCTCCGTCGGCGGACTGTCCTGTACGATCGTCATCGTTATGCCTGATATTTAACAGGAGGCTTTCTTTTCACGCGTTAATAAGAGACGACTGGCGCGACCCGCGCGATGTCGTTTACGTCTCAGGACGAGATTAGCGGCAATTACGAGCACGCATCGCGTCGCGGCTTGGCATCTTCTCGCAACGGGCTTCCCGAACTTTTCTCGGCGTCAAATAGAAGCGAGGAGAGAGAAGCGTTTCGTTATTCTGCATTCGTTGAAATTCTCAGTCATCTCCCGATCTTACGCGAGTAAACCAATCGCTCGAATAAGCGTTCATGCGTTAGTGAGCATCGAGAGCGCCGCGCGGGGAAGCTTCCTATCTTTGGCGTTACAAATGTAGATTAGTAATGTTAGTAGCGCTGTTAACACACTGAGTGACACCACTGTAATAATGTTAATAGCGCACCCCTTTAGTGATTATTATTTCCCGCGGCGAGAAATATCACGACCGCGCAGCCCGCGAGAGATCTCAGCCTCTACAAACGCTTCAAACACACACACACACACACACATAGAAACTCGGTTGTTAGTCAGCACACTTTGTTAGGCCACGCATGTAAATATGGCGGTACTTACCAATTCTAAAAAAGTCTCTCTCTTTCGCAGCTCGTACGCACGCTTTCGACTAGCGGAAGTAGCTCGCGCGAGTAGATAGAGTCGGAAATTATCAGACTACGCCTCGTGATATTTTTTTCGCTTTCACGCGGAAACGAGAGAGACGGTCGCGAAGTCGACGAGAAACGTCCGTTGAGAATCAAGTTTGCGATTAGTGCGCGTGTTACGGTGTTAACACTTGGTGAGAAGATCGGTTCTCCTCCCTTTCTCCCCCTTAGCCTCGCACGTGTCCTCTGAGATTCAGGTTTGAGGTGTCAATTTGGAAAGTTTAAGCGTTTATACAGGCGTATCTCTCTCTTTCTTTCTTTCTATCTCTCTCTCTCTCTCTCTCTCTCTCTCTCTCTCTCTCTCTCTCTCTCTCTCCAACCGTGCGTTTGAAGTCTATCTGAACCGCCACCCGATGTAGTCACATGCGTTCGAAGAGTAAGATCACTCCTCGTCTCGTCAAGTGGATTAGTTAGATCAGATCAAGCTGTTTGAACTTGTGCAGAGGGTCGTATATCGCACGTACGATGTTCTGTGCTGAAATCGTAAACCGTCGAGAGTGACACGAGGCTGCTGGAGAACGCGCGCAGAAAGTCGAGAAACCGAAAAAAAAAAGATGTATCCCGCGACATTTTCCCGCGAAACGCTCTTCTTCTCTAACGACAAGTCGATCTTCTTGCATTCATCTGCAATGCAAGCATCGATGATTTATTATATTAGCCCGATATTGAACTCGCGTCGGATCGGATCGACCGCGACCCGGAATTCAGTCGGAACTGAAATTCTTCTGTATCGTGTGACTTCATTAACAGCTCCCAAGAAACTGAATAGCCTTCGGACGGACGGGGTGGTGGCCGTGGAAATCTAGTCTAGAATCAGCGGGAGAATCAGCGTTACTGCGACGTGCAATCTCATGTGCTCTGCACCCGTATTTATTTGCCACTTGCGACTGTTATAAATATAACATCCCTTAACTGTTAATATATCGCGCTCACTCGCACACTCACGCAAATTCACGCATCGCGTCATGGCACTGGTATTCGCATTTCCCAGGTATACGCCTACAGGTCGCGTGTCGAAGAACACACGTGTAGACGTGTGTCAACGCGCGTGTGACAATCATTAAATTATTGTTATCAACAGACCCCCGCAACCGTCCGATTAATTCGACCAGCCCGGCAACCCCTTGCCGGGACACGCAGATAATTCTACAAGCGCTCTCCGAGTTTGTGGCGTTCAGAACGAGGCAACTAACTAGGTTTCTCGCTGGTCGCTTCCTTCGCGAACTCCTCGCTTCACCCCGAGTGACGCGCGACAGAGTTATCCCTCGAGCTTATCTGCCGATTCAACCCCGCAAGGACCTCCTTGCGGACGCAGCTCGAAGCGCAGCCGATGAGAGGCCCGATGGCAGAACCTTGACCTTCGTGGGATTCATCAAAAATAAATTCTCGCTGGACCAGCGGCTGCGTCCCGAGCTGCGTCCAAGAGACCAGGTGTTTTGAAACGCGCTGTACACCCTGGGATCTCCTCATCGTCGTCACCATATCGTGACGTCGCTCAAGCTCCTCACGTCCGACTTGTCGCGTCGCCTCTTGCTATCCTTCCTGCGCTCTCGCGCTCGCCGAGCGCCCTTCGAATCCTCCTCCGAGCTCTTCTCGTTGGTACCGGTCACCGACTTCTCGTCGACACCCTCCTCGGAGACGTCTCGACGCCTCCGAGCTCGAGCTCTCCTGGCCCGCGACGTCGCGACGTTGTTGTCGCCGAAGGCGCCCGCCTTCCTCCCCTTCGACACATCCTTGAGGAACTTGTCCATTATCACGTGGACGGCCGGCGAGGGTGAGCTTGCGTTCATCCTGCGAGTCGAGTTCCCGCGTCTCACTCCGCAGACGTTCCTGTCGCGCCCGGAGACCTCGTCGTCCACGACGTCGTCCTGCTCGTCTTGCCAGTCGCTCTCGCCGAGAGCGGAGCTCGTGGAGTGCTCGAAGCTCGGGAGTCCTTCGAAACTCGAGGAATCCAGCAGCTCGTCTTCGTCGGCCGATCCTTCCGTGCGAATTCGGTCTGCGGAGTCGTGGCTCCTCCCGACGGCGGTCTTCGACGGAATCGCCGGCCGCGGTCGCACCCTCCTGCCGGCGAGCCTCCTGCTCCTCTTGATCCCGCCGAAAGTCTGGAACTTGAACTTCATGAATTCCAGCCCGCAATCCGGCTGTGCGGCTCGCTCTGGATCCGCCGAGGCCGGTTCGTCGTCGAGGTCGTCCAGCTCCTCGACGTCCAGCTCCTTCGCCGGCCACGTCCTGATCCCGCCGAAGGTGTGGTACTTGTGGCCGATGGTCCAGAACCTCCTGCCGTCCACGTAGGAGACCCCGTCGTCGTTCTCCAGCCGGTACAGCCGTCGCCAACGATCCCTCTCGGAGGGTGCGAGGTCCGAGTCCCGCGAGCCGATCGAGCACATGCCGGAGTCGCGGTCGCCCGGCGAGCCTTCGCGGCTGTCGTCGCGCTCGTTGTACCGCGGCGTCACCGGCTCCTCGACGTCGAGCCACAGTCGCCGTACATCCTGCCGCTCGGCTTCCCCCGCCGCCGGGTTTGAGCGCTCGGGCGACCGCGCGGCTTCCGGCAGGTGCAGGAGGGGGTTGATCGCGAAGTGCGAGCTGGCGCGGAAGTCGCGGCAGCGTCGCCGAGGAAGGCTGCCGTGCAGCGAAGCCGCCTCGAATCGCTCGAGCTCGTGACTCACCTGTCGTTCGCGCTGCTCATCGCCGGCGCAGCTCGACCGCTGGGACAGCGAGCTGCTCGGTCTGCTCGACGAGGACATCGCCGACCTCGCCCGCTCCGGCCGCTCGCCCTTGGCTGTCTTCGACTGGTTGATGTAGTAGTCCCTGCCGAACCTGCGGGCGCTCGACCGAGCAGCAATTCGGACTCGTGAGAACTCGTCGCGACCATCACCGCGGCTGGACCTCGCCCAGCCGGGAACGCGCAAAGCGAGAGAGAAGTCTTATGCGTGGAGGAGTCGCGGAGTTGCTTTTGCCAAACCTTTATACTAGCTGAGAGACCTAGCTTCTGCTTCATACTACTTGACGTGTGTTATCAAAGTCATCCTGCTGAGCAACCTTCGAAAGGTCTTAATCGTCGTTTATTGTTTGTTAAAAACAATTGTGACTTTGATAACAGGTGTCGAGATCAAGATCGTAGAGATGAGATAAAAATTTACCTTGTTTTTTACGACTTGCAGAAAGGAGTTACAGAATCGGGATCGTTAAGTTTGCGCGAACGTTTTCGTGTTTTATTTTTATGGTTTCTTTATCTCTCGTCGCTTTTCGCGTTTCCGCTCCTCGGGAAAGTTACAGCGCTAGCCTGCGTTCGCACCGGATTCCCACCGGCGGCGATACGCAGTCTCGCTCTCGTCCAGCAAATGACACATTCGTTCGCTTTGCGCGATTTCACCGACGTCGCTCGCGGCGCGACAGTCGAGTGACTGCATTTCAAGCAGATGGAGAAGTGAAATTACCGTTTGATGTCCGGTGAATCAGGCGTCATCAGCGCGTCCAGGTCCACTGCGTTCAGCTCCTTTATCTCGTATTGAACTCTAGATAACAAAGTGGTCACCTTTATACGGCGGAAGCTGGAGGCTAAGAATGTAAGGAAGTCCGTTTGGTAATTTCAGTTTCGCATCAGCGTGCACTGTACGACGGGTTTAAGTCAATCGATTGCTTACAAATGTCTGAAACGTGTTTAAAACTTTTGTTTTAAACAAAAAGTTTAAAATACGCCAACCCCCCTGTTTTTCCTTCTTTCGTTATTCTAATCGATCGAGTGCAAGTTTATTTCGTTTCTACTGGGGAATCTTTTGCAATTTACTCACAATAATAATAATGATAATAGAGGGCTAGCGACTTTGACGTTTCTTACCCGGAGACATCCGCGGATTTGCGCGAATACCGCCTCTCCCAGGAGCGCTTCCGGATGCTCTCCTCGCTGTAGGGGTTGTTCTCGATCGGCGGCGCGTTCTCCCATTTCTTGTGTTCGCGTTCCGCTATCGTGCCTGCCGGGTACATTCATCATCGTTAAGTGTCCTCGCGGAGGGATTTTCTCAGGAATCGCTTCGCTTCCCTCGTAAGCGTATAAACCATGAAACGGAACTATTTTTCGTCTTATGACGCAATCTGAGTAGAGATCCCAAGCTTCCCTCGAGATAGACTCCGCGTTTTAAATTTTATCTGCGTATTATTCGCAACGCAAAGCATCATTCGCAATTCCCCGCGAGATTTATGTTCGACGTTAATCAATCCTGGTCTGTCCGGTTCCACGTCAAAGAGGCAACAGATTGGCGCAATGAGTTTTTTGTCTACTTACAAAGTCCGAAGCACTTACGCGATTATGCGCACGCAGTTTACCATATTTATTTGATACACGCGTTATAAGCCTATATACCTGGGCGCGGTGGGGCGCTTAATCGATCCTTCTCAGCGGCCGTGTCAACGTGACCCTTGCTCGTTGCATAAGTTAATTGGACTCTGGCTTCCGAGCGCTCGCTGTATAAAACAGAAGAATAAATTACGAAAGATGTACACGTGCCGGCGAAATGATAGGCAAAATCGCACGCTTGGATTCAAGGTTCAAGGTGGCTCGAGACAATCGAAGAGCGACTACACGCGATACCGGAACAACAAAACATCAGTTTCATCTTACATATTATCTTCTCTTATATTCGTCTCGAGCGGAGCTTCATCTGTCGCTAAAACTGTCGCGAGTCGAGAAAGCGTACACGAAGAACTGCAAGAGCGAGGGTCGAAATCGAAGTTCGGGGATTTTGGAGTACTCGAAGCCAAACCGAGCTCAATCAAGTTGTCTTAGTTGTGCAAGGATCGATCGCAAAGTGACGGTCCTACTACCTCTTTTCTTCCTCGACCGGGCTGTCCTCCAATTTTCCGGGCTGCTCGGCCGCGAATTGTCCCGTTTCGACGGCAGGCTCGCTCTCTCCGGCGCACAAGTCGACCTTCGTCAGGCTGTCCAAGTGCCTCTGAATCGCTGTGTCGTAGTGCTCGGTGTACTCGCTCTCTCGTTGCTCTTCGCCTTCGTCGGCGACGTTTCCCCGGTCGATCCTTTCGCTCGATTTTTCAGCCGGCACTTTTGCGTCCTTTTGCGCGGGACTTTCCAGCGCGGTCGCAATTGTCCTTTCGCCGCGCTCGACCGTGTCCTTGGGCTGCCTCTCTTTGGCCATACTCTCTTCCCCTTTCGTCCCCGTAATCGGCAGCGGGGAACTTTCACCCGGCTCACCCTTCTTATCATCCTCGTCCTCGGCTACTTTCTCTACCGCGATCTCCTCGATTTTCCTTCTCGTTTGACAGGCTTGGTCAACCTCGTCTTCGCCCAGCCGCGTCGTATCGTTTGGCACTTGCTGATTGCTTTCGCACTCGGAGGTCCTGGGGCTCCTCGGCACCACGTTGTTGATCGCCTCCATCACCTCTTTCTCGATCTCCTCGTCGGACCTGGTGGACGAGCATTCGGACAGGTCGGACGTGTCCTCGGCGTCCCTGTCGCCGATCAGAGCCTTGTAGCACGTGTTGGAGCTCGGCACCAACATGGCGACCGCGTCCGGCTGCGACCGAGCGCTCCTTTTCTTCTGGAACAGCCAGTTGTCCTGCCAGGACTCGATGGGCGAGACCAGATCCATCGTGTGGTCCGTGACGCGATATTTCGTGGTCATTCCCGAGCTCTCGTTGCGACCCGAGCCCGACGACGACGACGACGGCGACGGCAATTCTCGCGGGGCTGTTTCACGCAGACATACCGTGATTGAGAAACGGGTCGCACACTTTGCGTGTTATGTTAGGAAAACGTCGAGGAAAGGAACCTCCGCAAAAAGGTTCGATTTTTTGCCTCTTTTTCGATCCTCGATTTTGGAATCGAATTTTATGCCAAAAGATACTTCATGATGAGACATTAATTACAGAAAAGTTTTACGTTGAGCATACGATTAGTTTCAAAGATGTAGAGGGTCAAAGTGGTCACTACTTACTAAGAAAGTCTGACACTAATAACGCTTTGTCGCACGAATTTTTGCAAAATTCGATATCTATGGGTTTTTTTGGGTTGCTGATTACGAATCTGATGTCAGATTTTAAAAATTCAAAATGGCAGGTGCAACATGGCGGACACATATAGTGAAACAATCATTTACTTTTATTGGAACTGTTATGTTGTGGCTTTTTTGGCTAGCTGATTGCGAATTTTCTATTAGGTTTTCGAAAGTAAATTTTTCCACGACAATTTTTGAGTGGATAAAAATTTTTTTTTGTTTTTTCATAAAAAAAATATCAAATTCAAATTGATACGTTACATGACGCATAAAGGATAACGTGATAGTTTTATTTGTTATATTTAGAAGCTTTTTCATTGCAGTTTCCGTGACTCTTTATAATTGCATATCATTATATCCAATAATATAAAAGTTGAATGTAAAAATTCAGTTCTCAAGTTATCGGTTTTAAAGTGTACCACAACATAACAGTTCTACGTAATAAAAGTAAATAATTGTTTCACTATTTGTGTCCGCTCTATATCTCTGAAACTAATCGTATGCTCAATGTAAAACTTTTTCGCGATTAATGTTTTATCATGAGCTATCATTTCGCATAAAATTTAATTTAAAAATCGGGGACTGAAAAACGGGCACTTTTTGCGGAGGCGGAGGTTCTTCGCGATCACTCACGGTCAACGATGTCTATGCCGAACTCCGGGAACGGCACGCGCCGGGTGCATCCGTACTCCAAGGCGTCGTTGTCGATGGCTTCGTTGTCCGACGTGATCGTAGTCACCTCCTCTATTCGCTCTTCCATCTGCAACGGGATTTCATTTCCCCGTCGGGCTTACTCGCGAAAACTCGCTCTCTAAATTTCATCGAGTGAAATCTCGCTCGAGGAGCGGAGCGCGCGACAGCCCTGAGGAGTCCCTCGAAATTCGAAGAACTTGTCATTCTCATAGAGCAAACTCCTCCATTTTTGGAGTCGTCCAGTAGATGTTTCTCCGAGATCGAACCCGATAATCTGTACGAGGGACGGATTTTCGCTCTGGTCGACTGAGACGCTCGCTCGTGCGCGAACCTTCCGGATGATTCGGATTTACTTCACGCTGCGAGAAACTTGAAAAGATATTTGCGGAATTTACGAATTTACGAGGCGAATTTCAGGGAGTTTCTTCTAATTTCGCGTCTCGATTTTATAAATACCCGACACGTCGGTGAAGTGACGCGCGAGCGCGAAGTCAAGGCGGCTCCTCTTCCTCTTCTCCTAGAAAATTAATCCAGGAGCGAGACTTCCACTCAGATACATACCGTGAAGGACATCGGTTGCCGATGATCTCCATTCTGCCTGATCGGCGCGCCACGATCGCCGTTACATTCGCCGTAGCTCGCCACGTCCTCCTCAATGCCGCGCTCGCCGTCGGCTGGAAAAAGAAACGCCGTCTATGTTGTGTCGCGTTTAGCGTACTCGGTAACAGGTTAAGCAAATTCTACGCACGGGAAGCGTGTTTCGTCTTGGACGGGTCCACGATGTGCAGGACGTTGCTGTTGCCGTCCACTCGTTCTCGCTGCAACCTCTCGATCACCTGAAACGCGTATTAGATTCGTCTCTTCGGACAGAATTTCCCCATAATAGTTGCATTAATATTTCCCCACAAGTAAGAGCGAGTGCAAAAGAGTTCTGACAGATCCTGCGATAAAAAAATGTATGTGTGTGTGTGTGTGTGTGTGTGTGCGCGCGAACGAAGTATAATAATTTTATTATAAACGGTTCATTCACTCTGCCAAGTAAACGCCATTATTTTTTATAATTTTGAAGTCGCCATAAAAATGGAAATCAGTCATCTTTAAAAAATTCGTGCGTTCAATTAACGGAAAGAGCGACTGTTTGACGTTTCCGAAGCTCACTCGAGAGACAACCTTATTGAGTATCGCGGTAGCGAGGAGGTCCTCGTAGCTGTGATCCGCGACAGCTCGTCCTTCTCGCGGCTGCTCGCTGTCCGCTTCCAAGTCTGGTAACTTGCGGGCTTCCTCGACAGCACGTTCGACGATCTCCCGGAGTGCCGCGTGAGCCATCGCTGGCGAGTCCGTGGACTGCTTGCCTGCGACATTAAACAGCGGGAGCTATCAGTAGACAATGCCCGCGACAACGTCGGGGCGCATCAGGACACGCATGGACAGGAATGAGAATCGCGGGGAAGGATCTTACGGCGAAAGTCGCCGTGGAATTTTGCGAGGAAGGAATATAGACATTTCGCCCTGATCCGTCCGTTCGGAAGGATACGCGCTATTTGTACCTCGGAAACTCGGGAAAATCAAAGTCGCTTCACCATGCTTAGCGCGGCTGATTGATGACTGAGAAAGGACATGAAACTGCAAAAATTACTGTCTCCGCCGTGCTGCAACAAGTGAGTGACACGCGAGCTCGAGGGAACGTTAAGGCTGCAAAGCTGCAAAGAATTCGCTCTTGGCAGGACGAAGTCTACTGTACTCGGTCTATTCCCGTGACGGACCGACGACGCGACGTGCTGAGAATCCCGAGAATTTCTCGGAGCGAAAAACGCTCGATCCGACATGCCGTCCTTGCCTTGAGATCGCTCCGCTCGCCTACGTTTCCGCGACCGCGACGTGTCGGCCGATGGAAGACCGAGCGATCGAAGGCGGTGCGAGCGGACAAAGCGACGTCCGACGCGCCGAGTCCTCCATGTCAGGAGTGCACGACTACGGCTACGTTGCCCTGCCGCGGCATCCTAGACGACACACGTTCCTCAGGAGAATCCCGCACCCCCTAGGACACGCCGCACAGGAGCACACGCGAACTCGGCCTCCCCGAAGCGAGCGAGCGCGCGCGCGCGCGCGCTCGAGGAAGAGAAAGAGGCTCGCACTCCGTGGCGTTCTCCTCGAGTTCTCTCATCGATCCGCGATCGACGCGGTTCCCGCGGGGAGCTTCGAGACCGACTGTCGCCGCGGCGGCTTGGACGTGGAGCGAGCGTGCCCGTTCGCGCAAAACTCCACGAACGGCTGGCGAGCGCTCGCGCGAGCCGTGTTCTAACCGCCGGTATAGAAGCGAAGCGAGCCGCGACATCGGCGAGGCCGCACTTTCCTCGACATCCTGCCGCCGCGAGATCCGCCGCTTCTCCGTGCCGGCAATTTCTCCGCCGAGCCGCGACCTTGCCGGCGATGCATGCTCGTCCTTACGCGGCACGGCCACTCCTCGCCGACGGCTCTCGCGCAACTTTGTCTCTCTTTTCTCTTTCTCTCCCTCCTCCTCCGCCCTCCCTCCCCCCCCTCTCTCTCTCTCTCTCTCTCTCTCTGCTGTCGAACGTGCAGCTCGCCAGTCGCGGATCGCGGCCGCCAGGTGAAATTGGCCGACCTCCTGAACTCTTTCCGCGGGAAACTCGACGCGCGCGCTTCGCCAGCCGCGTGAAATCCCCGTGGAAACTCTCCGACTTGCGGAATCTCGCAGATCACTGTTTGATCATCGATGGAGAGAAAGAGAGAGAGAGAGAGAGAGAGAGAGAGAGAGACCTTGCCGAGAGAGCTGCGATGTCGCCGGCGAATGCCAACGAGTCGCGTGCCGCGAGCGTAAACTTCTCTCTCTCTCTCTCTCTCTCTCTCTCTCTCTCTCTCTCTCTCTCTCTCTCTCTCTCTCTCTCGTTCGTATATGCATAATCGATCTGCGACGCGCTCGCGTATCTTTCTACCTCCTTGAGCGCAGCCGAGCGCAGCCTTGATCTCGCGGCAGAAGGTGAAGGCCGGCTACAGATATTTTCCTCGCCGCGCCGCCTCGGACACGTAGGAGAGATTTCGCGGCTCCTCGCCGAGCGCGCAGCCGCCCTTCTCGACATCCGTCTACGCCGCCGCCAGCGGCGGCCTTCGGTCTGTCCTTTTACGCGTGACGCCACGAGAATCATCACCGCGCATAATTGATATGCACGATAATCCAGTCTCTCCCTCTCTCTCTCTCTCTCTCTCTCTGTTCATCGAGCGCGCACGCGGGGGGATTTTCACTGGAAGCTGGCGTTCGATCGATCGTCTCGGGGGCCTCTTCGACTTACGCGCTGCGAATCGCTCGCGTCCGCCTCAGAAAGCTGCGCTTTCAGCCGGAACAAAGTAAAGTAGTAAGAGCAAAAGAGTATTTGTTTGTACGTTTTTTCGAGCCGACGTGCTCTCGCGTTCTGTCAACTTTTGCTCGCGACTGTCTCGCGTCCCAGCTCGCGCGAGCGAGATGGTACTGAGAGGCGGCTGAGCGGCGGCTCAGAGTGTAAACATACGACCGGGCGCAAAGAGGTAATAGTAAGTGCTGAGTTCTGAGAGAATCTGGACGAGCCTCGTTCGTGTCGCGGTAATTTCCATTTCGCCCAATCACCCAGCCGAGCCAGCGAACGAGAGTGAAGCTGGGCTGAAGGGTGACGGGTTTTCGCGCGAACAAAGAGAGCCCGAGTGATATCGAAGCGAAAAAATCCGCGACTCGGCTCGGGCTTGCTTGACGCAACGAATTACGGCAAATTGGCGCCAGTCACACGCGCGTGTCGAATTTTCCCGGTGTTCGCGGCTTCGCAACGTCCGCCAATTATCGCGCCGTCGCCGCGCGAGACAATGGCTCGTAAAAGAATGTGCTTTACTTATCCCCGGCGAGATAGCGATCTCCACTCGCGCGGCGAGTAAGATCCGCGGTAACGAGCTGTTACTTTACGTGAGAAATCCGTCGTCGTTCGACGCGAATCCGATCCGCGCGGCAGATCGCGCTGACGCGATAAATGCGCGCGAACGTGAAGGAGTGCCGCTCCCTCCCTCCCTCCCTCCCTCCCTCCCTCCGGCCCCTCCCCCTTCGCGCGGAATTCAGCGGTTCATTCAGAACCGCCGCCGCCGCCGCCGCCGCCGTCGCCACCTTAATATAGCGGGCGAACTCGTCGCGCAAAAGTCCACGTAACGGAAGTCGTAAAACCGTTGCGCACAGACATTTCCTCTTTTTCGTCCGCCTCCGATCGAGCGACGCCACAAACGCTCGGTCGCGCTCCCCGGAGATCCCCGAGAAGAGGTTACTGGACCAGTTCCGCGCGGAGAAGGAACGGCGAGATCTCTCTCGAACGGCGCGCGACCGCGCGGACGCGCTTTCTTTCTCGCGCGCGATAAATGCACGCGCGAAACGCTCGCAGCTGCCTCTCGTTCGCGACACGCGAGTTCGCCGACGACGATCGAACCTGCCGAACGGGGCGACCGGGTAAAAAGCCGCGCGGGATTAACACGTTCGCTACCGCGGTTTACCCGGGGATCGCCGCTCGCGGTGCCGCTCTCATGTCGCGTGCGGCGAGCTTCGCTCGCGTGTGTGTGTACTCTTGATTCGTACCTATATTTATATATTCTCCAATTTTTATATAAATATAGTACGATAAATGTAGCATGATAGAGTGTAAAAAACACTTTTAACTTCAATTTTAATTTTAATTGAAAACACATTTTCATAATCGTTATATATTATACGAAGTGTCCGGGATCTTTCGGCAAAGAAGCGTTGTGAAGATTGGTCAGACCGAACTGAGAGGAAAAGTCAAGTACCGTTTTGCAAAAATCGTAATAGTTATTAAGTTATTAATGATTGATCAATATACTCATATCTGTCGTTAGACACAATAGCCGTCATGTAATTGTAGATTAGGTCATTCTGAAGAAAAAAGTCCTTTACCATTTTGCAAATAAGTACGCAAATTTTCAAGTTATCAACTTTTAATCATCAATAACGTAATCATTATTGCGATTTTTGCAAAATGGTGCTTGACTCTTCTTCTCAGTTTCATCTGGTTAATCTTCACAATTTTTCGTCTCCAAAAGATCCCGGACATCCTGTATAAATATAATAATAAAATATTTCTTTAATTATGATTAAAACATTTTTTTCAATTATATATATATATATATATATATTTATAATTAGTGTATTTTTCTACACGCTTATCTCGACGTAAGGAGAAAAATGCTCGTGGTCGCGTCGCGATGACGACGTGTCAAGCAGAACCGAGAATCTGGAGTTACGATTGAGCGAGTCTCAAAGTGAGAGATCGGTGCCTAGTAACGAACGGGTTGAAATGATGGGCGAGGAGGATATATTTACCATTTTTTCTTGCGAACAGAACGTAGACGAAATAGGCGACGAGCAGACCACCGATCAACGTCAACATCTCTTCGGTCAGTTGCAGTTGCATCGACCGCACCTTTTCACATCGTATCGCCGGTTAACGCGGTTACTCCGTCCTTCCTACTCTCGCTCTCTCTCTCTCTCTCTCTCTTATTTTTCGTTTTCTCGGTCAGCAGGCTGCGCACAAACTCAAACGCGAGGCGCTCGTTACTCCTCGCGACGGTCGCGATAACAGTCGATGATTAATTGCACTTCTCCCTAACGCGTTTCTCCGAAACGGAACCGGGCTGAAATCATAGAGACAGAAGTGTGTTGGAGCGCGTCGCGTCGCGGAATGTCGATTACCGTCCATCATTCGATCCAATGGGAGCTGTCACGTAAACGCGCCGCGTGCGACGATGACGAGTCATTCGACGCGTCAAACACACGCTACGCGCCGAGACAATACTCGCCGGAATAAATACGGGGCAAAGGTCAATCGCGGGTATCGAGGATTCCGTACAATAGATTATACATGTATAGACTCTCAGGACCTGTGCAGGCAAATATACAGGGTGTACCTGAAGAACTCTAGCAACCAACTCACGGATTCTCTGTTGGAGAATAAGTGAAAGTTCGCCAGTGACGAAGAGAGGATTCAATTGTAGAATAAAAATGATTAAACAATTATCAAGTACACACGTTTTTTCGTTCCCAGTATCCGGACGCTCTTCGACACATAAGAATTATAATCGCAGTCGCAACGCTCTTGAGACACGTTGCTGTCGCGCGGTTACGCAATTTACTGAGGCCGCGGCTGCCGATTATTGCCGAATAAATGAGAGAAAAGAAATAGCGAAAATCAGCGAAGCGGACCGAAACTAACGGGAGACTTAAGCAGCAAGCTGCGACAAAGACTTGCCCAACAGTAGCAGCTACAAAAGTGTTTGGCGATCCACGTTTGAACTCTGCTTCTGTCTAAAACACGGTGCATCGACTGCCGACACGCCTCAGCAACGAGACGAAATATATATTGGGTGAGTGCAAAAGTTCTGAGTGAGTGAGTGAGTCTCTCTGCAAGACGCCAAATAAAAAAATATAATATAAACCAAAAGTACAGTGGCAAGCAATAACGATTACTCGGTGAAGCGAGTATATCGTTGGCGATAAGATTGTTCAATTCATTTTTTCACCACATTTTTCCACCCGTCGTCCACCTTTGCACTCACCTAATACGCGAGAACTTCTCGACAGTAGATAATTCCTCGAAATTAATTAACCAAGAGTTTTCAGTTCTTTCCACTAGACTGCGATTTGCCTGTGAAAAATCGACTGCGACAAAAATATGAACTTGTTGATATTAACTGAAAAATGTGTCAAGAACGTTGCGACCGCAATTTTTGTACACTTTTAAGAAGGTTCAGATGTTACAGAGAGAGAGAGAGAGAGAGAGAGAGAGACATGCGTGTGTGTTCGACTCGCTTGATAATTCGTCTTGATTGCAATTGAATTCTCGCTTCATCACCGGCACGACCTTTCGCTTGTTTTTCACTGTATATTTGATCGACGATTCCGCGCGACACGTGAGCGAGTGAATGTCGTGTGAGATGACGTCCGTCTTTTTTTGTCCCCTCGCTTTTTTCGTTTTCCCATGAATCCTGATTTACACAGCCGCCTCAGCGGCGTCGACGCGCGGACTTTGAGCATTTCCTCGAGAGTGCTCGAGGCGCGTTCGCGGAGCGCCTCCTTCGAACGATCGAGTGCCGATTGATACGAGCGTACGCAGGACTCGTTCGCAGGACTCGTTCGCAGGACGGTCTCAGCATGTTTCTGACACATTTCGAGTCGACACGTCCGACGTCCATTGAGAGAACCTATCTTGCGAGGGTTATTCGGGAGCACGAGTAGGAATGCAACGATAAATCGATAATATCGAAATATCGATATGAATTTTACTGATATTTCGTATTTTTCAGTTACGGCTCTGGGGGCCTATTACGGTTCTACGACCGGGATGAAAATGACAAAAGTGAGCGAATTCACTGGAATATACGTATATTATGTGATTGGTCGATGTCTAGTAAATTCGCTCATTTTTGTCATTTTCACCTGCAATCGTTGAACCGTAATAGATCTCCTGCGCCATGTATGCGGTGATCTCCGGCAAACGACTGCGGTTTATTATATATTTTCTAATAAAAATATGACAATAAATTATATGAAGATAAAAATTTTTAAAAGACCTTTTTAAATTTTTCGTGTATACCCTTTATACGCATACCCCTATATGTATACATTTTTTTAATATAAATATCGATATTTTGAGAAATCGTTGCCTCCCTAAGCACGAGTACTGATCGGAATTACGAGGAATATCTCGCGGTGGGGAGAAACGCTCGATCTGGCTTCCGGATTGGTGCCACGTGCTTCGCTCATCGTCTATTTTCGTTGTGTCTCGCGAACATCTCAGTTCGCCTCTTCCGAAAGAGGGACTGGAAAGCTCAAGTCGCGAGTCCCTGAAGAAGCGAGCTCGAATGTTGACGAGACGTCGCAGGTAAATGCGAACCCAGAGAAAGGTAGAGCCTGAAACTCGGCTTTCAAGTCGAGCTCCAGTCCCCGAAGGAGCGAAACAAGAAGTTGAGACATTCACGAGGACGTCGGAAGCAAATCCGCCAAACGATCGCGCCGGAACCGCCTTTCACCGTCGGCAACGTCGTACGTCGCGTACGTCGCCCGCGGCTGCACAGTCTAAAATGAAGAGGCATTGAGAAGCAAATGAGCGAAACAACAAACTCTCCCGTTGGAGTCTCTCCCGTCGGTCGTATTCCGAAATGCGCAGCACGAGACGCGAATTTCTCGGAGGAAACGCGTTCGGGAGGTCCCGCTAACGAGTGTACGTTCCGTTAGCGGTCGCGCCGCGGCCACGAAGAAGCGCGTGACGTCGCTGTGTTTCCCCAACAAGCCCACCGGCCAAACAGCGCCAAACATGAGATGAGAGCCAGCGAAGCTTCGATCGCGGCCGCGAGCGGATATAATTAATATCGGCGCTTACGTATCTTCGAACGAAGAGAATCACCTTGGCGGCGGCGCGGAAGAGACTCTCGCTCTCGGGCGTCCAAGACGCTCGCGATGTTTCCACGCAGGTGGTATATATCTCGTTTGCTCAGTTGCATCGCGCAATTGATAAAAGAGCACGCGGCGATAAGGAGAATAACGCAACAAGGCCGTCCTCTTTCGCCGCTTCTCCTCTTTTTCGCGCGTCGCGAGCGCGACCGCGATTCGTCGCGCGTTCTCGCGCGAAATTTCTCGATCGATCGGTGCATCGGCCGGATCTCTCTCTCTCTCTCTCTCCGGCGAGGAGCGACGACGAGGAGAAAATGCGAGTACTCGCTGTCGCCCGCGGGGACCCGGGCGAAAACCCGGTCGCGGGCTCGCGCAGGAACGGTTCCTGCGACGCTCGCCGCTCGGCCGATTTGCCTCTCGGTTTGCGGCAAGCGACTTTCCGCCGTGGAACCGCGCCGACGATCGACGCGACCGATTTCCGAGCGGAACGGTCGAAATATCTTGTTTTTTTCTTTTTTTTTTTTTTTTTTTTCTTTTGCAGAAATACCTTGCGCGGGAATGTTTATTCGTGGCGTCTCGGTGGCGCTTCCACGTCCATCGAATGAATCCTCATGTGGCTACTCGAGTAATTTTTCTTACAAGTTACCGCCGCGATCGCTCGTTTCCCCCCCGCTCGCCCCCCCGTTACTTCTGCCGCGCCGATTAGAACGCTCGAACCGTTCGTTTCCGGCCTCGCGCTAACGGAGATATCGCGCTGCTTGATCGTGGACGTTTCCGCCCGGTCCTTTTACTCGCTCGCACGATTCTTTTTTCTTCCACAAGCATCGTTCGCGTCGATCGCGCGAGAACGAGATTACGTGTCCTAACGATCGCGTGTATCAGCCGCCGTGTGAGACGGGATTCAAAGCGCCGCGCGCCGGTGAACGTCCAAGACGCGCGCGCCAAGGCCTGCGGAATCGATTTCTCGAACGTGAGAAGAGCCGCGCGCGCTCTCTTCCTGCCCGGCGATGCCGATATCGCTTTATCGCGTCGAAGGCCGTGACAAGCGGCGATTTTCTCTAACTCGACGCGTTTTCCCCGGATTTCCGTCGATCGCGGCTCGACCGCTTCGCCAAATGTCGAGCGCGCGCGCGGTCGTCGCGGCGGAAACGCGCGCGCCACCGATTTCTCTTTCCCAACTCGGAAGAAATGACACGATGAGAGGAGAGCCCCTCAGGTAAGAAGGACAGACACTTCTGCCTCGAGCCGTCGCGCGCGACGAAAGTCACCGTGAACGGGGTCTGTCGAGAGAGAAGATATACGCGTTAATGGCACATGTAAATGCGATTTACGTTCCCGCCGACTCAGAGACACGCACACGCGAGGCTCGCGATTTCCCAAGGAAAAGCGCGAAAAAGAATGCTCGCGCGCGCGCGCGCGCGCTCGCGGGAGCGCGCGAGCAGAGCCGACTTGAATTTCCCACAATGAGCCGGAGGTGTCCTCCTCTTGATTCATCCGCTTCCCACACAGCACACGTTTCGCGCGCTTTCGTCAATCGGAACACCCGTCTCCGCGCCGCGCCGCGCCGCGCCGAGCGTAAGGACGAGCGCGCGCGTCCGCGAGCCTCGCTACGACGACACCGCCGCGGACCGGAGATCTCCGAGATCTCCGCGCCGTTCCCATCTCTCACCTTCTCCAGCTTGCTTATCGCGGAGCTAAGCGCGTTTTTCGCGTAACTCGCCCTGCCGAGCCGCGCGCGCGCGCGAGAGAGATCTCACTCGCGCGCTCCTACCGTTCGCTCGCGACTGAGCTTCGCCGGGAATGCGACACGCACGTATCACCGCCGTCGCCGTCGTTGTCGTCCTCGTCCACCTGTACACCGTGTGTACGACCTATGGCTTCCTCATAGTGGGGAGCCGGCCGCTTTTGCGAGAGAACGCGCGTCTATCGCGGAATCACGCGTCGGGTCGCCGGCAACGGCAACGGCAACGGCAACGGCGCCGGCAGCGGTGGCGGCGAGCGAGAGCGCCGCCGATGCTCCCTCCGTTCGAATCCCGCCGAATCAATGCCGGAGAGAGACCGCGTCGAATTGTTTCTTCGTATTGTCGTCTCAGTCTCAGCCAGCCTGCCAGGCTGCGCAGGCACATACACCTGACACACACGCGTGTGCCGCGTGTTTCGCGCCTGAGGCTTCTCTTCGCCCGAGACGTCTTCGGTTCTACTTTACGCGCTTAGCCTTAGCAACGGCCTTTAGCGACGGTGATCGTTTGACTCTCTTTGATTTTACAATAGTCACCTGTGTGATACGTATGATAACCTGAAATATCTTGACACAAATCTGAAATATTTTGACTTTTATCATTTTATACTAGAATATCTTTCTTAGCTATAAGTATACATATATATATATATATATATATATATATATATATATGTACATGTATTTTTTTTACTGCAGGGGATTACTTGGCCAGAATTTTTCTTACTTTTATTATTTTTATACTACATGGTATCTTTTTTCTAGTACAAATATATCTGCATATTTTTTTTTACCGGAGGGAATTGTTTAACCCTTTCCAATTTTCTAATGGTCATCAGTTTTATAATATACATGACATAAATTTGAAATATGTTTACTCTTGTTATTTTGTACTATATAGTATCTTTTTTTTTTTTAATATAAATGTATCTATATATATTTTTCTTTGCCGGAGGGGATTATTTTTTACCCTTTCCGATTTTCTAGTTAAATATAAATATATATATATGTACACTTGTTAATATAATGTTAAGATTTTAAAATAAAATATACATGATATTTGTAGTAGATAACCCAAGGTACTTGCAGTGTTACTCGAGTCCGACGGAGAAACAAGCCCGATGTGCTTTCTGAAGAGTTCCCCGAACGCGTATCGCGAAATATTTGCATCGCGCTCCATCGGGCGTAATCTTTGTAAATATTGCGCGTCCGCAGATTGTTGTTCCTTGGAACAATGATAAACGCCACTCACTTTCTCTCTCTCTCTCTCTCTCTCTCTCTCTCTCTCTCTCTCTCTCTGTGACTCGCTCACTCGCGTATCGCCCCGAGACCGCGAAGCCACACGACTCGTCTCGCAAAAGAATCGGAGCGACGCGCGACGTGCCGCGCGCGACGGTGCGTTTGCGTTTCGCCACTTTTCCGTCTCGTCCGGGCACCGCTCGCGCGGTCCGGTCGTGTGAGCGAAAAGCAAAAGTCGCTCGGATTACGATCGAGGACCGCTCCCCTTGGAGCTGGTCGCGGGTGCGACAGGATTTTAAGACGAATTCCGCGCGGCCAGCGACCGGCACGATTAATCGCTCGTGACTGCGAAATGTCACTTCGATTCGCGGAAGACTCGCGGAACCCGTTGCTCGTGTTGCGTATTACGTATCGGGCGAGCGGCAAAGTTCCGCTGGCTTTCTCAACGGATTCGACTAGTCCAGTTTTATTCACAAACATGCAGACGTATAGCGTATCGAGAAATGAAACTCCCGTTTACGGGAGGCCTCTCTCTCCCTGCGCTTTGCTCTTCAGGTAGTCGAGAGTGCTCGAGAGAGTGAGCTTTTACGGGTAAATTACGGTAAATAGTCACGTTGAGTAAAAAGCGCTTGGTCAAAGTAGGTCAACCTTTTCAGAGTTGTAAACGTCTCTCGATTTTGGTGACGCAAAATGACCTGATGACGTGCGGTGGAGAAGCAGATCGAGAAATTTTTGTAAATCCGAAAGGGTCGAACCTTCGACCTGCTGCGTCTATCAGGGCATTTTTTCCTCAGGTCTACGAGTTCCATCTACTCTCTTTTTTTTTTTTTTTTTTTTAATATCCTGTATATCCTCCTGAGTATATAACAATAAAGATCGGTCTCGGCCTCGTCCCTCGTTGTTCATCGAAAAGCTCCAACGGACGAGATCGTAAGTCGGACTTTTCGTCATCGCTCTTGTCGAACGTCTTCTCGAAACGAAGACATATTTGTCCCCTCGTGACAAAAGGAAAATTACTCCCGTAATAATAACAATAACGGTAACAATTCCTCGGCCGACGAGTCGACTGTCTCTCAGCGAGGTCGCCGAGACGACGTTGCTTTTGTTATTGTCGCAGCTAGCGCTCGACGCTGAATGGAGGCTGCAAACGCTTTTTCATTCAGCCAATTACACGCGCCTGC